TGATACAGTGCCTGGACAGTGCTTCCATGTCTTCTCCAGTCTTGTTTTGTTTCCTTCTTGCGGAGATGCTGCTTGTACTCTGGGAGCGAGTGGGAAACGACACTGGAAGCCATTTTGACAACATTCGACAGAGTCGTAGACGGGTCTGTTGGCTTTTGGATATTCCCTTTTCGACGCCACGATAGCGCACGCCAGCATCTGACGCGCGGCTGTCAATGCCGGCCTTATTCCCAATCCTAGTCCGAGGGGGCGTTTCCAGCACTTCAGATGCCGTAGCAGAGATGTGGCATTTGGCTGCATCTGGCCTCACCCTTTTCCATCTCGTAAACTCGCCAGAAGAGTTGGAGCACTAGAGCAAGGTATGCAAGCTCCAGGCAGGTATGCGCGAGCACCAACAGTACGAAAAACACGTGCAATACACGGCGCTATCCAATCATGCCGCTTGGGCCCTACAGAATTTCGCCTCCCGTCGATAACGAGTACTCCGTCTCCCAGCGCGCATTTCCACACGGTCTACACCACCCGGATTCCCAATCGCGAGATTCGCAGCGGCGTCCCGCACAGTGCGGCGGCGGCCCAGGTTTGTCAGCGAAGTCTCTGCAGGCCCCGTCGAAGAAAAAGGCCTAAGAGCAGCCCAGCAGCCAAGCAGCGCCCCCAGAGCCGCCCGCCTTCTTTTTTCTGCGCCTTCGACTTTTCACAACGTCATCTCTGACGTCTTCTTTCCACCATCGTGCACTCTTCATCACCACCTCAAGTTACAGCGATTCTCAGCGCAGCCTTCCGCTCCCCGCATAGCTTCAGTGCCCGTTCTAGCGGCACGAGACTCTGGGAGCATCTTTGGATTTTCAGATTCGATATCCAGCGATTTGCCTTTGATCGCGAGCCTGCACGGGGCGAGCTGGATTGAATTGGCCCTTTTTGCCTTTCCGTCTGCTTCGGGCCAAGCGTTCTGCTGCACCTCAGTCGTCTAACTCTGCGCGTTGAGGAGGAATAACGCCCCTCACAAAAATAGAGACCCGACCGCCCACGCTGGGCTGCTTTGAGAGTTTGTTTCAATTAAGAGAGCAAACAAGGGCAAAAAGAGAGTTGACAGCAACGCGCCATCTCAACGCAAAACCGCCCCAACTTATCCACTGCCGCAGTTCTGCCTCCGCGCTACGCTCTGCCTCTGACCTCATCTCGTCGTTGCACTCTGCTCTGTCTCTGCCAGACCTCTCACCATCTCTCGCCGCAATTCCTCCCGTCTGCCTTTCCCCCACATACTCGGTAGCTCAACGCCCCCCTTTGCACTGTCTACTGGGATAATACATCATCGTCATCATGGGGACGACTGTGACCGACGTAATTGAGTCCAAGTCCCCTAAGCAGCAGCCCATCTCCCCCACACGGCAAGGTAAGCCTTTTTACCCTTCCTCGTCTTCCCCTTTACCGTTCCTGCATCGTCGTCATTAGACACTACACTTGCTTCTCTTCCACCATCGTCATTGCCCGCCATTCCCTCGTCACTACGCACCGGCTACCCTGTGCGTCACCAGAGTTACAATTGCCCAATTGCTACTGTTGTCCTGCCATACTTACAAAGCGCTCTCTGCCTCGCAGGTTCCATCGTCAGCGCGAAGATCGATTCTCTCACCAAGCCGGACATTACGTCTAATGCTCCGGCGACCAAGCCACTTGCACCACCGCCTCGACCAGGACAATCACAGCAAGGCTCCAACACCCCGGAATACTACGCGCCTCAGGTTTCTGGAGGCTCCCTCAGCCTGGAGCCCAATCCGTTTGAGCAGTCGTTTGGGGGTGGTGGCCCAGAGACTCCTGGAGGAACCAAACTCCCCAGCGTCGCTGCTTTGACGTCGCCCTCGTCCCTGCTGCCCGGGACCAACGCGACTCCCTTCAACTGGGGCGGAGGCTCCCTGCGGACCGGCCCGCTGAGCCCTGCCATGCTGTCAGGACCTACCGACTACTTTGGCGATACACACCACCTGCGCGGCGGCTTCCCTACACCCAACGAGTCTTCGCTGCGCACTGGACTGACTCCGGGCGGGAGCGGGTCTATGTTCCCGGCCCCGAGTCCCAACTCTGCCCTCTTTGCCCAGCTGGCCAGCGGTGGTGCGACTCCCAGCACACTCGACTTTCACCGAACAGCTCTGAGCGCCGCCGCAAAGCGGGAACAGGCCGCTCGAGCTCAGCCGACTGCACCGCAGCCGCCCGCGGTCACCTCTCAACCTCAGGACATGACCAACGGCACCGTTATCCCCAAAGTCGAGCCCAAAACTTCATCCGGGCCGTTTGACCCCCACGACAACGACGCGGCCAACGGTCTTTTCATGCTCGCTCAAGGCCGCAACGGGGCTCAACCTACACCTCAGTTTACAGTCACAACTGCACCTACCGCGCACGCACACCCAGCCCCCGCAGTTCAATCGAATATCAACACGTCGCCGCCAATGGCCAACAACGTAAAAGTAGACTCCAAACGGGGAGTCAGTGAAATCAGCAATGGCTCGGATGAAAGTGACCAGAAGCCACAGACACGAGGCAAGGGAAAGAAGAACCCCCCTGCTGCTAATGGTAGGAGAAAGGCCGATGAGATGCCTGTCAAGGCACCGGCTGCCAAGAAAACCAAGGCCAACAGCGGCGTTGCCAGCTCCGTTGACGAAGAACACTCAGATGAGGACATGGATAGATTTGATGACAATGGTCCTGGAAAGTCTAAGATGACGGACGAGGAAAAGCGCAAGAACTTTTTGGAACGTAACCGGTATGTCACGTCCTCTCAAAACCAACTTCTTCTTTTTTTTTTTTTTTTTTTTTTTTTTTTTTTTTTTTTTTTTTTTTTTTTTTCGGTGCACGAATGCAGCTAACATACTCCTATAGCGTGGCCGCTCTCAAATGTCGACAACGCAAGAAGCAGTGGCTGGCCAATCTTCAGACCAAGGTCGAGATGTTTAGTAGCGAGAACGACGCCTTGACGCAGCAGATTACGCAACTGCGAGAAGAGGTGGTCAATCTCAAAACTCTTCTGCTTGCTCACAAGGATTGCCCCGTGACTCAAAGCCAAGGTCTCCACGGCGCTTTCATGTCACAAGTAGTTGAGCCTTTCAACCCGCAGATGAATCCCTATGGGATGGCGGCCCCGATACCTGCTCAACAAGCCATGGTTGGCCAGGGTGTCCAACGGCGCTTTTCTTAGGAAATGAATGACCCTTCATCCTCACCTGGGCAGCAAGTCATGATTGGCGCAAGTGTTGGGCTACCTGTTGCTGAGGACCAGCGTTCCTATGTATCTCCGGAAGAACTCATGATTGGCGCTAGGGTTGAGGGACTGTTCGCTGCTAAGGACCAGAGTGCCTCTGTATCTGTTGAAGAATACATGACTAACCCGATTTATGCGTCCCGCACAACATCGCGTCGCCAATCACCACCACCACCACCACCGCATTTCCGTTCACCTTTAGAACCGCAAATATTTCGGCGGTCACTATAGCCTTTCTACTGCTACACATCATGGTAACGTTTATTTTTAGAGTGCGACCACGTGTGAGATTCCGAGTATGGCACGCGTGGAACCTCTGGATGAACGGCTTCGTCGATTGTTTCGATAACCTATGATACACGCATGCGGTTTACTTAAAACAACACTCATGCGTTACACCCTTTCCCTATATAATCAAATCATGCCAAACAGGCGACTGAATCAGTGGAGGGACATTCGCCTTTGGTATCGTTTTCGGGGATATTGTTCTTTCTTTCTTCCCTTTTTTTTTCCCCTTTTGAAAGACTTGCCTTTTCTTTCCTTATTATTCCTTGTTTATTTTGGTCCTTCCCGCACCATCTGTGGGTGTAGGCAGTGCCTTGACCATTTCCGGGGCTGTTCCATCCCCGGGTTCTTCCTTTCATATATCTCTCTTCCCCGGTATTACTTTACAATGTACGTAAATAGTGGCAAGGCAAGGTATACACACATCAAAAGGTGTTGGGACTGGACGGGGCTTGAATTTGACTTTTGAAGGCGTTTGGGTGGTGTACTCTCGAGGGGGAGTGAGATACTCGGTGTTTGACGGTTTGAATTTCAGGTATTCTCGTAGCTTAGAAGAAAAACGGAAGCTACTTGATTGCTTAGCGAGCTCTATGAGGTAGACCAGTAGGAGAACGATTAAAAATGGAATTGCGTCGCATTGATGTTAATTGTTTGCTCTTCATGAACCTAAAAGTTACTTTCGGAAAGAACTTTGCTGTTGTACAGAAATATGCAGGCCATTGACATGTTAGATGAAGTTTTATGATACAATGGAAATAGTCTTGGAGGATTATGTGAACATATTGTTGCGCTTGAAACTAGTATCTTTGACTTTACTCCGGCGTTGAAGCTATCTACGTTCCCACGATAGCTCTCTGTTGGAGTTGAGACGTCAGTCAGGCTTTGGCTTTAGCGCAGCCGAATGTCTCTGGTTCAGTTGCTCAGCTAAAGCTCCTGCAGCCAGCCAATCAGCCGTCGCCATGATGAGACCGAGGGGGTGGGGTGGTGTCCGTCCGAAACAGGACTAGCGCCGACTTTGGAAAAGCGTCCTCCCGCATGCTCCTAAAAGTAAACACTGTCAATGCAAAAGAAAGAACACTTTGGCGGTCACTCGACGAGAACAGTTTCCCATCTCCGTCCGGCAAAGACGGAGCGGCGCATACGCAGCATCGATACAGACCGGATCCTACAGAACTGGGCATTATTTAGGCGGGGAAATCCATCAGCGATTGCGCCGCAGGTGGATGCGGTGGACAAACGAGCGAAACACGCGCGCAGGCACTTGACGCGACAAGGCTGAAAAAACCCCCAATCTTCGACCGCCTCATCAGTAAACACGCGACAACTTTTAAACCTCTCTTCAACGGCGATTGGATTTTTGTGTGCTGCTGTATTTGGGGCGCAGAAACCTGCAATTCGCGACGGCAGCCTGTCAATCTCTCATGCGATCCACCAAGAGGAGCTTCCGAAGAAGCCATCCATGACGACTCTCATTACCACCATTCGACAGCCGCTGGAACTTCTTAGCATGAACGACCAGCCAGCGCGCCGATCAAAGCGCCAGCCGGGTTTGTTGGGCCCTGTCATTTGAAGCAGAAAGCGGGGGAGGAAGAAAAGAGGAAGAAAAGCTGACCAGACGAGCAGCCGCCGAATACGAACAGGACGACGATTTTCAATTTGTGCGGAAATCCAAAAAGGCGAAAACCACCGAAGAGCCGCCAGAGCCGGTAGCTCTTCCTGTGAGGAAATCGGGAAGAGGGAGGCCACCATCGGCAGCGAGCGTCGCGGCGAAAAATCGGTCGGCGAGAGCGTCAGCTCGTGATGATGATGAGGATGTGGAGCTGATCGCGGCGCAGAAGGCTTCGAAGGCGACAACAGCGGCAAAGAAGGCGTCCTCTTCACGGCGAAAAGCGTCGTCCAATGACGCGATCCAGGATGAACCGCCTGCGAAGGTATCGAAAAGAGGGACGAGAAAAAGCTCACGATTATCAAGCGACGATGCGGCACCGGAAGAGCAGCAGCAGGCGCCTCCTCCGCCACGGACAAAAGGCTCATCGAGCAGTCAGGGCCGTGGCAAAAAGACGGCGAAATCAAAAGCACAACCACCACCCGTCATACAGGAGGAAGAGCTTGAGGAAGACGCTTCGATAGTGGATTCGCCAGTACACGAGACATCGACTGAGCCAACTAAAATTAAGCTACCAATGAGCGACACGCCAATAATCAACCGCAACAAAGAAATGCGCAAAAAAGGGGGAACCAGTGGCAGCCGCAGAAGCAGTCTGGGGTCTCGTGGACGAAGAGCAAGCTCATTAATTGAGAGCGGGCAGACGGCGATTCCCCATCGCGAAGTCAGCACTGCTGCGTTTTACAAGCATATCGAGGCGGATTTGCTGGAGCCGCGACGGATGAAGCAGCTGTTGATATGGTGTGGCGAGCGGGCGCTGTCAGCTAAGCCGCGGGGGACACTGAATTCTGGCGCAGTTCTTGGAGGTGAGGATTTCTCATCATTGAATGGGATACGCTGCTTGTGGTTGTTCTGACTTTGCTAACCGAGAATTTTATGCTAGCCCGTGCAATTCAAGATCAGCTGCTTAAAGACTTTTCGTCGAGATCAGAGTTTTCAGATTGGTTCAATAGAGAAGAGAAGGTGCCCAAAGCACCAGTCATATTGAGGCCGAATCCTAGAAACATTGAGCTGGACGAGAAGCTGGCTACTTTGGAAGCGAAAGTGAAGAGGTAAGTCATTGGAGATGCATTGAGCTATATGGTACGACTATAAGCTGACTCGACCCAGATTACAAGAAGAAAAGAAAGCGTGGCTAGCCATACGGAAACCAGTACCCGACCAGCCACCTCTATTCACGCCACAGGAAAAAGAAGCAGAGACAATCGCATTGCCCGATTTTGACTTGTTAGACCCCGATGAAGGTCAAATCAGAGGCTTTCTTGTTGATGAAACAAATACCTTTGCCAGCATACGATCACAAACACAAGCACGATTACGGCACATCCAATCGTCCCTCGAATTCGAAGTCGATCAATTAACAGACAGCGTACATAAGCTGGAACAGCGAGTCAAGGTAGCGGGCAAGGAAGCCGACAGAGTGCTGAGCCTAAGTTCTGTGAGATTACGGGAGCGGGAGGAGAGGGAGAGAAAGAGCGTGGGAACTAAAGATATGCCCATCATGATGGTGCTGAGGAGTTTGAGCAGCATACTGCCTGAAGGAGGGGGATGATGTGGTTTGAGAAAAAGTTTGAAAACAAAAGAAGAAGGAGGCGGAAAGAAAATCTAATCATCTTTTCTTTATTCCTTCTTCTTCTTGGCTCCTCATGAAATGCCTTCCTTTGCTCATGATACCCTCGATTCTACCTCCCTACATCTTCCCAAGTTCCTTGCAAGCGAAGCTGCAACTTGGACTCTTTTTTTCCGTTTCTTTTGCATTATTTATTTTTTAACGAGACATACTGATGATGAGACGAGACGAGACGGCGAGGCGCTCGGTTTTGATTTGATACATTTTCCGGCCTTTTTTTTTTCTACTTCCCAACCATCTTTTCTCTTCTTCTCTCGTTTGGCGGACTGGGTTTGATTGGCTGGTTGCGTTTGATTGGTGAGGAGGACTAGATTTAATTAAATTCTTTTGGGTTCTTTTCTTTTTTTTTTCTTGCGTGCTAGATTGGCAGGCGGGCTCTATCTTTGTTTTCCCTCTCCTTTGGTGAGAAAGGGAAAAGTTGTTTATACCGATTTGATTGGAAAAAAGGGACAAGCGGATGGGATGGGGCTTAGCTGGGGGGAAAAGGTAGATGAAGATACTATGGTAGCATGAAATGGAAATGAGAGGCGAAGAGAGAAGAGATTTAGGAAGAAAGTGTCTTCTACCTTTATTTTTTTTTCCCCCGTAGTAAATGAGAACTTGGTAGTGACTATGGTTTGAATTTGTCCTCTATGAATGTTGTTCTGTGGTCCGTAATTGTGTAACTAAGTGATACGGAGCACACTGAGTGAAAGTGAGCCACGGGAGTGCATGGACGGGATCAAATATGTGATTCTAATTTTCCTTTTATTAGATCTGAAAAAAACAGGTTCCCCTCGTTTCCTCCTATGTATTTTTCCCTTTAACGCAAAAACCTTCTTCATCTCGATGGTTCATACATCATGATATTGCAAACGCTAGCGCCTACCACCATCCTCATGTAACCCCTTTTCTCCCAAATTTTATTTCATATACGCTACATGGAGACGAGCCGTGTAATAACGACGCTCCAAGGCGTTATCTCGCAATAGAACCCCCTCTTCTCTATTTCACACGTTCCTGCTTCTTCTTCTCCCCAATCTATATCCCCCCCCCAACCAAAGCTTGTGTCGATATAAGGCCCTCTAAATCAAGTGCTTTGAGCGGAAGTACGCCCGCAGGTACATAATCTGCCACGCCCACAGGATGACCAGCAGCCAGGTGGTGCCGACGCCGAACCACTTGACACGGTTGTTTGTGCTCTCGTTTGTGTCGCGCAGCTTCTGCTCGCGCGAGCGGAGGTACTCCATCTCGCGGACGACTTCGCCGGTCAGCTCCTCGATGCGGCGCAGCTCGGCCTCGACGGGCTTGAGTTTCTCGGTGGCTTGGATGGCGGACCAGTCCTTTGCGTCGGCGCCAATGTCGATGTCGAGCTCGACGACGCGGAGGTTCTGTCGGGGTTTGGTGTCTGGGAGAAGAGATGATGTGTTAGTGAACGGCTTGAAGTAGATACTCTCGAAAAATGGTGTAGTAAAACAAGGGAGATGGGACAACATACTGCCACTGAACAGGTTCTCGAAGCAGACGTCAAAGGCGGCGTCGGCGTGGGAGGTGAAGACGATTCGGGACTCGCCCGCAACGTCCTTGGCTCGGCCGTATTCGTTGCCAATGGCATCACGGACCTAGTGATAGTCAATGTTAGTGAAGCTCAATTCAAACCCCCCGCCTCTCCTCGATTTCAAGCACATACATGAATGTTGACCAGCATGCCGTCGCCCTTGTAGCCGTCCACCGTCGACGTCACAACCACCAGCGTGTCGCTGCCCACAAAGTTGCGGATGCATCTCTCCTTCTTGAGGCTCTCGCCGCCGGGGTGGGCGAGCAGGTCGAACTTGAGGGCGTTGGCGGCGCTGACGAGCAGCAGCAGGCCGCAGAGCCAGCGCATGGGCGAGAGGGCCTTGAGCGCCATTGGCCGGTTTCTATTAACCTTTTTGGAATTGAGAATTCGCTCAGAGGTCTAAAATCAAAGAAAATAGAATTTCAGTCGTCGAGTCCAATCAGAGGCCGGAATTGGGGGGAGAAAACAAGCATGTGTTCCAAAGTATAAGCCAAGCCCGCAAAAAGGTAAAGGTGTCGCGTTCGGCCAAAGCTGCTGGTGGTGTGGCTTGACTTGGTGCAATGACAGGGGGAGAGGCGAGGGGGGCCAATCAGAGGGGGCTATTTGGTTTGGCATCACGTGTGGGGCGGCAGCAGCCTCGTCGACTTTTTGGATGTCGCAGCCTTGGCGCCAACGCCTGTTCCTGTTGATACAAAGCACATCACTCTTCAACCTTTTCTTGATATATTTGTTCTTGTTCGCGAAATCTAGCCACGATGCCCAAGTGTAAGCACAATTACATCCCCCGCTCCTAGTTGATTTACACAAAACTAATGCAATCTGATCCCATAGTCTTCTGTAAGCTGCCAAAACCGACGCGCTCAGGCTCATGTCACCACATCTGTTTCCCAACTAACCACGGATTCACAGGCGATTACTGCGATGTCTACCTCACGCACGACTCCATGTCAGTGCGCAAGGCACACAACAGCGGCCGAAACCACTTGCGCAACGTGGTAGACTACTACCAACGTTCGTCACCGTCTTCAACCTCCTTTCTCCCCATTGATGACTGGCTGACTGACCTTGGGGATTCTTCTAGAAATTGGCCACGAAAAGGCCCAGTCCGTCATCGACTCCATCACCTCTTCCTACGCCGCCGAGGGCCAGGCCCATGCGAACCCGATGCTTCTTCAGAACCAACCCGGCCACGCATTCCCGCCGTTTGGATTCCCTGGTGGTAAGCTATACGATGGTCTTTTCTCGGCGCACCTACTTCTCTGAACCTATGACGTAGAATAGATAGCTGAGAAGAATTGTGAATGATGTGTGTAATGGAGGCTAACGATGCTTGCTTCCTAGGTGTCCCTCCGCCCTTCCCAGGCATGCCCGGAGCTCCCCCCGGACAGTTCCCCCAAGGTCTCCCGCGTACGTTCAACCCCCCTGATATCCAAAGCCTCTCGTCACGTCACTATCTAACCCTCAGACTTCACAGCTCCTCCTGGTGGTCGCGGCATGCCTCCTTTTCCCCCGGGCCCCAACGGAATGCCTCCGATGCCTCCTCCCAACGGCCTCCCATTTCCTCCCCCGGGCGGCCTTCCCTTCCCTCCCCCAGGCGCTCCCGGCGCACCTGGTCTCCCCCCGCCAAACTTCCCCGGCATGCCTGCGCCGGGACAGCACGCCTTCCCTCCTCCCGGACCCGGAGGCTTGCCGCCTGGTTTCCCCGCTGGCGGACCTCCTGCTCCTGGACAGGACAGGCGGTGATGCATTGTGGCTGGAGAATGCTATATATCCACGTATGATATGAAATCACGGGTAATAACTGGCGCTTTGGGGTGTTTTTGCGATTTTTGGGTGTTATTTTATTTCTTGCTTTTAAATAAAAGCATATCCACCAGTTTAAATAGAGTGAAGATGGGGAGCCATCAGAATACATGATAGCTATTCAGTAGAAAAATACTGGTATCAAATGTACATGCACAGCCTAACAATCTCACGGAAATTAGGCAAACGTTTATATTTGACTCTTTTCATTTGTAGAAACAAAAAATACATCTCATTCCATTCATTCGTTCTAAGTCTCGAAATGTACATAATGCATACAAAAACCGTTATTTCGTCAACCAAAGAAAAAGGGTGGGAAAGTAAAAAAGCATCGCATTAGTCAAATCTCTCGCCACCCATTTCTTCTATAATACAGCTAAGCAGCAGTAACAAAAAAGGAGAAAGGGGCAGAAAAAGCAGAAAGTAAAGTAATCAAATATCGGGCCACTTCACTCGTTCCCAGTTCGCGTCATATTCTTGAAGAAAAGGAAAAAAAGCAATATATAGCCAGCCACCAAAGCCTCCTAAATTCTTTGCAAATTCGTGTTTTTTTTTTTCATGCAAGGCACGCAATATGGCCAGCGACATGGCCAGCAACGTAGCAAAAGAAAGGATGAAGAAAATTAAATCTTAAAAAGCGCAGCCCTGTACTACCAGGCAGATGGCACTTTAATAAGAGCAAATTAAAAGAGGTGGAGTTGAAGCTCGAATGAAAAGCAAGCACTCCATAATCGTCGTTGTCCACTTGAGGAAGAAGAAATAGAAAGTGAGGACGAGTTTGCGAGAATCCATCCTTCAGTCGTCGAATCATCATGTCGTTGCCAAGAAAGAGAAATAGAACAAGAGGAAAAGAAATCGTAACGCAATATGCCGGCATTCTACCCACGATATCCTCATCATATCTTAAAGAAAAATTCATTCCTTCATCTTTTGTCATAAATCTTGCTCGCATTGCATATAAAAAAAAAAGGAAAAAAAGGTAGCAGCAAAAAGCAAAGGCATTTGTTTCATGAAAAGGTTCGAAATCGACGAGTGGTGACATATCGAACCACCTGGTTAGCGTCTGATGACTTCGCCAACACCGTCTCGGACTACTTTCGGTCCGCTAATCATCTGTCTGAGTCTCTGTGATCGTTTCTCACGCCTTCTCTCGCTTATCTTGTGAGGAATGCTCTGAATATCTTCCAATTTGCCCCCAATAGAAAACCGCCGTGTACTGCTTCGGCCAGTGTTACTGTTTCGCCAGAAGCGTGTGCGAGGTTCTCCGTTCACAGTATGTCTCTCGTTTCCACTTCGGCCTGGACGTTGCCTCAGTGATCCAATACTGACGCGGCGTACGATCCGCAAATTTCCGCTGGAAGTTCGTCGAATTGTACGTCGTTGAGGTCCATGCACGTCATCAACGTGATACTCTCGTGATGGCAGAATTGTAAATGTCTGCTTCACTTTTTGGCTGAAGCTCGTTGTCCGTCTACGCGGACGATTATCCACAGGAGGGTATCGATAGACTTCATCATCACGCTCATAGCGATCATCGTAATCGTCATTTTCGTAGTCGTCATCATCCATGGGCTCGGAGTCTGTGTCACTAATCCACTGCGGGCGCCAATTTGGATGGAGCTTGTCCTCCTCGCTCGGCTTATCATTGTCTTTATAAAGAGAAATGTCGCTATCGTCACGGTTCCTGCGCGACATGGAAAATGTTCTCGCAAGAAAGCCTCCTCTCGAGCTTGGCACATAGGCTATCGAATGGCGACGTCGGCTGAGCGCTCTTCTAACGATAGAAGGTCGCCGGGGAGGTTTTTCTTTCAGCGACTCAAAGTAATTTCCTTGAAGGATGAGTCGTTCAGCCGCAGGTGTCATTCCCGACGGCGTAGCAGGAATAAAATTGATCGCAGGCGGGTGTTCAGGTGGCTGTTTTGGCGGCTGGGGAGGAGCTCGCGGGTTGCGCAAAGGAGAATCCACCTCGAGTGATGAGAATCTTTTCCGAGGAGGGGTGACGGGTATCATCTCTTCAGAGTTCGCCATAAGTATAGATGGACTGGACATCCGCTTCGCCATGAGAACCTCTGATGGTCGATTCGAATGATCAACCATGAGGACCGATGAGTTTTGATGGGGAAACATGTGGACAGCAAGAGCTTCTGAGAGCTCTGGAGCTGTTGCACACGTCTCCATTGATGCAACTGAGAACGGAGTGTTTCGCAGTGGAATCCTTTTTACAGACAACACGTCGTCGTGTTGTCTAAAGCCAAGGCTGTCAAAGGTCTCTTCCCTCCCCAAATTTTTCATTTCCGGGGAAGTAGGGGTCAATGGTTCTAATGAAGGCGTGCTGGGGCAGATAACGTGCACTTCCTGGCTCAAATGGCGGTCGGACTGTTGCTCAATCGAGGTGCAGTGAACTTTGACACTGCTAGTATTGATCGATCCAGCTTTAATTGAATCAGCTTTAATTGACCCAGCTTTGATTGATCCAGCTGTAATTGATCCAGCTTTGACTGATCCAGCTCTGGAAACGTTTCGACTAGTCGGAGCAGAGAGCGACGAAGATCGCGCGGGAATCACTGGAGGAAAGTCAATTGTCCTGACAGAGCCATCAGATTCGGAAAATGCTCGACTCCGGCGACCAGGTCGCTCAAAGACAGGGCCAGAGCTCCTAGAGGGCGCGGGATCCGGAGCAGGCGCAGAGTGAGTGCTCTTTGTGCTCTTTGCCTTGTCCGAATGCCTACTAGACGTCGATCGAAGAGAAGGCTCCTTGCTCTTGGGACCCCTAGAAGATCGTCGGCTGGGCACTATAACTACCGGAATAGCGCCACTTCGCCATATCTCCTGTCTCGCGCTTCTGCTAGATATAGATCTGTTTGTCGAATATGTCACAGTGGACACATGGCTCTCGCGATCATAGGTTTCTGGTTTCAAATTTTGTGCAGCTTCTGGAGCTTTTTGGGTCTCATTTGTGTCTTCGCTCTTGACAACCGAGCCAGCATCTTCCCTGTTATCAGTAACATCTCTCAACGTACTTTGCTTTCGCATATGACGCAGAGCTCTTTGTCTTTTCGGACGTTCATCTACTAAAAGTACTTCGACAACAGTCGACTGGCTAGACGTGCTTAGCGGCCGTGCATTTCGCTTTGCTGTAGCTTCTACTTGTGGGTGAGCCAGCTGGACGGGCTTTTGATCGTCGTGTCTCTTCGAGGATGAGGTTACAGGTGCGGCCTCTTGAAGTTGCATTTTGCGCACAGCTTGCGTCGCATCTGTAGGAGCAATGGACTCTTTATCCTTGACGACGGGATCGCGATCATGGTGTAGGATTGGACGTGGCACTCCCGGCGATCGGCGTTGATGCTGGTGCTTCTGTGGCGTCATCACATGGGCATCCTGCGGATGTACAGCTTCAACAGTAGGGTTCTGTGTGCCAACAGATCCAGCTCCTTTGCCTTTCGCTTTTGGTGTCTGATCCTCTCCCTCTGGCGCCACATCCTTCGTTGCCATCCTATCTGCAGGAGTCGTTGGTCGTGCCTCATAGGCAACATTGGTCTTATCAGAACGAGTGATGGTGATTTGCGAAGTCGTAGAAACTCGGCGAGGCCAGCCAGCTGGTCTCCCACCCTCATCTTCTGAAGAGGTCGGTTCCTCGCGAGCGGTGATGAAGGACTCGGCCCTTGACGACGGCCCATTAGTGCTTTCCGAAGCCATACGACCCCTGACGCTCGGGCGCTGCATCTTGGCGACGTTTGCGGGATGCGGCGGGGTGACTTCTGGCGTCGGGGGGCCGCGCTGGTCGGGGGGCGTGGCCGGCGGTCGGTTCGCGACGACATGCGGCAGCCCAATGCTGTTCTCTGTGCTCGTCGGACTCGATGGCGTGGCGGACTGGCCGCTGGAGGATGCGTTTGACAGCGCGGGTGGCGTTGGAGGCAGATCGGGCCCGGTGCCTATTCTTCTGAGCTGGGGCTTCAAGGGCTGGGAGCTCATAACGGGGCGAGGCGTTGAGCTTAGCATCGGGTGAGGCGTCGAACTTCTGGGCGCCAGCGTTCCGCTAGTTAGATGCGCCTTGCGCCTGGAGCCGTCGTGCGCCTGATCAATCACCGGCCGAGGCAGCACCCTGTGCTTCTTGAACTGGCGCGGTGCCGCAGGCTCAGCGGCAGCGCTGCGATTTCTTGGAGCTGGCGCCGCCATCATGGCAATAGTGAGGTTGTTGCACGCTCCAAACGAGCAGGAGAAGCGCAGGCTGCCACTAGTAGGATGTTCGCGAGCTACGTGGCGGCGGCGAGGTTGAGACAGGGGCCGCTTTGCATGATGGTGGACGAGTGGACGGTGCCTGAGCTCGATGGCTTCATGCAATTGGTGGGTGGTTCCAGTGGTCGAGTGAGGTGGGATAGCCAGTCGTTACTGGATGGCGAGCCTGACGAGCGAGACAGCGTCTGCTGGGCACCCAAAAATAGAAGAAAGAAAGAAAAAAAAAAATTACACAGCCAATCTGAGACGAGGGAGCAAAAGCAAGCAAGCAAGCAAAGCAGAACAGAGCGACGTCAAGCACGGCAGTGCGTAAGCAGGAGGGAAAACCTGCCAAGTTTGCGTCGAGCGATCCCTGGAGATAATCTGTGCAGCGCCGAGGCAGCGGGTGAGACGCTGATGAGGTGATGATTGGATGTTGGGAGCGGGAACAACGAGCGAGCGAAAACAAAACAAAAAAGAGAAGGCGAAGAGAGGATGGAGGAAAAGAGGAAGAGAGGACAGGCGAGAAGACGAACAGCGACTGGTTGGTGAGACAGACACCTAGCAGCTGCGAGCCCCGAGTAGTCGCCAGCCTTGATCCAAGGCTCGCCCCGAATCGAAATGCAGCGGCAGCAGCAGGGCCTTGAGCAATCGCCAGGTTCACGATGCAGGGGGTGGCACGGCGACGATCGGCCGATGGGACATGACGGATGCGATTCGTCAGATGTGGAGTGAGGCAGAGAGGCGAGAGGGAAGAAGAGCGAGAGCTGAGCTGGAGAACGAAAGATGGAACAATATGCAAGAGGCAGAATGGGGAGACGTCCAGGCGGGGCTGGCAGGCAGATCTGCTGTAGGTGCTGTGCCGAGTATCTACTAACGTACCAGCGTATCTAAACAGCTGGCCAGTTCTTTGTTTCTTTACGCTTCATCGCCGTTTAGCCGGACGCCAAAGATCGCTCCAAGCACGAGATAAGTCATAAAAGAGCTGCGGCCATTACATGCTATTCCCCAGAACTATACTCGGGCTGAGCGCCACATCTTTCAATCCAGCAAATGGGCCCTGAACTAGAGGCGCTAGCTGTCAAGTCCTTAGTGGCATGGAGTTATGGATGGATTGAAGGCATTGATACGGAGAGTCTCGTTGTAACATGCACTGTTTCAACAACAAAACGTGAAAGAAGCGCACAGTAAGGCAAGGAGATATGAAAAGACAGGATTATTTCCCTCTTATGCCACTTGAAGCTTACTACCAGAAATCCCCTCGAACCTGCAGCCTCGATTCCACCCATCGTGTTTCGCATACACTTTTAGCACCTGCTACTTATCATCACCTGCCTGGCAGCGTTTCAGTTGCTGCACCTTTGTGAAAGCGAAAACCCACATCATCCTTTTTCTTTCCTTCTCGACATATCTTTTCTTGCTCTAAAACAAAGCTCTACTAAGTTTCCTTTCTTTTCCTCGCGTCATGTGCTCATATAGCAGTTAGAGAGAGGTATTTAACTCGGTACTGTTGCTCATACAGTCTAGGTCCCGTCTAAGAGTCACCACCACGCTATCGAGCACCATTTCCACCATCCTATCCGCATCGGCGCGAGCCTAGCATGACTGTGTAACCGAAAGTGGTTCCCGTCAGTCGCGTCTAGGTATCCAAATCTCTCTTCTACAGTGATCATACTTCACAAAGGTACTAAATCAACGAGATGCCGAAAGCAGGCTCTGTTTCTTGCTATATATAGCACCCTCGTTCCCATTCCAGAAATCCTTCCGATAATCACCACCAAATGAGGTGCCCTGGCTGGACTAGATACGAAAACCAGACAGCATAGGCCTACATACTTCTACCGGGTGATACCACGCCACCAAGTGTCTCAAAAAAGCTGGTGGCTGGGAGCTAGGACGCTCTAGCTTCCCATGACATGCGTTTTGCCAAACTCCCATCGAGCTAGTACGCCCGAGTAAATACATGCTGCAATCCATCCGGACGTAGTGCTCCCATCAGCTGCCTGCACGCAATGCGCATAGTCTCCCCAGCTTCCTTTCTGGGCCGTGTAGGGGGCGTGGTCCATATGGGCTGCCAAATTTGACAAGCAGCGGCACAGCCATCACAGGTGCAAGTTTGCCTGGTCGATACTGTGTGCTGGCACAATAAGGAAAATCATATACCTGTATTCTCGGCCAAAAATGAAGGATAATATCGTATTAATATCTATCTCTCAGAAGCTGCTGATCAAGCCGATTTGCACGCCAGAACAGCTTTTTTTTTTAGTACATCGTTGTGATATTTTCTGTATATTCTTCACAAGGTAGCGGCTTACAGTAATTGCATCAAACAAAGCCGCCATATCAGTTGAATGCCCTTTTCCAGTATTGATCCCATCCTTAACCCTTCACTTTACATTTTGAGCGATTAAATGTTGAACTGCTTGATCAACTCTACTAGCTTGTCGCCCTCTGTCTTATAATCCATCAGTGCCGCGCTCAACACTTGGTATCGCACCCTATAGATTCGTTAGTTCATCGCATTCTTGAGAAGAAAAGCATAATTTCGAAACGGGTCGGAAACCCACCTTTGAGTATCGCCAAAGTGGTCCAGCTTGGCTCTGCACCTGAAAGTCAGCTTCTTGCAGTTTACAGCCTCGAAAGCCGCCATGAACTTGGCATCGTCATTCTCTTTGAGCTCCATCAGCTCGTTGGCAGACATGCCCACTATTATCCTGCCGGTATCGTCGAAGCAGCTAAGCCACTGGTGGCTCGTGTGGTCAGCCACGTTGAGGTTCAGGATGTAGCGGTAGTCAGGCCTGTCGTGTGATACATTGCACTTTTCGCAGTGCCATGTGCCATCGGGCATACTAGTGACTTTTTTATTGCATCCCTGGGTGGAGCAAGCAGGATAGCAAAAACTGTCCTGCTTCACGAATACAATGGTAGCCTTGATTGTATAGTATGCTTGGTCGTCCACGCCAAGGTTCTCGTCTTTGACCTGGGAAATTGTCTTGATATCCTCCTTTCGGCCTGTTGCGCCAGCTACACCAGCAAGATTCTGGTGAGTAGCAAAGGTATCAGTTCGACCAGCCGAATCGTACCAGCCCTTGAGGCGATAGGCGTCGGGGATATCAGGGTTGACGGTCATGGTTCCTGACGAGAGAAGGCTCAGGCTCTTGCCACCAAAGTCTGATACCTTGGTGCCCTTGAAAGCAACCACTGACTCTGGGTTGGTGTCAAAGGCGCTTGCTGTCTTGCCCCAAATGGTGACACGCACAGAGTAGCCGGTATCATCTACCAAGGTCAATTCACGTTTCTGGAAGGGTCGTCCGTCCTTCTTTGATGTGATTTCGCTGACTTCAGCAACCTCCTTCAACACACCAATCACATCAACGGTGCTGTCCTTTTCCACGCTCTGTAGCTCTTGGATAGAGCAAAAGTTAAACCTTAGCTGAGGCACGTTGGTCTGATCTTCTGCCTTCTCGATGACTGTCTCTCGCTCAAAGGTGAGCTCGTAGTCGTTTGGCAGGTTGCTGAACTGCTTCTTTGCCAGCGCAACTCGACAGGGGGTAGAGACGTAGTAGACAGAGCCCTCTTGAAGGAGGTCATAAAAGGCGTCGCACTGGTCATTGAAGCCAGTAGCCTTAATCTCGCCACTCTCATCAAGAAAATTGACGCTAAAAAGCTTTCCCTCTCCCGTTGGCTTATGCCATGTCTTGATATCTGATTTGAATGTTACGCGGGCCTTGATTGTCCATTTGTGGGAGAAGGGCGAAAGAGCCTCGATGGGGTAAATGTTAGCACCAGCATGTGTAGCTGACCGTGACGGCGCCGGCTGGTGCTGCTGCATCTGAGGCTTGGTATCCATTTCCTCCTTTTTGGCACCATAAAAGTCGTTTCCATCGATCGTAGCATCAGCGGCTTTGGGTTCGTGGACCACCGGGTTGCCAATCTTGTCGTGCAGTCCAAGAGACTCGATAACTTCAATCTCCAGAATAATCAGGATGCTATCCATTTGTCAGCTATGTTTGAAGTACATAATTTTTCATATGGTATCATCTTACTGCTTTCCCTTCAGGATATTCGGTTGGTACTTCTTCACTCGAGCTATGCAGCCCCTCTCAAGCTTGCCATCGTGAATGATGTGGTTAGCTGCGGTAGCCAGCATAGTCTGGACGTAATTATTGCCATCGCTCATGACAAGTCGCCATCGGTCGCCGCCTTGGCCTGAGGGCCCCATCTGCTTGATCTGTAGGCATTGCATCACCGGGACGGGAAAGAGCTTCGCCGCCTGGTCGGGATCGTTAAAGATGGCACTGCAGCTGGGTCAGTCGATGGTGGAATAGAAGAAGAGCAAAACTCGACAAGTCAACTTACTTGATGCAGCCCCGTGATAATGCAGATTCGGCGTCCATGATGTGCTGCGATGATGATCCTTGACCAGCTTTTTTGCTTTGGCAAGTCAAGCTGCGACGCTGAGAATCGTGCACTTTACTCGAATGCTCTGGCAGACCCGCGACGCGATTCTCTTTACGCGTTGCCTTGGAGCGATTACGTGAGGCGGGGCAGGCTTCAGCGGTCTCTTTCACGCGTTGAGAGGTCACGTGAGGCGCGGGGCAGGCGGGGTGTTGCCACTTTATCCAGGCTGCTGCGGTATCTCATGAGAATTGAGATGAACGATACAAGATGCTGAATAATTTCTAATAATGTAGACATGGTGTAATTCATGAACTATTCATATAATGAAGGCTATATTTGGTTTATTTTGCATGTGATGTAATACTTTGAAAATTCTACTCAGCGCCTTGCTCGCATGTTTAAGAATCAAGTGCTCACTGGGATATTCATGCCTTCAAGTATGCAGCCAGAATGAAAAGAGGCATGGTAAAAATTGCAGTTTTATTGCCTTTCATACTTGCCGTTGATATCAAGCTATTAAAGTCGAAGAGGTCACGATCAATGTATGCGAAAGTTTGTAGCTGCTTTGTTCTTTCACGGACCACCACACTATAGCCAAGTACTGAGCCAAGCCACTCACTCCCTTGTTCTCTACATGAAACCGCACGAGGTATGACGTTCCAACCTAGCCGCCGCAAAGCCTCGTCAGACACATAGCTTCCATCCATGACAAACAACACGTCAGCAGCAGGCTTGGAGATAGCATCATCACTCAGTGCCGTACTTTTAACTTTTGTTGCATCTATCTAGTAATAAGGCGATCTATTGTCTGCCCCTCATCATACTCATACACCAGCCTGCAGCTACCATGACGGAGCTTGACCTTGCCACAAAGGCGCCAGAGAACGATGCGCAAGAGGACTCCTCGGTCGATACGCCGGCGCAGTCCAGCCCGATGATGGGCGACCATGAGCACTGTGTAACTGACAGGCCTGCTCGTATGTGTGAACCTCATTTGCAACTTGAAGCCGTCTTTACATCTGACACCGCACAGCCGCCGGCCAAGGACCAACCGGTGAAATCATCAAGCTAAATGACATCGACGTATGTTTAAGCCGAGATGAGGCTTCTTATATAAGTCCTAGCATCTAATTCCTAGCTGCTCCCAGGTGTACATTTCAAAACCAGCCGACTATCCTCATGCGCCCACCCGCCTTCTTCTCTTTCTCACAGGCGGAACGGGCATCAAGTCTGTCAACAATCAGATCCAGGCCGACAATTACGCCGCCGAAGGCTTCCTCGTACTCATGCCGGACATGTTTGGCGGTGAAACAGCACCAGGAGGAAAAGAAGCCTACGTTGCTGATAATTCGGTGTCTCTTCTAGAACAAGTGAAGCTAAAGGCCGTGGAGATTGCAAAATCGTTCTTGATCGACATGTGGCTGGCGAGAGTGACTGAGGCCAAAATCATGCCGATATTACATAAGGTGATTGAAGCGGCACACGAAGAGTATGCTGATGCTATCAAGCACGGCGAGGGCATATATGCTGTGGGATACTGTGTTGGAGGCCGTTATGTCCTTCTTCTTGCCAAGGGAACGCAGGAGGACGGTAATGACGAGGAAGCCGGGATGATGAAAGCTGGGCCTTATATCAAAGCGGGAGCTTTGGCGCATGCTGCATCTGTGACTCCAGACGACTTCAAGAATCTTCAAGCACCATTAAGCTTGGTGTGTGTCGAGAACGACGCCTTATTCACTGATGAGGTTCGAAAAGCAGGCGAAGACCTGATGACGCAGGATAACGTAGAGCATGAGGTTCAGGTATATCCTGGAGTACCGCATGGTGAGTTGGGACCCTATATCCATGAAAGAGTTATGTCCGCTGAACAGTAACAGGATTCGCGGTTGCGGGCCAGTATCAGGAATCAAATATCATGGACGCCCAGGTTACGGCATACGAGCAAATGCTGAGATGGGTGAAAGACCATTAATATCACAGCTTCCCATTGTTCACACTGCACATTTTATGGTTTCGTCTTTTTTTTTTCCTATGTTTTTTTCCCTCCAGCATACTAGGTATATGGATTTTATGACGCAGCAGAGGTAATACACTTATATTTCCATGCTTAGACTATCGTGCAGATAATCTTGCCCGAGTTTTTAGCATTTTCCATGTGCTCATGTGCCTCTTGGATCTTGTCCCAAGGCAGCACCGAGTCAATAAAGATCTTTAGCTTTTGTGATTCGAAGTCGGGAATGTACGCCTCCAGCCTATCTCGCAGCTTGCCCTGGTACTCTTCGTCACGGCTTCGCAGGGTGCTGCCCAAAACACGAAGGCGCTTGTATAAGATGACACCAACATCCGCATCAGGAGCCTTGCCTCCGCTCATAGTGCCCAGGAGGAGTATGCTGCCGTCCATGGCAGCCACGTTGAGGTTCTTTTGGAAATAATCTCCGCCAATGAAATCGACAATGTAGTCAACGCCCTTGCCGCCAGTCTTGGCCTTGATCTCGCTGACCCAGTCCTGGGTCTTGTAGTTGAATGCCGCAGTGGCGCCGAGCTCAGAGGTGATAAAGTCGATCTTCTCCTGGCTTCCCGCAGTAGCATAGATCTCAGACGCTCCGGCGGCCTTTGCGAGCTGGATGCCCGCAACCGAAACGCCAGAGGCACCGGCGTGCCAGAGGATGCTCTTGCCCTTGACAAACCCAAGCACCAAGTGCAGTGCCTGGGTTGCCGTGATCCAGGCCTCGGGAACGCCAGCGCACTGCTCGTGCGTCAGGCCCTTTGGCTTGTGCAGCAGCATCTTTGTGCTGACGGCGATGTACTCGGCATAGGCGCCTCCGTAGGCCAGTCCAAAGACCTCGTCGCCAATTTTGAAGCCGTTGTGGTCGTCGGAACCAAAGGACTCGATGACGCCGCTAAACTCTACGCCAAGAGTCTTGGGGGCCTGAGGGGGCACGGGGTAGAAGCCGTTGCGCTGGATAATGTCCATGCGGTTGATGCCAAAGGCATGGACCTTGACGATGGCCTGTCTGGCCGAGGGGGCGGGCTTGGGAGTGGCATCGTTGATGAAGAGAGCTTCCCGGGGACCTTTTCCGTCCTTGATGTCTATAAGCTGTGTTAGTTTGTTTATCTTGTTGCTATAGCAGTTATAGCAGTTATAGACGCCGTAGTGCTTAGTTGAGACTCTTACCAACTGCTCTCATCGTAGCGGCCATTTTTATACTAATTTCTTATAACAGGATATAGTTTCCTATTCGCTGATCGGAACTGAATCTTTGATACAAATCATAACCCCTCAAACATTCCGCGGCCACATATATATACTATTCCTCATTCTACAACCTTTTCATTAAAATATTGCGTCACAAGCCCACTTGCATGAGGTATACGGTTCGCTAACCTCAGCCATTAGTAATGCCCCTAATTTTAGTGAGGAGAACGAGCAGCATCTAAAACCCGATGCACTCCTCTTTGCGGACCTATGCGGACTATTCTACCGAATGCCGGTCTTTTGTATGGGGTATTCGTGCTATGCCTCGGGAAGTGTGGCCATCGCGGGCATATAGTTTTACGGTGGAGGATTTGTCTTCACATTAAACTTGGAGTTGTTTGATGAGAGATATCGAGAAACACTTCTCGAGTCCGGATTCCGATTCCAGATATCTGCTCCGTGCGTGCATCCAAACTACTTGTTTAGAGCATTCTATCTCGGAGTTCAACAGCTCTACTATTTGGCAGAGCTGAGTCAGCTATTCGATAATCTACTCCATATTTTGTCAGTAAAGCGGAACGGAAAGGCCCTACAAGGCAGTGTCCTGTTCCGCTTTGGCAGATTTTTGCTTGCTCCACGATGTTTCTTTTGTGTTCTACCGAGGTGAAATTGAGGCGTGAACTATCGAGTGGCGACCGGAACGCTGTACCTGTATAGATTCCGTACGTACCCCTATGAAGATTCCGTATCCGTAGGAGAAATCGATAAAACAATCCGGATCAAGACTACTACTAGTAATGATTTGAACCGAAGATGCAATCGCCGACACAATCGCCGATGCTTAGTAGTAGCAGCATAACAACTTGCGACGACTGCGCGATATGCCAGGTCTTTCAAGAGAACATGCGCTGCAAAACAAACGAATAAACAAACGAATAAACACGGCGTCAAATGTCAGATTGATGAGTAAATCTGAGACTACAATTCATATTTGTCAAGCTTACAAGAGAGCCAAGTTACAAAAATCAGACTCATCAACTGCGCCCTACCTAAGTCTGAGGTCCGTATCATCTCGGTTTGTCGCAAACCTTGACTTGATTACCTGGATCCTCATCTACCTCGAAAACAACTGGGAAATAATATCATAATTTATCACAGAACTAGCCTCAAACATCAAGTAAAACTCGCATGATAATCTCGTCATACGAACATGCTGTAGATTTTGACTTGTAAGCAACACAAATGGCTAGCCATCTGCATGAGGATATTTTTGAGAGACGCTTCCGCCCTATCATTTCACAGCATTCTTAACCTTCCCCGAGGCCTGTAGAGTTACTACGTAATATTATCTCGGCGGCGCATGCGTCGGCCCCATTGAAATCTCATACGCGTATATCTCAGTGAGCCAGTTACATGTTGGGCAATAGTGGTTGATTCCAGAAGAAAACAACAAACAACTGCTACTGCATGCTATGAGCACAACACGCCCCCAGTGTGTGCCTCCCGCAGTCTGAGACATTGGCCGGAGAGTAACAATGCGACGAACTATGCACATACGGCATTTTGTAGCTGAGGGATTTAGCCAGCTGATACCGCAGCCGTCGGATCGGAAGCTGCCCGTTGGCTCTCGAGCCCTCCATGCACTGCTCTAGCGATGGAAGAGAGCATGGATAGGCACATGTAGCCCATCATTACTCGTAGCAAGCTTGATAAGAGTCGAGCCTAATCAGTTAGATTGACTGCAGCTACTATCGACGGGACTTCGCGTACTGCTAGCACCAGTAAAAGTTCCCCCATATCAAGGACTCGCACAGCCACGCTGCTAAGCGCGGACATCGACATCTTATCGGAAAAGCCAAGCTCTTAGCTCTGCGTTGATGCCCCATTATAGCTGCTGTCGTCCCCCGATAAAAGAAAAGTCGCGGCAGCATTTGCGAGGTCGGCCAGTTCGGGAAGATGGGGGAAATTAACCAGATGCGACCATGGCACCGCGAATCCCAGCAGCGCGTTTCGCGGCCTTTTAGCATATCAATTCCTGCGAATGAAGCTTCGCCTGTAATCAAACTTTGGAAGGCTATTGGAAGGTGGTGGACTCGAACGGGCGAATCCAATGCAGGGGCACTCAGTAGTGGCCGCAGAAGCTGTAGGGCGTATTGCAGCGGATGAGCCGACTTGCCGGGCATGGTTGATTTGAGAGTCAAGCTTTTGACAACGCCCGGCTTCTCGCCCACTCGGCCGCATTATACGGTGTCGGTTGACAATTAACCATATTAATTGCCAATTTTACCTGTAGTTATCCCGTACTCCATTTTTGTACGGGGAAGGGTCAAGCTGTTGCGGGTAAGAGTTTATACGGATGGTCGTATAGATACCAGGTAATAGGCAAGCATCTGCGCTTTGCTTCTTCACGGAGTAGGTTGAAACTCGAACAAAGGACCCAATAAAGGCAATCCGTCGAAACTTGGAATCAAGCAAGGAATGTTGCTGTCACATGTAATCCGAATGAAGAGAGAGAAAACTTGATTCATGATGCATCGTATCCTAACGGAGTCGGCGCTCGTATACCATTATAGAAATGGCAACTAAAGTTAGCAGGTTGAAGATCCTTCACTCGGAAGCGTCGGTGATCGCCGTCCAGAAAATGCTAGTAATGCCAGTAGCAAACCTTGTCCAGAACAGAGTTGAGAGGCAGAGCATACTGTAGGGCAGAGAAGAAGTAGAGAAAAGAGCGGTCGATCAGGATCTCTCCTTCTATCGAGATGCATCAGGGGCGCTGCAGGTCAGATGTGGCGCCGGTGATCGTCGCTCCAAGAAGCCAACGGCGGGCTGCGGAAACGGTCGGCTGGTCGGCGACTTTGCAGCGCGCAGCTTGAACCGTCAAAGAGACGGTGAGAGAGACGCGTAATGCCACTGCTCATACGAGCACAGTACAGTTCAATACTGCCACGAGCTGTTCCGTCCCTTGCCTGCGCATAAGACACGCATGTACGAGCACGTCTCTCCCCTATTCCGCTGCGCAAGCGAACAGTCTAGTGGGTGGCGAGCTGGCCATGGCCGATAAGAAGCTGGAGGACCCAACAATGGCCGAGCAACCCTGGGAGCAGAGTGGATAAACGGGAAATTAGCAGAGGGTCACCGGGGGTGGGCAGCACTGGCAGGCAGGGCACTTCAGCCAAATGGTTCGCTGGCTCTGCATTGGCCGTCGCTCACCGACGGAGCACAGGGCATCATAGATGTCTCCTAGCGGCAGTGCTACCGGCCACTACAGCTGCTAAAGCGCTCATGAGAAGTCCAACTGCGGCGACGTGCACAGTACGAGGCTGCCATGACCGATTGCTGGATGCCTGGAAAGTTGGCCCCCCAAGCAGCCAGAGTCGCAGGTTGAAAGGCAGAGTGGGTTGTCTTTGCGCAAGGAAAAGCGGTGCCCGGCTTGCTCCCCGTCCAAGGTCTGAGACGGACCACGTGATTCGCCTTGGAGACGAGACAAACCGAAAGACAGTTGACATCCACACAAACAAAAGCCCCTCGTAATATCAATGCGGCTTGCATTGACAGTGGAAATTCTCTAGGTCGACGGCGCTGTGTTATGGTGGATTGACGGTTGCGGGAGAATTGCTACAATTGATATTGCCGGTACAAGTGGCAGCTACTTCGTAGAGCCGGCTGTATTGGAACTAGAATCAGGCAAGCATCCAGCAACGTGGGCGCGGGAGATGCACATCCTTGCATGCACATCTCCTTTTTTCTTCCTCTTCTCCATCTTGGGGCTTCTAGTGCCACTGCTGCTGCTGCTGTATTGGGATACGACTTGACGCTCTCAAGCATTGCGATAAAGGAATGGGCCTTGATAGAATCTCACGTAGCGGGAAAGAGAATGAGCTGGCTACCCAGCATGGCACAGCGATAACATGCTAATCATAAATGGAAATTCGAGCAATCTCATCTAATATCGCTCGCACAGTCAGGAAGGTGCCAGCGAACCCGCTTGCCAGCTTGCTTGTCGCCGAGGCGTGGGAAAAGTGACCAAAACGTTCTGGTTCCTGCATTAGCGCCAGCGCACCCAGAGCCACTAAGAAAGGTTGATCCGATGAGTGGGAGGGGCCACCGCGGCCAAAACAGGGATAAAGCCCCAGGGGAAAGAAAAAAGAAAAATTCAGGAACAGCGCTAGCAGCAGGGCTAGAGGGCAATAGTTGGCAGCAATATCTGGAAAGTTGCAGCAGCAAATTTAAATCCAGTCCCCGTTTATGATTCATCGATTTCGTCCCATGATCGGCAGCGAGAGACGACAATAATAGCAGGTGGGAACGTGGACGCTGCTAGTAAAGGGGGCCGGCTTGGAACCGGATCACCAGAAACTGGGCTGTTTGGCTTTGTATGGAGACAGCGCTGTTTGGCATAGAAGAGCTCGCGAAACGTGCCCTGCTCCGCATATTATACGAGAAGGAATTCAATTAGAAGCCTGTATAGATGCCGGAAACGGCCCTGTAAGCAGTCAATCAGTGGGAAGCATGATTGATGCCCAGCGCGCCGTACATAGCAGGAGCAGTACGAGATACCATGTATACCCGCAAGCATGGTGGCTCGTACCTGTGATGCGGGATAATGGTTGGATACTGTTAATTTCTAAAGGCACATGTATCCAACAGGCTGATAAGCAGCCATGTGATGGATGCAATACGGACCGCCCACATTGTTTGATATGCCGTGCAAGCATGATAGCTGCGGTGCTTGATACGAGCGAATGAATATACCTATACGAGATATACAAGCAAGAAACAATGTTGCAAGACATCCCCTCTTCTGCTGCGGAGAGGACTCGGCAAGTAAAACAAAACAAAACAAAACAAAACAACAGCATACTGTAGACTCTGTTGCTGTTGGCTAGGCGGGCACGAGTCGATATCTGCAGTCTATGCACTGTATATACTGTCAATAATTCAATCACATCGCCTTGACACTCCTCTTTCATTTGCACGTTCAATGTTGTGTCTGCCCTTGCTTGATCCCATTTTCGCATCACGTCGTTGGCGCCCGCTCATTAGACAGATTAAAATAAACACGGCAAGCAAAGAGGCGCCACCATGCGACCCTTTTTGATTGTGTGGCTTTCCGACCGCTGCAGCTAGCGTTGCTAGGGCCTCCATCCTGTGGCTCCCAGCCCCTGCATGGCCGCATCCACGCTCGTGATGCATCCCCAAGGATGTCTGTCTTGCCTCTGCAGCTGGGCTCATCCACCGTCCCCATCACGGCCCACTCTTTGCCTGTGCTCTCCTCCCTCCAAGGTGCACCCCTGGCAGCTTCCCCTGGCGGGTTTTTTTCTCTTGGTTGCTTGCCCCTGTCGCTGTCCGCACTGCAGTTTGGTTATAAAGACGATGCCTCCAGACGCCCAGCTAGGTCTTGATCTCTTTTTTCTTTCCTCACCACACACTCACGCTCGCTAAGCACCTGCAAATTTACCTTGACACTTTGTCAATTTCATTCTTTAACCAACAACCTCAGCAAATAATCTTAATCAAGCTCTTCGAGTTTAATCCCTAATAACCGACAAAATGAAGTTCACCGCTGCTGTCGCTCTCGCCGCCGTTGGCGTTTCCGCCGTCTACGTTCCTCCTAGCAACGTCACCGTCGTTACCGAGGTCGTCGACACCTACACCACCTTCTGCCCCTTCGCTACCCAGATCACCCACGGCAGCAAGACCTACACCGTCACTGAGGTATTTACGACTTGAATCGGCTCAATTCACGAAAGAACCTGCGGCTAACAAGAGTGCTCTAGCCCACCACTCTGACCATCACTGACTGCCCTTGCACCATCACCCGCCCGGTCACCACCGTCAGCAGCGTTCTCTGCAACACCTGGTAGGCTACATCAATATCTTCGAGTACAACGAATCCAGCCACTAACGTGTGTCCCATAGCGGTGCTGCTGCTCCTACTGGTGCCGTTCCCACTGGCGGCAACGGTGGCTCTGTCCCCCCTGCCTTCACCAACAGCACCATCAGCTCCCCCACCCAGGCTCCTCCTGCTGGCGGCAACGCTGCTCCCACTGGTCCTGCTGGCACCGGTGCCGGTGTTCCCACCGCTCCTCCCGCCATCCCCACCGGCGCTGCCTCCAAGGCCGTCCTCTCCGGAGCCGGCCTGGCCGGTATCGTCGGTCTGGCCGCTTTCGTCCTGTAAATCTCGTAAATGTCGACACACCTCGCCAATATACCGTCTACGATTTCTCGGTTCAATGATTCTTGGGAAGTCGTGGGTCCGGCCTCCGCTCATGATTTTGATATAAAGGGAGGGAACAAAAAGTGTTGGGGTATTTACTTATTTGGTTTACGTTCACGGGATGGGAAGTGATTGGTTCTTGTTTTGGGATGTATAGAGAAGGGTTCTCTTGGGTTATCACGGGACAAATGCAAGCTCGGTGTTCAAGGGAACTCGATTTTTTTGATCGCCCCCACGAGAAGATGCGCTACAATCAACTGTGTGCGGTCGTTTCTCGGGGCCGGAATATAATGTGTCAATTTTTTTCTTCTACAGCAAATTAGGATGGGTTTCGCCCTGACCTCCCCTCGCGATTTTCACCTTACTTTGAGACAAACTTTTAAGAAAGAAAAAGACGCCTTTTTTTTCCTGCCTCGGAAAACATTATCGATTCCATTTCTTTTGTCAGATTCTTTCAAACTTCGTTCCTCGATGCGATGGTACTCCGGATCGCACGAGGCCTTTTTTTACATACTGGCTGGGCGTGTTTATGGCCTCTTGTCAATATCTATATATAAGTGTCTGTGAGCTTTGGTTATCGAAAACGATAGCTGGCAAGCAGGAATAGCATTTACTAAAGAGGGCAGTTTTGGCTCGGCATACCTTTCCGTCCGTTTCTTTTCTAATTTCACTTTGGAAGTGTGAGATTTGTGTGTCTTAGACATTACCGTGATCACTGCCTTGGCCGATGATTCTGCCCACCCGCAAGTAAGTATATGTTATATATCGACAATTGTGATGCTTCATTTGGTATCTTGTCTTTCAATAGGCGGTGAAATAGCAATGGCGTGAGCCGTAGAAGGGAACCCGTCGAGGACCATGTGGCTTCGGGCTGTTCCATGCCAAGTGGTTTAACCGTCCGTTTTTACGCCTAGGGGATTTTCGAGCCATTGGGTGCGGCTTGCCAGAGAATTGATGCTGGTGAGTTTGACGAGAGGCATTCAGCGGAGCATTTTGTCTCTTTTGACTTGCTATAATACCGGCTTTTTCATTTCGAGGTCATTTTACCTGAATGGAAGAAGCCTGAAGGTGCTATAACTTAGTTGTCATTTGGCACCGTAAATTGTCGCGATGTATGCAACTGCGCTACTGTGGGAGGAACTTGTTCAGCCTTTTCACACTATAAAGCTGCCTGCGGTGAGTAAAGTATTGTACTTTCTATCCTGACTCCTTTAAATAGCAGCATATTATCAATCTCGGCGTGGGGTTGCCACTTCACGGAACTTCCCGTACAACGATATCTGCCTTGCCTACCTTTGTAAGGCTATAGGGTGAGTGAGCTACGCTGGCCTTGCATCTTCAATTGCCGTCCATGGGCTGCCTGGTTATGAATTGAGGGAGTGCATATTTCTTTGGCATCTTATTTTTATCTTGGCTTCCATTAACCTCCCTCTTGATCCCTGACTCTTCATCTCTGTGTTGACCGGCATTGTGCTGTCAAATTAACTTTTCAATGAGTCGTGTAAATGACAGGCATTACCGAGCTCTGCCGAATACAGACGCTGAATGGCTACTATCGATAACGCGGTGCAACATGGGTAAATCTGGCGCTAAAAGAACACGCCGGCTTTCTTTCAACAACGTGCAAATCAAATCAAATAAACTTCATTAGTCAATGGAAAATCTGGGGTAACATGGTAGTCGAATTGGCTTTTGCGGGGAGATTTCGGCAAAGCAAATGCTCGGAGGAAAGGAACAGATAATCGCAGAGAGCAGAGGGCAGAGAGAGAGAAAGAGCGGGGGGCGAATCCGGGGCCCCAGCTCTTCCGTGTGCTACGAGTAATGCTACCTTGGCTAAGAAGATGGGAAGGAGCGCCGTGGCCTATGCCGGGGAAAGAGCAGCTGCTCCACCGTAGCTTCCGCCTGCGAGCCTTGCCGCAGGTATCGCCTCCTTCCACACGCGTCATGGTTCTTTTTTTCCTGTCATGTCCACCTTGAAGCTCTGCTGCAACACGCTTCGCGGCTTTAGTCATCAGGAGGCTCAGGAAGGTGTATAACCGAGGATAGCAGCCGCTTCGTGTGCTTATAACAGACGCCGCGAAGCTCAGACTCAACCGAAAGAGTTATGACCGCATTTTGAAGCTCATTTCATTTCCTGTTACTTGCCCTTTTCTCTATTACACAGCATCTCACGCAAACCATTGGTATCACTTACCCGCTCCCCAGTTCCCCAGCATATCGAAACACACTTACACTCCTACATCTTCCGTCTCCGCCATGTCCGCCAAAGGCGGCCACATCCAGGATGATATCCTGCGACACAGCCTGGAGAACCCCGAAGAATTCTGGGCGCACCAAGCAGAGCATCTCTACTGGCACAAGAAGCCCAGCTCAACGTTAAAGCTCACGTCCAAGAAGCTGAAGAGCGGCATTGAGCACGACAGCTGGGAGTGGTTTCCGGATGGCGAGATCTCGACGTGCTACAACTGCGTGGACCGACATGTCGAGGCTGGCCACGGCGATCAAGTTGCCATCTACTTCGACAGCCCCGTCTCCAAGACAAAGGAGAAATTCACATACCGCCAGCTGCTCAGCGAGGTGGAGGTGCTCGCGGGAGCGCTGAGAGAAGACGGCGTTCGCAAGGGCGATGTTGTCATGCTTTACAGTAAGTACACTCCACAAGCACTCATAGAACACCTCAAGTTACTAACAATGAGCAAAAAAGTGCCCATGATTCCCGCTGCTCTCATTGGCATCCTCGCCGTGAGCCGCCTAGGCGCCATCCACTCCATCGTCTTTGGTGGCTTTGCCCCCAATGCCCTTGCCCAGCGCATTGATGCGTGCAAGCCCGTCGTCCTCCTGACAGCATCATGTGGCATTGACGGCAACAAGCCCCCTATCCCATATCGCCCCCTTGTTGAGGAGGCCTACCAGCTGGCCGCGCACCAGCCACGCAGGACGTTGATTTGGCAACGAGATCAGGTTAGGTGGGGGCCAACAGACCGCAGCGCAGGCCAGGCGACGTGGCAGAAAGTTGTGTCCAGTGCGCAAAAGAGAGGCATCAAGGCCGATTGCGTCCCCGTCAACAGTGCTGACCCAGTGTACATCATCCATACATCTGGCACGACTGGTACGCCAAAGGGGGTGTTGCGAGATGCTGGAGGCCATGCGGTTGGCTTGCATCTCTCAATCAGCTATCTATTCAATATCCACGGGCCCGGCGACGTTGTCTTTACCGCGTCGGATATTGGCTGGGTCGTTGGGCACTCATACATCATATACGCACCGCTACTAGCCGGAGCCGCTACCGTCATATACGAAGGCAAGCCGGTTGGAACGCCAGATGCCTCTGCTTTCTGGCGCATTATCGAGGAATACAAGGTTAACACCATGTTTACTGCACCGACGGCTCTGCGTGCTATCAAGCGTGACGATCCAGAGAACAAGCTTCTGGCTGAGACTGGCAAAAGGGGTGGTCTTCGCTCGCTCAAGGGTCTTTTCTTGGCTGGGGAGCGATCAGAGCCAAGCCTCATATCCATGTACCAAGAACTTCTTGACAAATACGCGGGGCCAAATGCACATGTCGTTGACAATTGGTGGAGTACCGAGGCTGGTTCTCCCATGACAGGCCGCGCTCTGGTCCCTCATGCGGGCAAGGATCGCAAGACCAAAGTTCGTGACCACGAGCCGCCTCACTTGAAACCTGGTAGTTGCGGTAAAGCCATGCCTGGCTTTGATATCCGCATTGTGGATGACGAGGGCCGTCAAGTCGACAGCGGCAACATGGGAAATATCGTGCTTGGAATGCCGCTCGCGCCGACCGGATTCCGCACTCTATGGGACGATGAGGAGAGATTTTACGGAGGGTATCTGAAGAGATTCAAAGGAAAGTGGCTGGACACGGGAGACTCAGGCTGGATCGACGGAGATGGCTACATCCATGTCATGAGCAGGAACGATGATGTGCTGAATGTGAGCGCACATCGACTATCAAGTGGTGAGTATTATCTTGCGCTTCTACTCTTCTTATAAAGCGTTTAACTAACTCTGTTCTTCTCTTTAGGTGGCATTGAGCAAGCCATTACTTCGCACCCCCTGGTTGCTGAAGCCTGCGTCGTGGGCGTTCCTGATGCCCTCAAGGGCCAACTGCCTTTCGCCTTCATCACTCTCTCCACTCCGTCTCATCCGACTACCGCTATCCCGGACGAAAAGACTTCTTCAGAAATCCAGGCCCTTGTGAGAAAGCAGGTTGGTGCCATTGCCTCACTTGGCGGTATCATACAAGGCAAGGGCATGATTCCCAAAACACGCTCTGGTAAGACCCTGAGACGTGTATTGAGAGAACTAGTAGAGAATGCGACCAAGGGGGAATATGATAAGGAGGTTGCGGTTCCGAGTACTGTGGAGGACGCATCAGTTGTGGATGTGGCTAGGACAAAGATAAAGGAGTACTTTGAGGAGGTGGGTCGCAAGCATTGCGGCATTGAGGAACATGAAATCAAGGCTAAGCTGTAAGGAGTGGTGGATATAAGTTGGAATTTTGTCGAGCATTTGGTCTTTTAGGATATAGGATTGGCGAATCTATCAGTCTGGGATATTTAATATTCAGCAAGTATGCAGCTTAGTGTTACTGCAATGAAAGAGCCATGTAAGCCACGTTCCGCATACTACTGCTATCTCATTACGATCATGGTCATTACTAGAAAGTTAATGGATACCCATCTGATGTTACTACTAGAGCTGCCCTTTTCCCCCCCACCATCTCGTCGTCCCATCTTGCAGTGACAGGCCCCTTGAGGCCCCCGTCGCCCCATTTCTATCTCAGCTATCACATAAGCCTTTCACTAACTCCAGGGCCATCTCGGTATTTCCCTCTAACAAGATCCATCCAATACTGTGCCATTCATTGTCATTCAGTTCACTCAATTCTTCTAGTGTCACCGCAGCCCACCCAGTGTTGTCGCCCCTCCTCCTTCTCGTATTCCCCCCCAAAAAAACTCGAAACAGGCTTGCAACGTTCGTTTGTCCTACAATATCCTCTCCCCCAAAAAGAAAAAAAGAAGAAAAAAAAAAATCGCCACCCCGGGAGAAGAGAAGCACGGTGTGACACAGTATGGTGCGTGCGTGGGTATGTGCGCGTGTGTAGGTAAAGAAGCAGGGGATGAGAGAAACGGTTTTTTTGTGTTGTGGGAGTGTGTAGCCAATGCCAATGTTTTTATTGATGTGAAGTAGTGGCTGTTGCGCAAGATTTCGCCTTCTTTTTTCTGTCTGATCTTTGTCAGAGCCTGTTTTCTTTCATTATCTATTTATGTATTCTCACATGTAAAATGAGCCGATTGGATTGTTACATGGTGTTTGTGGTGGTGGTCGAGGAGGGCGGGATAAAATGGCGTTGCACACGGCGGAGGTGGCACACGGGAATAGGGGTAAGTGATTGCAAAGGGGAAAGTGAGATGAATTCTATCACGGCGTTGATTCTTTTTTTTTCTTACAAAAAAAAAAAGGCAACTAGGCACAAGAGGGTTGAATATTGCCATCTGAGATACAAATGCTGAATGTTCATGATATATGGCTTATTAGCTAGAAAATGGCAACCCTGGGCATGTGATCAAATACATTGAAGGTTCACGAGGCGTAAAACGAGTGCTCCAAACGGGGGAACTTTTCCATCAGTCGTTCGTACCAGACCGTTTTAGGTGAGCAAGTGCTTCGTGCAATGACTTACACAAAGGCCGTTACAATCCGGAAAGATATACACAAAAAAGGGCCTGTGCAAGGAGAGAGATATGTCCTGTGAGCCCGGGACAGAGTCTAAAGCCAGTTAGATCCCTACTGTTCCTTACATATTCCAGCAAATAGACTAAAAGATGGTGGCACGATGAGAACTCCAAGCTTCGAACTGAGCAATTTTTTTTTTCTGATTCTTTTTTCTCTCTCTCCTTGCCATCCATCCATCCATCTCCTTGTCCAAGAGAAATAAGCCAAACAAAGAGAGATTTGGCGATGGCGCAGCGCGGGGGGGTTTGGTGTATATTGTTCTCTTTGTGGCTCGTGAGAGGTGATGTATCATTATTCGTATCGGTGCGATGTGAGAGATTGTTTCCCCCCTTCCTCTCAATCATATTCATCTATAATGAAAATGTTTGCCGTCTACCTAAGCCCCTATAGTGCTTCTATGTTTAATTCAAGAGCAACCAATCCTTTGTTAATCGTAAAGTGACGATTGTCCAGAGGGAGGAATTGACGGTGTGGGTTCATTAGAGATTGTGTCCTGTTTTGAGTACAGCTCATAAACGCTATTTTGTGCCTTTGCGGCAATCTTGAGAGGAGAGAAGCGAGCTTCAGGCAACCTCTTTCCTTCTTTGAGACTTTCCAGTACCCTGATGTAAAAATTAGCCTCAAGTTATCAGTGATCAAATTGAGATTGATAACCCAATTCTACAATCAAACGGACTTGTAGCTCAAGAACCCAAAGGACAAAGCATACCATTCCACGCCAACAAACTTGACGCCGCAGCCGCCAATCCTCCGTATCTCCCGTTCAAGCTTGCCAGCGGCAAGGCCACCGCCGGTGCCATCTCCCCGTCGCGAGCCATTCGGTCGTCCAACAATGACATGCGTGACCCTTCGCCGTCCCAGATGCAAGGACATGTTGCCGCCGTTTTCCGTGATGAGCTGCTTCAGCCGATGGTCGGACACCATGGGGAATGTGCTGCCGTTGACGTAGACGGTGACTCCGTCAAACAGCTTCCGAGGGTTGTCTCGGGCGTCTGCTTCCTTTTCCTCGTCTTGCAGCCTTCGCTGTTCCATAAGGGCTTCCTCAGCCGTTAAGCACGGCTTGCTGCCCACCGTCCGACCCTTGTCTTCTGCTTCAATCCCCTTTGTCAGGCTCAACTCCAGCGTCTGGCGCATTAGTCCCGGCCGAGTCAGCATGTCCATGACGCTCCTCTTCCCCGCGCCATCTTGATCTTGCGCTCCGGCGCCCCAAGTGTCACTCAAGCGCTCGCCGCCGGAGCCATCGCCGGCGCGGAACTGGCTGCTGAGCTTCCTGCTGCGGGACTGTCGCCACCCCGTGCCGGTCTGCGTCTCTGCCCGCTGGTGGCCTGTAGCGGAGGAGTTCCAAGGGTCCCAGGGGCGTTGGCGGCGCGTGGCGGTGATCTGGGACAGGGGTATGTTTGGCGGCGGTGACATGTCGTTTTTTTCCCTTTCTTTGCTTTTCTCGGCAGTCTTGATCGCAGAATGATGTGCAGCTTGCAGGTGCTTTGCAGCCGTCACTTCTCTAGTCCGCGTCTGCCGCTGCTGTTGGCGATCGTGTCAGCTCCCCAGAGAGATCTGGCTTCCATCGACTCCATGTTTTTCCAGGGAGCAAACAAAATGTGCGCGCCGAGCCTCCTAGCATTCGTTAGGCGTCTCTGCTCAGCACCAACCGCCTCAGGACCCGCGTTTCAGCGCGTTTGTCCCGCTAAAGCGTCGTGAGCCACAGCGCCTGTTTGACGCCAGGTCACATGACCCTGCTGCACGGCGCTCCTCCAAAGATAGATCTCACCAGAAGCCACCCATGCAGAGGGCGAGAGCATCGTTCGATTTCTTGTCCCCCAGAGCATGTTATGCCCGGCTCAGGCATGGCGCCTTGTTGGTGCGTTGGCGAGAGCATCAGGGCTATGCCACTCTGCCCCCGCCCTGCTATCCCGTTTGCCCATCCCTCTCTGCCACCGCTCTTGAGCTTCGCCACCACTCGGTGTAAGTCAGCCAGCACTTGCATGTGTTTCGCTTCCTCCTGTCAAGGGGGTGAACAGACCACCACCATTACACCAAAGGTCTTGCCACTGCCGCTGTGCATTTGCACGCTGTCTTGTCCATCCATCATGTCAAAATCTCACGCACTCGATCCCGCCAGATGGAATCCCCGCCGGCGCCGAAGACACCCCCCAGCCGCTACCCGCGTCAAATGCAATACAGCCTGGCGCGCTTGGCTGGTCGTTGCAGCAGCTTGCTTGACGGCAGCCGGATGTAAGTTCCAATCATAGCAGTGTGATGCAGATACCTCGTGCTTCGTGCCACTTTGGATGCTCATCCTCGAGCCCTGTTGCCTGAGCCGTCACCGTGATGGTTACACGGATCAAACAGACAGACCAGCTATCAATTCTCTAGAGCACGCAAGGCACAAGGATCTTGGCTTGCTTCCGGCAAGCTCCATCTCATCCTTCCATTTTCTATTACATGATCTCCACGACAGTGTTCAGAAGCCACCTGTTTCACGCGAGGAAACCCTCGCCCATTATTGGCCATGGTCGGTTGGCAAAGTCCGCGATGAACATCTCTTCAGCTGTCTTGTCTTGGTCTTTCGAATGACAGGCGATACTCACTTCCTAAGCACGTCTTGTCAGCAGAATATAGTCTGTGTGACCAATGACTACTATACCTATTACGCTTCTTTCCAGACTACGGCTTGTCTCATCATACCTCGTCGTCTCAGCTCCTCTTACAAGCCGGTATCCATATGGTAGACGAAGCGTAGCACTCAAGCGTCGAAGTTGAGGAACATTTATCTCGATCTTTCGATATTTAACCAAGAATCCACTAGATCTTACCTCAAAAAGACGGTTTGTTCAATGTCGTTTGTAGACGGGCGATTGCGTCTCTCAAGAGCTCCATCTCTTTCACCACCAACCCCAGCCTTTTCAGCCTCTGCTAAACAAGCAGCGGCACGGTTCACAACACCTTCTCCTTGCCCAAAGAGAAGAAACAAGCTACATCGGGTGTAAAACCGCAGGCCAGGAACCTCTGCTGGTGGCTCATACACAACCAGCACGCTCAGCCAGCTCTTTTTCCCAACGACGCGGCTGTGGCAGGTTTTTGTCCTACAAGGGGCCCTCCCCCTACTTTTGCTGCATGCTCTTGCACCTCTCCCCCTACCAGATCATGAACCACGGCATCTTACCTCTCTGCATATGCGCGTCATACCTGCTTTGCAGGCTTTCCTTTTTTTCCACTCCTATCATTCTGCTGCATGCTCCTGCTGCATACACTTCGTGGGATGGCTCTCCTCTGCGCGTGCGCGCGTGCGCAAAGCCCTGTGCCCCGTGCTCTTTGTCTAGACCGCAGTCCCTCGACTGAAAACCACGGCGAGCTTTTGTGGGATTTGACGGGGGCAGCATCAGCCTCCGGGCTGCCTCGCTGCAGATCTCTAGTCGGGGTCCCCCGCTAGATTCGAAGCATACGATGCTGCCTGCCTGCTTGATATGCGGTCAACAATTGTTAATTTGACAGAGCAGAGCAGAGTACAATGTACAACCAGAAATTCTCGATGCAGAGCCTCGGCCTTGAGATCTCGGCTATGGAACCGCTCATTAATGTGATATGAGCCAGAACATGGGGGTCCCAGCACCGGTAGTACCACAAGTAGTACTACTACTAGGTATCACAATGAATGCCATGTCCATACCGTTTAATCTCTCAACAAGGGCGGGGTGACTTACATAGATCACCCGTCAACGCGCCATGCCGCTTTGCATGCTCTCTCTTTGCAGAAATCTTTCTCATCTTCAGCGGTTTTCCTCGCCGACCGTACAAGAGCTGAGCTATGTACCTTGGCGGCGGCTGCTGCTCAATGTCGCTTCTCCTCACCTACATACGGAGTCCCGGAAGCTTCCAGCCAATCCCCACCTTGCAGGCTACCAAGGTAAGATAGTGTGCCATGCACGGGCAAGACAGATGAGCCTCCATGCACATGTACGTATGTACGTCAGTTGGAGACGTACATACATGCCGAATTCACATGTTGGTACCTACTGCGAGTACCGTCCGTGACAAAATACTTTGTGCCTCAGCGCGCCTCCGTGCGTCTTTTAGCTCATATACTCACGCGAGCATACAAAGCCCAGTCAGTAGGTTTAAACTGAGGGATCATAGAGCTCTGCTGGCAACCGCCCTGCTCATTCATTGTTCGTGCGGTAGCAGAGCTAATGTATCTCCACAGTTGGCACGCTTTGCACTTGAATGCTGTACATCCCAACATATGCTGCTTGCGTGAGACGAGAGAAGGAGAACCCAACCCCGTATCAACCACCCAGATCTTTGTGAGCTCGGACATCTCTTTTAAACGCCATCGGCCACGCAGCGTACCACACAGGGTAGGTCCCCATATCGAGTGCTATAATAAGTGCCATACGGGCGCCAGCCACTCTAGTTCTCCTATCGGCAGAGCTCCCTTCTCGCCAGCGTTTCGTTTTGCTCGTACATATGTGATGGTGATCATGCTGTAAGGAGCATTAATGACGAGGGGGAGTTGACCGGGGGCCGGCCCTGGCCACCCACAACGCAGGCAGCTGTCATGGCTCTATTTTTCCTTTTTTGTTTTTGCCCTCTTTGCCGCCAGCCGTGGCCCCGGCTACACCTAATTTGCCCTCCTTGCTTTTGCACCTACAGCTGCAGATTCCATGTACGAATAGGTGCCACCATTGCTTGCATACTTGCGTTTGGTGGTAGTAGTAGTAGTAATATCAATCTTGTCGTATGCTTTGACTACCACGGTTGGCCAAGCAATCCTTTCCAGTCTTCTGATTGAAAAGCGCCTTTGCTCTCCCTAGACATCATCAGTCTAGTTAAGCAGCCACCAACAGCTTGGCCACAGACTTGTACCGTGGCCATGGGAAAGGACTTCTGCAGTCTGCCCACGGACCGTCTTGTTGGCGGGCGGATCCTCCCCTCCCCCCCCTCCCCCCGGTTCCCTCTGAGCTGGCAAAGGACCCAGCACAAGAAAAGAAGGAGAAAGTACGTATATCAGTCGAACAGTTTGAGCGGGCTCACAGGAAGATTTGTGAGGAGTGCCTATAGTATACTGTAGAAAAAAATGGCTGGGCCAGCGAGAGCCTCCGTTAACCCAGCCGAATCGCCCGCACGCCCCCATCCGCACGCCCCCCTCCAGAGTGGCACCATGCAAAATCGGGTATGCAAGGGAAGGGGCTGCTGTTAATCCATCAGCGTGCGCGCGAGCAACGCAATAAGCGGTGAGGGGAGAGAGGCGCTAGGCAATGGAGCCACCAAGAAGCTAGACCACCAAGACCTAGGTCTATCAACGTCTCCAGTTTTGAGCGGCAAGACGATGGAAGAAGGGGATAGTACTCCGGAGGGTCCATCGTAAGGAGATGTGGCCATCGTCGGACATAGAAATCCATAGCGGCCGAGAAAAGTTTCGGTCTGAGCAGACTGCCGGCAGAGCCCCGAAAAAGACGTGGGCAAAGAGCGAACCACGGCATGTCACGTCCTCTTCCTCCGGGCATATGCTCCACTCGGTGTAGAAGCAAACGGACGTCGAATTGCAAAGTACATATAGCACTGACCACGTGGTTCCAAAGAAAGCAAACAGATTCCAGAGACTGTGCATGAGCGTGAATTGAGAGAGGAAAAGACGGAGGATTGACCACGCCAAAGATCCACCTCGCCATTATCTCCCAACTGCTACACGCAACATGCGTCTGTATATACAGTATCGTTGCTACAGTAGCTGCCGGGTTAGCTGGCCTAACTAGACGTTTATACCGTTTATTTATTTGCAGGACCTATTGCTCAGGTGAGACTACTACTTCATTAATAAACAGTATGTCACTAGGGCTGTGGAAATTCGCAGGGAGAGACAGTCCAGCGGTCTGTGCTTGTTGGTTGGCTGAAGGGTATTGAAAGCCAGAGACAACACGACGACCGCTAGCATCCTGGTAGCCACGGAGTGTCAAGAGCCAAGCTGTATCAAATAGTAACACAGACGGGCGTCGGAGGTACTGGACCTAATGTAGTAAAACCAGGAGAAGCCGTAGCATGGAGCCTGCATATCATCTTTCACCATGAAAGCCAATGCCAATTTCTTGGGAAGAAGGGTAATTGCCCGCGGATTGCCGTCAAATACACCATCATTTCGCCTCACCTCGCCTCGCTTCATCTTGTCTTGCCTCGTCCGTTTGGAGACCCCTAAACCTGACGGATGGCGGAATTAGTCTGCCCTTGACAAGCCATACGCGTTTCGATGGTGCCCTGGTGCCTTTGGAACAATCGGTATGTTGTACGTCGCGGACATGTAATTCACAAATAGGGTAGTAGTGGATATTGTTATTGTAGCAAAATGATGAGGGGAAGTCATATAGAACAAACCTCGGCCTTCCATGTGAAGCGGACCTTTCTTCTACGCATGTATCTGTAGACCGTACCCGTACTTCGTACAAGTCGAAGGTATACATCTGCCGAGCCGGGGCCAGTCTCACCAAAAACACACGCTTGTCCCATCCATCTGCAGGCAAGTGCGCACTTGTATGAAGCCGCGCCCACCATAATAATCAACCAGCGTGAATTTCTGAATTTCCTCTACTCAGACTTCAGGCTCGGGCCTCCTTTCCAGTTGGTCTAAGCCATGCTGTCTACATGTAGTACTCCATAGCGAAGGAATTGCAGATTGAAGTCTTCAAGGCAAGAAATCATCACCGGGGTCGTGGTCGTTCGAGGGTGCAGCATCAAGAGAAATCTGGCGGCAGACGCTAGCTTCTAGATTCGGCAGAGGAAGAAGCAGGGTGAGGAGCATGAAGATCAGAGAGCAACTGCCCAATTCCTAAGCAATCACTAGTCCCGTGTCGCAGGGCTCCTCTATGGCTTCGCTTATGAACATCCATTGAGTAATTGGATAGCTCATCCTTGGAGCTCCAACAGACGCTGGATGTGCTGGCTCGACAAAACCGCCCTTCTCTGGTCCGAATGCTCCCACAGGAGGTCCAGCCCTGCGGAGGAGTTGACGTGCTTGGCTGGTGCTAGGGTGGGAAGCCACACAGCAGCCCCGGCGACGGCGGCGGACGGTGGCCCTGCGCGGGATCTGGTGTGGTATGGCAGAGACGTGGTGTGCTCTCATTGGTCTGGCTGGTTTTGAGGACCCTCGCCGCCCTGGCCACTGGAGTCGCTAAAAAAAAAAAACCACCGCATGATACCAAAGACTCATCTCGTCTCTAGTAAGCCCTGGGAGCAAAAGCAGGAAATCGGAAAAGAAAGAGAGGGAAAAAATCTCCCCCGTGAATTTGACCGCAGCCACCAGTTCGATCGACCCGGCCCATGGCCAATGGTCTTCGGATGGGTGGGTTGTCGTGTTGAGAAGCTGAAAAAGAAGAGAAATATCTTTCCCATTCTAGCCGGACCGGAAGCTGTTGCAGGAATAAGTACTTGTGCCCTTAGCCATATGAGGATAGAGAGCGGATGTCAGAAATGGCGAGATTGCCATCAGCAGGAAACCCAAGTGCCAATGCTACACAGCCGAGAGAAACCAGAGGTCTCCATGCCATGACCAATTCGACCGGGATCAAGGCTTGAAGGCTTGAATTCTCCACTGTATGAAGCTTCAGCAGAGTTGGGAAGATCTTGCGGGCTTCAGCCGGCAACGTATTGAAGGCCTGGTTACTATATTCCCGTACTTAGAGTTCACGCTTCAGCTAGGCCCTGTCGTGGGTGAGTTAGAACTCAGCAACACTCAGCATGAGTAGGTACCCATCCCGCAACATCGTGCATTACGGGGAGCGCCGCCCAGCTGCTCCGGAGTCGGTACCCTTCTCTCCTGCTGGCTGACGGAAGTACTTGCTCGCATCCGGACGCCAAAGGAGACGGGAAGCCTAATGTAGGATCTACCAAACGAGAGCGACAACCTCCACCGAAATTGACACCGACACACAAGGTGGAGAGCATCAAGTTCAGCCATAGTACCATGCGGCGTGTCGGATAGAGACCATCCCAGCATGCCAAGGGATATGTTGGTTGTATCTTCTTGGCCACCTTGGAATAACAAATGTATGTAGCTAGCGAGGGCACGCTGTTGATGCTACCTCTCTCTCCGAGTAACATCATTAGTCGTGCTTGATATACGTAGTTGTACCCATGTACATACTTTGGACTCCATGGCGATTTAGAAAAATAAAACGGAGGGCTGGAAGTGGCTGGTGGTCTTGAAACGGCTCAGGAGGGTACCCCATGCCACTTGGAGTCTCCACGCGAAGCACATTGATTGGATAAATGTTAGACATACATAGCCGCTGTGCATCATGCAAGTGCTAGCAAGCTAGCATGGCCACCCCTCCCCCTCTTCTTCTGGTCTGGGTTGTATCATTCTAAAGAAAGCTTCAAGCTAGGAGCAAGGCTGCAGGGACTCTGCCGCCATCTCAACCTCGAGCTTTTGAGTCTATGAAATGAGGAAATGAAGGACCAGTTGGCTTCTACCTATGGCAGCATCTCAAAAAGGGCACCTTGAAACATTGCTGAAATTATTCGGGTGAGCTGGTGAAACGCCCACTCACTCATCCTTTATAAGATAAAGGCGATTTGATGATCTGATTGGGGAGACCGAAAACCGGTGGCGCAGAAATGTGAGTGTCGAGCTTGGATTGCGACGCGGGCTTTGAAATTTTGCCGGAGCTTGTATGACAGCAAAATAGATCGTCGACGCCTTGGGGCCTTAAGCCACTGAACTAGTATTTTGCGAAGTACGCCCTGCCCGCGTGGTGTGTAGGTTTGGTTTCACAGATTCCCAGAGTGTTACTCTGTGTACGGCAATTTTCAGTCGTATCTATCTGTGCGAGTGCTTCCAAGACAGTGGCATCAACGCTTTGATCACGAAAACGTCATTGCCGGAGGTCTTCCAAACTGAGCTGCCTTGAGCGCTGGACGGAAGAGTAGAAGGACGGATGATATCGCGCAATGTAGGTATACCGCTAGCCTTGAACCCCTTCCACAACAAGTCCAGAGAGTGTTTCGTTCTTTGCTGTGAGTATCTGACGGAATACTCGTCTTGATACTCTAGCAACCTTCAAGTGCCACCAGGTATCAGTCAATCCATTGTATTTGACCTTGGCGCCCCTGAAGTGAAAGAGAATAACGCCTTCTAAACAAAAGTCAAAAGCAGACGGTTGACCCATTTTCGAGGCTCTGGCCTGCAGCCCGCAGCGAAGCAAGGCTGGGGAATGAGATGCTTCGGCCAGGGTTGTTTGTATAGCCGTATGCCAGATCAACTCATGCTTCATACTGCAGCATGTCATGCATAGCGAGTCTCGGGCAGCCCGCACAATGTGCAGCGTATCAGTAGCTAGCAGAACAGAGTGCCCACCTCTTCACTCGCATGGGACGAGAGCCGAGAAGGAAGCAGTAACAACCGCTGTCACTTGATAACATTAGCAAACGCTGCTAGCTGAGCATTCATAATCCAGTCGCAGCTCCTGAACGAAGTACATGAGCGATGATTGGGCGCGTATCCGTGTTATCGCTAGCATCACTAACATGTACTGCGTCGAGGGAGGACTGCTAAAGCCTGTGTTCTGTTTGCTTATACGTACAAGAGTATCCCGCCGAGTGGCAACTCCCTGCCCTGTTTATTGGGCTCTAATGGTGATCACAACTGGGTACGAAGTACAAGAAGCAGCACCCTTTTACTTACCGCACTTGTATTATCACCGTCCGCTTCGTTGAATTTGATTCGTACATCTTACTACTTCCGGCCGCTGGACCAGGCCGTTATATTGTGGGCACATGCTCGTGGGAAAGCACTCATCCATCTTATTCACCTTTCGTGTGCTGCGTGATGGCTGTTCCGAAGCAAGACAAAAAAAGATCAAGATCATGGCCAAAAAGATACTAGTTACTCCCGGGAGCGAGTTGGTTGTGTGGCTGGCCATGTGTCCTTTGTTGAAACGTGCTGGCGAGATGATACAGCCAGTGGGGAACGGCCAGCTGTCAAGCCTCCCCAGATGCAAGACACCACAACCACTCTAGTTGGCTGAGTCTCTTGTTCCCCGCCCTGCAAGATTTTCCCGGTAAGATACGAAGACCGCCCACGATGTAAATTCTCAATTGGGGAGGATTTCAAACGCTGTCTGAGCTGGGTGTCGTCCATTCGCATAGCGGCCATCTGTTTCGTCGCGAACCGAGTTTTCTTTCTGGTAAGCCGTACCCTGAGGGAAAAACTCTCACGAAAAGAGAAAGAGCAAGTCAAAAAAGAAGGCGAAAGGAGCTTGTCAATCCATACCCCCCTCCCCCTCATCTTCCACTCCCTTCTCTTCCACTTCCCCTACGCTCAGGCCATGCCTCAATAATAGATGGCTGGTAAGAAGTACCGGTACGGGGCAAGTGACCTTTGTACAGTGCGAAGACCACAATCTCCCACTTCTTTTAGCCATGGTACTTTGTAATCTTGTGAGCAGCTGTGTTGCGATGGACCTTTTGCTACCAGTTAGCGGCTTTAAAGTAGGCACCTGAATGAGAGCAGAAGAGAGGCAGAGTACTTACATATTTGAAACAGATGCTGCCAACCCTTCCTTGATGACGGTATGAGCCACAGAGATAATTGATATAGTGCCGCCGTTTACACGCGTGAAGAACCTAGAAGAAAAAAACCCCCCCGATTTTATCATGCTAATACGGGAGCGGATGTCGGGACATGGTCCATGAGTCAAGAGATGGCGTGGGTAATCGATCCCTCATGGAGGCTAGTATAGAGTCTGAAGCTGAGCATCCGTACACAGCATGGCGAACGCCTTTTGTTGTGGACATATCGCGGTTGTGACCCCAGTCGTGAAGAAATCCTCAGCGTCGTTGGTGGCAAACATGGTCGACGGGCTTCGTCTACCGAGCGTGCATAACGCATTCATGCAAGATATGTGCAAGACACTCGTGGTAGGCAAAGCCGTGTCAAAGGCATGCATGTTATGGTTATGCAAGTACGAACTCTTGCACACGCCGTGGTAAGCGTGCATCAGGCAAGATGAGCGGCGCTTTAGTCCCCGACGGAATCTTGCATTCGGTCGGCAGCACCCCACTCCTTTTCTGCAGTGGCACCACATCCCAAAGCCGGCATGTCGCGGATATCAGATCCTCGCTCGCCGTATCAAGGCATGCGCAAACATGAGTAGAGCATCGCGACAAGAGCTTGGTACGGATGCTGCAGCTAGGTACGAGCCAGAACCGAGGCGCAAGAGGAGCGAATAGCCGCCTCCCACGAGCAGCCGTCTTCCGCGGCAGCATGCAATGCGGAATGAACTTCTCCGGGATCGCAACGGTTAGCAGGGAAGTCCTTGCAAACGCACTTGCGCTTACACTTGCGCCTCTCCACACATGCCAGGCCCTTGGTGATCTCAAAACGCCCGCCTGGTTGGTTTATCTTCCAAACTGTGGGGTCGCCAGGCTGTATGCACGTACTGCTTGTACGGAAAGCTGTATAAACCATAGATGGGATGTTGAAGCATTATGGTCCTGGCAGTTTCATTGTACGACCAACAAGGCACAAATTCGAACCATAGCAGCTATGCTTTCAACGGAGAGGCACTTGAGTAACTTGAGCGATGCCAGCAATGAGGGCCGCGATTGATCTAATTTCTCCGATGAATTGGAGGGTTGGCTTAAGTTTATGATGAAAAGATGGTGGTTGCTAAAGCTGGCTCTGGGGCCATGATCATCGGAGTCGTATCAGGAAATGAAATGATGCAGATAGCGTTCGGTCCAAAGTAAACACTAGGCCTAGGCGAAGACGTAGATCGGGAATTGCATGTGACATTGGGGTTGACAATCTTGTTTGCGGTGTTTCCTATTTTGCTTTTGTTGTTTCTGTGTGCGCAAACGTGTCTCTCTCGGTAAGCGCTGCATAGGTAGGCATGTGCGGGAGCTAATGAGAATGAGATACTTTCTTTCGGTGTCTTTGGCAATGATATAGCTAGGACGAGCCCAATGCAAGCTAAATCTTTGTGGGCGAATGTCTCACCACACAACCATACAAGCCTAGGATTAGCAAAGAGCCTATGGTCGTCCGCTCAAAGGCAAATTTGCAGCAAATGCTACTTGTACTTCGCCATGGCTGCGGGCTAGCTAGCCGGAGCCGAGGGACCCAGAGCCTATACGACCACAGCGCCTTGGATCATGGCCCGGCCAGGCCAACAAACTCAATGGCTTGCAAGTGCTATATGTCGAGCCACCGGCGCGAAGGCGGGCTTGCAGAGGCGCCCATGAAGGAGTGCCTGCCCCAGTATGCATGATCCTGGAAGCTTAGCCATGCGCCGTGGCCAATGCAGAAAGGATGCATCGTGGAACTCTGTTCCTGATGCGAATGTGCGCCGTTCCCCATCGTGCGTGCGTGCATCGTGCGTCGCGGCTCTGGGTGCATGTCGGCACCATGCCATGCCAGATCGCCTTAATCGCCCGCCTCTTGCAAATCCCATGCGGTCGCCAAAAGTCCGTGGAGACAGAGGCGGCTTGTACTGGGTATCTCGTGTCGTAGCTCCGCTTCTATTTTCGGCGGGTTTCGGTCAAAACGCTGCCTACCCTGAATTATCGCGGCACTTTTGGCGAAGCCGGATGAGCGATGGAGCATCAGAGTGGGCAGAGAGATGAGGAAGAGAATTGGCCTCTGCCATCGCGAGAATGGGGGACCACGGGCTGCTATTCTTGACAAGCCCAGATTGGAGTACAAGTACTGCGCCTGCCTTGGATCGCTGCAAAACGTCGATCGGAAAGCGGGGTGGCCAAGATAGCAGGTGCCACTTATCGATAATGCTGAATCGAGGGCACTTCGTACTCAACGTTTGGGGCATTTACAGGTACAAACTTCAAGCCGCAACGGCGCATTCCGGTGCCTCTAGTTGACAGCGCCACGTCCCTGTCAACCCAACAGATCATCTATTGTTGTGCGTTCGGCGTAACTCACTGCTCGAACTGCATCATCATAGGGCAGCTCACGCCCTCCAGACTTTACTAGAGCACTCCGCAAAGCCCGAGTACCTGCAGAGGCTGTGCGCCGGGCTAGCAGCCCGAGCCGTAGCTGCTTCAGCCCGCGATGTTAATTCAGCCCGCGATGCTAATAACGCCGGATTTTTTTTTCCTCAACTTCTTTTTGACTTTGTCCATGCCAATTAGCTCTGTCATCTCAACACAGTTTGCTCCATTCGACTCATGTGCTATCATTTTTGAGGAGCGTTCCGTGTACCCGAGCGGATAGCGCAGGTGCAAGCGATCACGTTAAGAATTGCAACGGCAGAGGTGGAATACGAAGGCTGAGAGCGGGCTGGTGTTAGTCAGTATACTAGCCAGAGTTAGCGGAGAACTCAAGCTTCATACTTTCAGGAACCGGCCGAGGAACAATGAATGGAAACGGTACCAGAACTTGGGTATCACACACGTGTTTGTGCAGCCGCTGCTTTTAGCACCGTTATTAACGCGGAGCTATCCGATTTAGTGCTTGAAACAGAGTTTTGCGGCATATCGCTGCAGCTGCTGAGCATACAAAGCAGCCATACGAGGACAACCTGAAGCATTAATTTGGACTGTCCGCTAGTCATGGCATAACATTGTGCTGATCAGCGGATAATGCCCTTAAGATTGGTGTCTGCGCCACCACAAGGTTAAAAAGATGGCGCTCTTCCAGATAGGCCCGCAGCCGGCTATTTGCTCAGGATAAAGCTGAGATTCGAACTCCCTCAAATATTGCTACCGGTACAGCTATGGAGCTAGGACCTGGCCAGCATGATATGTGCTTGAGTAGTTGTCATACAGCCTGGATTCTGCCGGTGTTGCGAGGATCAAGGCGGAGAAAGGCGCCGGAGTGAGGATCGGCTAAGCAGAAAGCTTGTAGCATCGAGACGGAAGCAACAAGAGTGCAATGGACTTGTCTCGGCAACGCCTGAGCAGGGCAAAGTAGTGAATGGGTTTGCTGACGGTGGCCCAGCCACTGGTGAAAACAGTCGGACCAGTTTGAAAATGCTTTGTCGGCCGACGACTAGGCCACTACTAGACTAGCATGGGTAGGCAGGCAAAAGAGCCAATGGCCTGAATTTGTGTCGGTATCGCACTGGTGGCCAACTTTTGCCATGGATCTTCGGTGCCGGCATACGGCGCACCGCTCGTGCTTGTAAATCCCAAGGGGAGCATCGCGACGCTAAAGGCTCTTTCGCGAGATCATGGTGCTCGTAGCAATTCCGCTAGGACATGATACCAAGGCAGGGACGGGAAGTTGAACTATGACGATGGATATTAAGCCCCCCTCCTCTCAGGCTTCTCATGAGAGAGAGGAAGCGCTTGTACCTCCCCCGAGAGCTCAAAGTACATCATTCTCCGTAAAGACAGTATAGCAGGACGGAGCACCGTAGCATTGGCCTGCGCTCTCGCTAAGTCATCGCAAGGTGGCTAGCGCATTCTCCATTGCCCGGCCCCCCAACCCAGAATCGTCTTATCTAGGCAAGATCTCTGATGCGATTGTCTAATCGTATCAACCCTAGTCTCATGTAGCACCGTGCTCCGTATCCGCAGCAGGAGTGAGAGCTCTCAGACTGATAGCACAGGGTCCATGTCCGGGCATACAGGTGCAAGTAGACTCGCTCGAGCCTGGTCTCCGGAGCAAGAAGCGGTCCACAGTCCAAGATTCAGGGATGTCAGGCCACGCCCAATGCCTACCTAGCAAGGGGACAGAGACAACGCGTTACCGGCGGCCAGAGACAGACGGAGGGAGCGCGAGAGAGCGGTGGACGAGAGTCAAAAAGGGCACAGCACAGCAAAGCTCTGCTCTGTTGACGGCAGCAAAGGGCAGCGCCAGCCAAGCAAGCGCCGTCAGCACTCTGGGATTTGGCCGGAAGCCCCGTCTGCCCGTTGTCCGTCCGTCCCCTGTCGACAAGTATGGGTGGGTCGCAGCTCCTGCTAACGACCATCGTCCATCACCACCTCACCTTGACCCCATCGAACGAATCCTGGTGCTACGCTGATCCACCCACGCCGCGCTGGCACACCCCTCGGACCCTTGTCCAGACCCAGGCCCTGCGTTGGACGCCCAGCTCCACCCCAAATCGCACGTCTGCACGTACAGGTACCAAGTACCGTGCTCTTTTCGCTCGGGAGACAGCTCCTGCAAGCTTGCTCGCAGTGCGCGCCCAACTGTGGAGCTGGCGCCGTGGCGGGAGAGACTTGCAGCTGCTGGCAGGAAGAAGGTTCGTCGATTGCTGCAGCGTTTGGGCCTCCACGGGCGAAGGATGGCAAGATATCGCCCCTAGCCAGCAGGCGCTGACGGGCCAGAGGGCGAAGAGGGAGGACGACGAGAGGGAAGAACGAGGTCGGTGAGGAGTCGTGAAGGGGGGGGGGGACGTCCAGAGCTGAGCGGTGCTATGGAGAGAAGAGGCAGCGGCTGGACCGGGCCAAGCGCTAGGTAGATGGCCGTCCTGTGTTTTTTTTCTCTCTCTCTATTTTGCTGCTCCAAGCACTATTTGATGGAAGCGCGCTTTGGCTCAGCGCCACAGGCTGCCTGTCCAGCGCGCTCCAGCGGCAGGTGCCCTGGCGAAGCCCCGGGGCCAGCGAGCCAGTGGAACAGAACGGCGTCGGTACGGCGATGGGGATGGACGCCAATCGCACCCGACTGTACCTTGCGTGGCTCGTCAACGTCTGGTCCTCCAAGCTCTGCGCAAACCCACTCCAGGCCTACCAATCCACAGTCTGGCCTAACCGCGACGGGCTGCTTGGCCTGCGCAGACCCCCTAGCTCCCTCAATCGCCTGTATACGCGCCCAAGGGGCCCGGCGCCTGGTCGCTCGTACCGCCTGGCCGTACTGTACCTGGGGCGGCGCCGCCACGGTCTGCGCACTGTCCCGGCCGCTGAAAGTGAAAGTACCGTCACCACGCCCACTGTAACCAACTGGCAGCGGCCTCTGTTCCCCACCCGAACCTTGACTCTACCGCTATTCCCTGGCCTGGCCCCGTTGGTCTGCCTCCCCTCAACCGCCAAAAACAAAACCGTCCCCAGCCTGGCCTGGCGACAGTCTCTTCGATTCTCTTCCTCTCTCTTGTCTTCACGACTCCGCCGACCTCCTCAATTTTTTCTTCTCTTCTTCCCTTGTGGTTCAGCTTCCGAGACTGAGAGGCGAGAACGAAGGTAAGTCGAGCATTGATTGAGTCCTTGTCGCTGCCCTGTTGGCGGCGTCTTATTCCCCACCGTCATCAGCCGACTGAGAAGAGAGGAAAAAAAAAAGAGACATTGCCGGATAAGCTAAGCTGGCCAGGCCTCTACATCTCTTTCTCTTTTCTCTCCGCCATCCGCACAACCCTCCTCGACCGCCTTTCTCCTTTCCAACTTTTCTTCTTCTTGTCTTTTTCCTTTTTCTTTTCAGCATTTCTCATGCCCCAGCATCGTTCCGCCTCTTCTCTTCTCTTATCCGGCATTCAACGCAGCTAATCGCTCTGCATTGCAGTAGTGGGCGACTTTGACAAGGAAGCGAACAAACGCCTGCAGTTGTTTGCACACAGCTGTGGTCCGTCTTAAGGCTTCCTCCACCTCTCAAAACCGACCTTCTCCCTCTCACTTCGACACAGTCTTCACTCGCTGCTGGTATTCTGTTACTTGCGGCGTCTGTTGCACCGCCTTCATCACCGACTTTTTCATACTGCCTCAGCTGTTCTTTGAGAAGTCTTTGCTACGGCGTCTTCGAGGCAACATCCTCTCGCATGTTTTACGATTGAGACGAAACGATTGATATTGATGCCCTGTTACGACTAAAAACGCTTCTGTCACGAGTATCTCTTACTGTTTCGCAAAGAAGAAAGAAAAAAGTTCCGCCTCGTCGTTCTCATCGTTTCTCAAGCGTTTGATCACTAGATTTGTCGAGCCTGTTGGACCTCCTTGGACCACCTCCGTCTCCCCAATTGCCTTGTCTTTCCGATTGACTTTGGACTCTTTCATTGCGAGCGTTCTTCGTTGAGTGGCTAGCGTCGAATTCCATCGTTTTTAACGTCTTCTTCCTATTTTCCAGACAAGGCTTTGCTCTTGTCTGCACCATCCCCTGTTCTTACAAACAAGGAAAACAACCGGAAAGCTGGATTTGCCACACAGCCAAGTGCAGACCCGAGGGCCTTCTGACCTCCCGTACTTGGGCTTTCACGCTGCTTCCCGCTCATCGTTTATGAGCAGCGATAGATTGCCGTCTCTTCCGCCGCTGCCATACCAGGCAGACTCTTCAAACACCTCTTCACCGCGAGTTGGTTCCATTGCCTCGTCAATTAGCTCTCATACTGGGTCTCTGTCGTCGTATACCTCTGTTTCATCGTCAAACGGCCCCAAGACTCCGTCTCCAACGCTGCCTGCCCAAGCCATCACGGGGCCGGCCACTGCCATCGTCAGTTACGACGCGATGAACCAGAGTGCCGACATGTACTACGCAGGGCACATGTCAGCTGGGCAGCCGCCCCCTCCTCAGACCGTTACTTCTGGTCTGACGCACTATTCACACCAGCCTCAGTTGCTCCCTCCTGGGCCTTCACCTTACTCCAACCAAGCTCCCTACAACCAGTATGGCTACAATGGCATGACATCCCCTACGGCTGCACCTCCGTCAGTATCAAATCCCATGGGCAACCAGTCAACTGTTCTGCCTTCTATTCCCGGCGTGGCTGGCCAAGCTCAGTACGTCGGATTCGATACTACAGGACAGCAACCCCCTCCGGGCATGAAGCCTCGTGTCACCGCTACACTGTGGGAGGATGAGGGCAGTCTTTGTTTCCAGGTTGAGGCTCGAGGCATCTGTGTTGCTAGACGAGAAGGTATTGCAATCCCTGATATGTTTACACGCCTTCTAGTATAAGACAATTGCTAATTTGATTTGGTACAGATAACCACATGATTAATGGAACCAAGCTACTCAATGTCGCTGGTATGACTCGTGGCCGTCGAGACGGCATCCTGAAGAGCGAAAAGGTTCGCCATGTTGTCAAAATCGGCCCCATGCACTTGAAGGGCGTTTGGTATGTCTGCTCATCCCCCTTTCTCATTGGTGAGAAAAGAAGATGAATTGATCTCCAACTAACATTAAATCAGGATTCCGTATGAGCGAGCATTGGACTTTGCAAACAAGGAGAAGATCACCGAAATGTTGTATCCGCTCTTTGTTCACAACATTGGTGCTCTCCTGTACCATCCTAGCGCGAATCCCGCAAGGACAAGCCAAGTCATGACCGCCGCTGACCGACAAAGACGCGAGAGCGTTCCCATGCGAAACCCACCTCCTCCTGGCCTGCCATCAATCGGACAGCACCACCCATTGGCTCTGCCCGGGCCTCAGCAGTCGCTGCCTTCACAGGCAACCACCAGCAGGCCCCCTCTTGATCGTGCAGTAACCTTCCCCACGCCCCCTACTAGTGCTTCTAGCGTGATGGGAAGCATGGCCACCTCCGAAGGCTTCAACTGGTCGAGCCAGGGCATGAATGGATCACAAGGTGCCAATTCCATGACAATGGATGGCGGCCTTAATGGCGCACGCTCTATGCCCAATACTCCTGCTGCAACTCCTCCGGGCTCCATCCAAAGCATGCAATCTTATCCCTCTGCCGCTCAAGGATATGACAACCAGCGTCCGATGTACAACGCACCGTCGGCTCAGCACTCGCCTTACCAGAACTCGGCGAACCCTCCGCCGGACCGCCTGTACAGCCAGCCTGGCCCGTATACAAAGAGCGAGATGGGCCCCCCTGCAAGCCGACCCCCTGCGGCCATCTCTGGCGAGCAGCCTGACACCAAGGGTCCTAATGAACATCAAGGCCAAAACCACCCCGAAGAAGAGGGTGAGCATGAGGCGGAGTATACCCACGACAGTGCTTCGTATGATCACGCTCGTGCTCCGTACAACTACAGCAATGGAGCTGGCGTAGCAGCTATGCCCAACGATGCAAACATGCCGTCTGACATGGCCAACTCTCAGAGCCATCCTCCTGCCTCAGGGCGAGCGACGCCTAGAACAGCGGCGCCTCCCCAACCCTACTACCAGCACCACACTGGCTACAACTCCCCGCAACGGGTTCAACAATCTACCAGCAACTTGTACAACGTCATGTCAAGGGACGGGGCGCCACAGAACGGTGCCCCAGGCAACGACGTATATGCACAGCCCACCGACATGCCCAGCACCATGTCAAACGGCTATGCTACCCAGCCTCCGGTAATGAATGGCTCAGGTCAAGGCATGAAGAGAGGGCGGGACGACGATGATGACATCGTGCGGCCCGCAAGCGATGATATGGGTATGGACCTTAAGCGACGAAAGACCATGCTGGAGACAACAGTATCCGCACCTACGTACGACGCTCTGAACCGACCTGCTTCGGCTATCGCAGCTCCCCGCCGCGGGCGATAGAACCAAACTACGTAATCTGAACTTTTTGCCTTGAGTTTCATGTTTCACTATGTTCCATGTTCTCGAGGTATAGCAGCATATCAAGGTCAACCACGGTGGGGGGAAAACAGCGGCGGCGTCATGAAATAATATTTTTTTCTTTTGCAGCGATTTGTGGCACCATTTGCTTTTGGCCATTCTTCTCTTTCCTCCAATGGGGGTGTAACGACATTCCTTGCCGTGTACTTTTTTTTTTTTTTACACTTTTTACGTTTCTTTGCACCCGCAAACGACGATTCATGGGCTTTCGCTCCATGCCAAAGACGCAATGATGAATTCACGACTAGCCATCGATTCTATGTTATCTACGATGCCCCTGTCACGGATGTACATGGCTGATAAGTGACGGCTCCTTTTTTTATGCATGGAGGAATTTAATTGCACAAAAAGAAGGCGGCACGCGGTTGTCGGCTTACTCGTTCTCTCTCATTGTTCTTCCCCGTGGCTCTTAAGGCGGAGTTTGCGCGGACGGAGAAGATTAGAGGATTTACCTGTAATGATCTTCAGGCGAGATACAGTCAATCATGGGGTGGATTTTTCCCCATGAGTTTTAGCCTCAGCTTTTGTCTTTGATTTTCTTTTGCTTTTGTTTTTTTTGGCCTGATTTGTCCTTTGCCTTTGGTTTCTTTTCCTTTTCTTCTCTTTGCTGCTCTTTTTAGCTTCGAGGATTTGTTTTATTTCGCGAAGACGTGCGGGTTTTGCTTTTGGAAATGAGAGAAGACGTCGGGGCAAGTCCTGATAATGACCTTATGACCTTACCCTTGCTTTTTATTTCTTCTCTTCTCTGGTTATTAGCCATAAAAAGCACTACAGACGGTGCATTGGATGGGTTGCGTTATTAGGTAACGAATTTATGAAAAACGACAAATAAAAGCTATTGAGTATACGTTGGAAAACAAAAAATAGACTATCGAGTGTTTCTTGTGAGTAATTCTTTGTGTGTATGCATGTGTGAATGAAATATACCTCGAGTAGCTATCTCTGCTTGAGGGACTGTTGTTTGTGTGGTGAGTAAAGGCGGTTGAGGAAGTGAGGCCTAGTACAATTCCCAATGAGGTTGTTGTAAAATATTTGTAAGCATTGAAGCAGAGATTGTTACATTTTCCCATCCATTCTATGACCATTTACACCGGCTGCCTTGTTCTTTTTACATTTTGTTTTCTTTCTATTTTATGTTCTCACAACATGTATTCCCTATCATGACTCCAGCGGTGGCATAAACGCCATACCTTTACCCTCGCCTCCATTCACGCTCTTACTTCGAACATGCGTCCTCAGCTTCTCCAGGATCTGGCTATCCTTCCACCGTTGCGGCACGGGCCTGTACGCAGGCTTGAAATTGCCCACGGTCTGTGCCCATTCGCCCTTGGGAGGGTCCTTGGGCAGCTCGTCCTGCTTCCTCTCCATGAACTCGGAGCCTGAAGAGGCGCTGGCAGGGCTGGATGTGACGGAGGGGTTGGTGGAGGAGTTTGGTTCTTTCTGGGTGGCCCAGTAGTAGATGTCCCAGTCGTTTTCGTCGAGGAAGAGGTCGTATTGGGTCAGTTCCTCGGTTGCCATTGTCGGGAGGTTTTGAGAGGCAAAGGTGGAGAGGAGAAGATCCGACTCGAGGGTTCCGCGCTTCCGAGACTGGTCTTTTCCGAATCATAGTTAGTTCGAGGCTGAAACAATTGATAAGAGCTTTTTGTAGACATACATAGCAGTCTTGCGCGCTTGGTTGCATCGTCTTCGCCGACCCTTCGGAGAGGCTCAACGCGGAACGTTGCGCCTTGCAGTTCTCCCACTTGAAGCTCACCGGGCGTGACATTGTCGCTTCGTCGGAGGGCGGTTGTGCTGATGGCGCATCGTTGAAGCAGCGTCGTTTGAATAGAAGATGAGCGGGCGATGAAGCTCCGTAGAGGCGCTGCCACAGGGCGCATGGCGGCTGCACTGACAGACGGTGACATTGTGGGATTTGTTGTGGTTGAAGGCGTTTACGAATGGGTTTATCAGATAGCCGGAATGGCTGCTTTGACGGAACGACTAAGTTGCAAATTCGGCTATGGCGGGGCCGAGGACGGGACGCCACAAATAGCCTAGCGCTGTCTTTTGTCCTCGCAGTGCGCAGTGCCCCCTTTCAAGGGCCTTAGAGGGCCTTTTCAGGGCTTGTAGAGCGACTTTCAGGGCCTGCAGTGGCCAGGATTACAGCGATTGTGAAACTCTTGTAATGTCCCCTCACGTGAAAATCAGCGCAGGGCTAGTCCCGTTGCGGCATAACGCATAAAAGTTACTGGGTCAACAATGCCGCATAAACACCTTGTTCGCATATTTTGTATTAATAGGCCAAGGTGGTGGCCCTGGGGGGGAAGCCTGGAGAAGCTTAGCGGTTCAAGGTTGCTTGCTTCTGAACCCACCTCAGTGACACCAAAGTTCCACCAGCGAAACGAAACGCAACCACAAACAACCTCTGGGAAACAAAAAAGGAGGAGAAAAACGTCAGCGACGAAAAATAAAGAAAAGGGAAAGGAATAATAATTTTTTTTTGTTTCTTTCATATCATGTCGTCGCCGCGATCGACGGCCTCCGATGCAATGCTGAATTCGACCTCATCCGCCTCTGGAAGCGAGAAATACGAAGACGCCTTGGACGATGGCATGACCAGCACGCCCAAGACGGAGACGTCCAGCAGCAGCAGGCCCGAGTCGCGGGTCAGAAGCGACGATGCACGATCCAGCCAGGAAAGCGTGTCGCCAGTCAAATCCCGCCACAGCCGTATTATGTCAGGCACAGAGCTGTCGCCGCTCAGGATTGTGGAGAGCCAGCGCAGCTCATTGGACGGTGCGCTGCTCAAGGCAAGTGGAGGTGTGCGCAGCCCTCGCAAAGTGTCGCCCGATCGCCGGTTTCCTGTTAAGATCAACATCGGCGGCAACACCATATCGCGGGTCGCAAACGAGCAGTCGCCCAGCATCGACGAGGTGGTTTCCGACAGCGACGGTTTCAAGCGGCCAGTGTCTCTTTTCGACGACCGGCGGCGCAGAGGCATCCAGGAGGAGGACGAGGAGGCGGCGAACCACAGCCAGGCGGGGGACTCTACGATTGGCATGGAGGACGTCGAGACGCACCACCGCGGCGACGCGACCGCCGGCGACGAGGACTTCACCATGGACGTCAGCACCTTTAGCAGCTTCTCGGCGGTGCCCAACATGGCGATGCTGGCGAAGCTTGGCCGGACGCCGACGGGCAAGCGCGGCGCCCATGCGATGGACGATGACAACTTGAACGAGCGCCCAAGCCGCTCGCACAGGTCGTCGATTTCCTCTAGACGCGACATCTTGTCGCCTTCGCGGACCACGCCCAATCTGCCGTTGACGGCGACACCTAGCGGCAAGCTCTCTAGTCTCATTGACCTTGACACGCCTAGAAATGTGCCTTCCATCACGGCTCGAGAGTTGGAATCGCTCAAATCCAACTTTCTATCTGAAATATCCTCGCTCAAGGCTTCGCTGAGTGGCAAAGAGGCTGAGGTGCACTCTCTCAAGACGGCCGTCGTGGATGCCGAGACAAGGGTCGGTGAATCGATGGAGAAGATGCGTGAGGAGCGTTCGCTGAAGGAGGAGATGGAGAATGTGCTCCGGATTGTGAGAGAGGAGATTATCGAGACTCAGAGAGAGAAGGATGAGCTGGAGCAGCAGCTGGACGAAAGCGAGAAGAGAAGAGAGATGTCGGAGATGATGCACCAAGAGGCCGAGAGCAAGCTGGCCGGCATGCGTGCTGGTAGAGATATGGAGAAGAATGCATCGCCCGAAAAGCCTTCTAGCAACACCCGTGAGGTGGAAATGGCCGTCGAGCGGGTGGCACGCGAGCTGCACGCCCTCTACAAGAGCAAGCACGAAACCAAGGTTGCTGCGCTGAAAAAGTCATACGAGAACCGATGGGAGAAGAAGGTACGAGAGCTGGAGGTCAAGATCCAAGGGCTGACTGAGGAGAATGAAAAGCTCAAGTCTGGTGGCGACGTGACCATGACCAAGTTTGACGCTGTTGAGATGGAGGAGTTGAAGCAGTCATCCGTGCGAGACCACGCGACCATCAAGGAGATCGAGGCAGACGTTCAGCGACTGGAGGCCATCGTCTCGACAATGCGAGCGGACAATGACGAGCTGCGCATCAACCTGCAGCAAGAGAGAGTCGAAAAGGGAGAGCTGGTTCAGCTGGCGGAGGAGCTCATGGCCATGCAGACGGTCCAGCAGGCGCCGACACCAGCACCGCCGCGTCAACCGTCTCCGCCCCAGCCTGCACCCCAACGAGAGATGCGGTCGCCGCCGCCCCGAGAGATGCGATCACCGCCACCGCGAGATATACGATCGCCACCGCCGCAGGTGCGCCAGCCAACCATTGGACGGGCAGACTCGGTGTCGTCCAAGGGACCGAAAGCCAACCCCGCCAACCGCCTCTCCGGACTCCGGGCCCCGGGGACGATGCTTCGACAGCCGCACGAGCGGGGAAAGGGCAGCGTGGGAGGCTTGCCTCGGCCAAATGGCGCGAGAAATAGTGGCATCTTGGGCAATATTGAGAAGATGGGTTACAGAGGACAATAATGCAAATGCTGCCCTGTGCTTTGTTTCTTTTTAACCCTCGCAAGACAAGCATAGCGACGAAGGGTACATAGAAAGAAAAGATACACTACTATATGGAGTTTTCTTTGCTTTTCTCCCTTCTTTTTGATTTAGAATTTTGCCACTTTCTCAACTACTCGCGCTTTTTGGGTTTGGTCTTGGATGGAAACGGTCGGGAGGTCCTAGGAATGACTTGTCTTTTGTATGAGAACGTGCGCACTGTGTTTCTCTTGTCCCCTTTTTCTTTTGAAGAGGGAGAAGAAAGAAGAAAATAGTTGCTGCCCGCTTCATGAGGAGTTTATTCTTTTATGATGAGATGATATCCTATTGTTGTTGTTGTTGTTGTCGTCGTCGTTATTTGACAAAAGTGAGGGGTGCCATTTTTCTTCTTTTTTTCTTTTATAGCTCCCTTCTTCGATCTTGTTTTCGTTTCGTCTTTCTGTTTTGCCCCCTTTTTGTAAGGACGGAATGGAGAGGGTCGTTTTTGTTAGTATTACACTTGGATGATGATGATTTTATGTTGATGAAGACAATTTATTTTACTCTTATTTTATACTTTAACAATACTTCTGTTTGCGCTTGGGTTTGAGATGTGATGGTACGAGTGATGCTTGCTAGCTTTGAGTCTAGAGATTTTGTTTCTCCAATATGCATGCTATTATGTTATGTAGAGCTAGATAAAGAGGTTCATTCATACATCTCATTAAGAAGAAAAAGATAAGGAAAAAAACAACGAAAAACTCTCAATTCGTCGCCCTCACAGTTTGTACGCCTCCTTGGCCGTGCCCCCAAAGATCATGGCCCGCTCCTCATCGCTCAGCGAGCCCATGTAGCACATCTTCTCGACAACCTCCTTCCACTTGGGCCAGGCCTCGTCCACCTCGTCCATCTCCTCGTTCTTGTCCTTGCTGTCAAAGCCGACGGTGCACACGGGCCAGTCGCTGGCAAACATGATGCGGCTGGGGCCAAAGGTGGCGAGCACGACGCCCAGCCAGGACAGCGTGGACTGGAAGATGTGCGAGGGGTCCTGTTCGCGCAGGGCGGGGGTCATTTCGGCGAAGCCGCCGGAGAGCTTCATGTAGGTGCGGGAGCATTTGCCGAGGGAGAAGATGGCGGTGCGCCAGGCGGTGAAGGAGGGGTCGGAGGAGACGTTGTAGACGGTGAGGTCGGGTTTGCAGAGATGGTCTGTTATTTGGTGTTAGTTGTATAACATGCGTATAGTATATAGTATTGGGGGAGAGACTCACTGATGATGAAGGTGACCTTTTCCTCGTCTGGAACGCCTTCGTGTGCCCGCCCAATCATCTCGACAGTCTCTTCCAGCTGCTTCCTGCCGCGGCGGTGCTGGTCAATGGCCACTTCGAACACGAAGCCTCGCTTGCCCAGGTACTTCAGCCCCTCGATGAACTTGTCCTCCAGCATCGTGCCGTGCGGCTTGTCCTGAAGAAGGTACCTAAACCCCTTGATCTTAGGCCAAGCCTCACCGGCCTCCTCCTCGACTCTGGCAATGTATTTCTCTAAAATCTCAGCGCCGCAAATGATGGGCGCCCACGGCACAATGGCCAGACATAGCGACTTGTCCTCTGGAGCGTGGCCCTCGCCGTCGAGGGGCGTGCCGAGGGCGACGCGCTTCAGCCAGCGGACTTCCTTCAGGGGTCCCTCCCAGCCGGCCTCGGCCTCGGCGCCGCCAGAGGTGATTGCAGCAATGTCGTGTTTGCGGTCCGTCTCGACGAAGATGAAGCCCAGCAGGGACGGGGCGGTGCGGGTGGCGCGCTTGTACTGGTCGAGAGAGAATTGGCCGGCGAGCGGGTGGTCGGGGGTGGCCCAGGCGAGGTTGGAGACTTCGGATTCGGGGTAGATGTGGATGTGGGAGTCGATGATGGGGAGGACGAGGCGGTCTTCGGGGGAGGACATGGTGGTGATGGAGATGTCGGTGTATGTGAGGGAGGGAGGCGATAAAGAGGATTGGATTGGTGTTGTTGCTCTTTGTTTAGTGGATTGGCAGTGAAGAACAATTGACAGCTCAAATGGTGGTAAGAGTCACGAGAGAGAGAAAAGGGAGATGGAATCTATACGAAATACAAAAAGCATCTCGAGCGTTGCTACCCCGAGCTCAGCTCATGGAAGGTCCCCTTTTTATTGACTTGACTACCCCGCCATGCTGCAGAACTGAAGACCCCCCTGAAAGCTCCGAGTGGGGGGAGTGACGTCCCTGGTGAAAGTGCCGGTGGTGGGCAGGAAGAAAGTGGGGGATCAAAGCCTGAGAGTCATGCTGCTGGGAAGAGCAACTGGAGGCCTTTAACCCGAGGAGCCGGAGGGCATCAGGGGATTGGAGAGAGACTTGTGAGATTATGAGGGGGTTCAGGTTAGTTTGACGGTTTAGTATACAAGGCAATTGGCAGTGTATGGTGGCTGAGGGAACAGGCAGTTTGTGGAGCGTGGTGGCTTTTTGGTGGCTGCGCGCTAGGAGTTATTGTTTTGGTTGTTTTATATGCGACGGGTATTTTGGTGTTGAGATGGTTGGTATATACCGTGAGGATGTGGATATATAGACTTGAGCCTCATTTAACTAGATGAATAATGGGAATTTTCTTATTCAAGACGATAAGAGCTACTGCAGTGTAACTGATCTGATTGATAGGTTGTACGTTTCTTGGTTGCTACTTGTCCAAGTCTAGCTCTCTTATATCGAATCTACTCTGTACCAGACACTCTGAACTATAAACTACATCATGATTCTTCCATCACAATGAATTCTCAAGCTCTATCAGCCCCCCCACCGCAGCATCCACCTCGCCATCCAGCTTCGCCGCATCCACCGTGCTCCCCAGCGGCCGCCTGCTCCTCCCGCCGCCGTAGCCATAGTACTTTTGCAGCGCCGCCTTGATGCCCGCGATGCCCAGCTGCACCAGCGCCCAGTCGGCCCTGCTGAAGCGCGTCTGCAGCTCCTGCGCCTCCTTCAGCCTGCCCTCGTCGTAGAGCCGCAGCATGTGGGCGTGCGTCTTGGGCAGCAGGTTGGCCGTGGCGGCGATGACGCCGTGCGAGCCGCCGACCAGGCCGTGCAGGAAGAAGTCCGTCTTGCCGGCAAACGCCGCAAAGGGCCGGCCGATGCGCGGGTCGTGGGCGATGCGCTGCAGCTTGCCCATGTTGCCGCAGGTCAGCTTGCAGCCGACAATGTTGGGGCTGGCGGCGGCGAGGCTGGCGATGAGGTCCGAGTCGAGGTCGATGCCGCCCGTCACGGCGGGGAAGTTGTAGAGCAGGATGGGCAGCGGCGAGGCGGCGGCGACGTCGTGGAAGAAGTTGAAGATGACGGGCTTTTGCATTGCGCCGACTGCACCGTGTTAGAAGGGATTGACTCAGATATATAGGACTTGACTTCGTACCCCAATAGCTCGGCGACAGCACCAGCGCATAGTCGGCGCCCGCCTCCTTGGCCTCCTTGCACAGCTGGATCGTCTCGCGGGTGCTCTGCACGCCGCAGCCCGCAACGATGACGGCGCCTGGCTTGCCGTGCTCGTCGAGGACCTCGCGCGCCAGGCGCAGCACCTGCTGGCGCTCGTCGTGCAGCATGTGCATGGCCTCGCCGTTGGAACCCTGGATGACGAGCCCGTCGACGCCGCCCTTGGCGAGGCGCGTGAGGTGCGCGCGGATGGCGTCAAAGTCGATTGTCTCGTCGGGGTTGAAGAAGGCGACGGCGGGGACGTAGATGCCCCGAGGGGGGCAGGGAATGGAGGCTGTCATGGTGGTGGTGTATGCTGTTGTTTGGTGTTGCTGCTCGGCCTCTTCAGTTTCTACTCCAATTCAACAAGAAGCAAAAGAATCGACTATTCAATCCATCAACGAACCATTACACTCAATGCTTCTCTTCGGCTTAAGGATTTAAAATCCATCAATGGGCGCCCGATTGCGGAGACCCATCCCGCCGTGTAAGTGGTTCTGCTGCAAGAGCATTACCCCTCCATCTCCAACCCGCCAGCGGATTTTTATCCTGCTCAGCTGTATTGGCGTCTTTGAGTTGGATGGCTCATCTTTCTACCGCTTTTACACCCATTACCACATATTAATGAGCAATTGCAGATACTACCCATGAGTGAAGTGAAGCACGTACCAAGGCCGATACGGCTTGATTTCCCCTGCATCGGCTTTTTATACAATATGCCGATGGCAGAGATGGGTTGGAGAGTTTTGGTGGTCTTGGCCTGAATGGTGGCAGCGAGTGCTCAGTGAAATTGAAGAGTAGATGGTTGGGACTGGCGACATGAAGTAGTATTATACGCTAAAACTGCAGCCTGCTATAGGAATTGGGTGGCATGAGACGGACTAAATCAAAACATATAGCGTGCTGCTTGCTAAACGCCGAATGGCCTGAAAAGGATGATACTAGGCCCAATTGTTAATAATTTGATTCCTTGTCGACTACGATGCGGACTTCTGGTCGAAATCCATGGCTTTAGCAATATCCTGAGCGCCGGACATAACCAAAAAAAACCTAAGAGTGGGGTTATGATTCGGCCCCAGAAAATTGGTCTCGGCAGCGCCAGCCGGGAGTGCTTTGGTGGGGGGAGGGATCCATGGACGACTTAAACGCCGAAATCGTCCAATGGCGTTAGGCCCACACGCTGCATTCTACTACTTGGCTTCGGACAACAACACGTCGAGGGAACTAAAAGACATGTATGAGAATGAAGCAGGGGACTTTCATCCGGAGATGAGCTGGAGATTTGGAAACGTTCCCTTTGTAAAGCCCGAGTATGACCGTGTGGCTTTTTCTTTTCTTTTCTTTTCTTGGATGGCTTCTATTTTGTGAAGAAGGGTTATAAAAGGGGATGAGATGGCTCTCAGTCCCTCGGCTTGAATCTCGATACTCACTTCAGTATCATCACCTTGATAACAAGCCAGTTAATCAGTTCAATTGCCTTACAAGTCTTTCGACTTACATCTTATACCCATACATAGCAAGTCGTACACAATTGCTAGGTAACTACGCAACATATAATACCCAAAGCATCAAATAAGCCCCAACAACCTTAATTCAACCACCATGGCCGTCACGCCCGTCTGGTTCATCACCGCCGCCTCCTCAGGCTTCGGCCAGGCTATCGCCATCGCCGCCCTCCGCCGCGGCCACACCGTCATCGCCACCGCCCGCAACCCATCCCGCATCCAAGACCTCGCCGCCGCAGGCGCCCACACGCTGGCCTTTGACGTAACCTCTCCCCTCTCCACCATCGAGGGCGTGGCTAAGGACGTCTTCGCTAAGCACGGCCGCGTAGACTACCTCATCAATGCTGCGGGCTTCATGCTCGAGGCCGCCGTTGAGGAAGCCACGCCCGAGGAAGTCTACGAGAGCTTCAACACAAACGTCTTTGGCGTGATGAACACGCTGCGTGCCTTCTTGCCGTACATGCGCGCGCAGGAGGTGGCTGATAATGGGGTCCGCGGCGTGGTGGCCACGTTTGGCAGCTTGGGAAGCTGGCGAGGCGTTGCTGGCGGAGCAGTCTATTCCATGACTAAATGGGCGTGCTCTGCACTGGCTGAGTCGCTGGCTACCGAGCTGGAGCCGTTCAAGATCAAGGCCACGGTTGTTGAGCCGGGATACTTCCGCACGGGGTTCTTGAACCCGGGAACGTTGGCCTCGTCAAAGGTTCGTATTGATGCGTATGAGGACGAGAAGACGCCTACGGGACAGACGAGGAGGCGGCTTGTAGTGACGGATGGGAATCAGCTTGGCGATGTGAACAAGGGCGCGGAAGTCGTGGTGGATATGCTGTCTGGTACTGGGGTTGCGAAGGGGCGAGAGCTTCCGGTGAGGGTTGTGCTTGGAAGTGATACGGAAAAGGTGATTCGGGACAAGTTTGAGAGCACGAATAAGATTCTTGAGGAGTGGAAGGACGTTTTGAGAAGTACCGACTCTCCTTTAAACTAGACAAGGCGGTATCTGATAGAGGTTAACTTGCACCATGATTTCAGCATATTTGCTCAGCGCCATAGATAGAAAATGTAATGCTTCAAATTCGTTAACATATGTGCTACCTATGCTGTCGTGAACGCATTAGAATCGTCTTTTCATTTCATATCATCCATAAAAAACTGTGAACCATTTTCATGATTGATATAAGGCATAACCTCTCCTCCATCCGGAAAAAGCAAATAAACTCCGTGCTCTTTTAAAAAAAATCCCTAAAGACCCAAGGCGCCTCGCAAGATCTGCATAAACTTCCATACGTCCTCAAACCGGCTGTATAGCGGCACTGGTGCCACACGTAGCACGTCTGGCTTTCGCTTATCGCACATGACTCCGTTTGCCTCCAGTGCCTGGGCGATGTTGTCCAAAAGACCCTCGCGCAGTAACAGACTCAGCTGTGTGCCTCGTCGGGCGGGGTCTCGAGGAGTGATGATCTTAAAAAAGGGCTGCGCGGCGTTGGATTCTGCGTTGATCTTGTCTAGCAGGTGCTCGGCATAGGCTGTCAGCACGAGGGCCTTGGACCGCAGCTCGTGCATGCTCGTCTTGTTAAAGATGGAGAGGGCGGCTACAACGCTGGCCAAATCCAGCGCTGATGGGTTCGACACCTGATATCCGGCTGCGCCCGCGGTAGGGACAAAGGTATTGGCCATGTTGAAGCGGACCCGCTTGTCGCCTCCGTACCAGCCCGCCAGGCGTGGCCGGTAGGTTGGGTTCTCGGGATCGTTGGAAAAGTCGACCTTGCCGTACTTTTCGTGCACAAACGCACCCGCGGTAGCTCCCGGTCCCGCATTGATGTACTTGTATGTGCACCAGCAGGCAAAGTCGACGTCCCAGTCGTGCAGCTTCAGTTCCACGTTACCGGCCGCATGGGCGAGGTCCCAGCCGACCACAATCCCCCGCTCCTTTGCATAGGCCGTGATCCTGGGAATGTCAAAGAACTGGCCCGAGTAGTACTGGATACCGGGGAGCAGAATCAGGGCGGTGGAGTCGGCATGCTCATCAATGGTGGCCAGCACCTTTTCTGTGGAGATGATAAAGTCGTTGTCTGGCTCAATCTTGATCATGCTTTGGGCCGGGTCGTGACCGTGCCAGACAATCTGGCTCTCAATGGCATAGTGGTCGCTGGGGAAGGGCTTCCACTCCAGAATGACCTTGTGCCTCTTTGCGTCGGGCTTGTAGAAGCTGGCCATCAACACATGCAGATTCACCGTCAGGGTGCTCATGTAGACAATCTCATCCGGAGACGCACCCACGAGATCGGCAGACCTTCTGGCGCAATCTTCGGCCATGTCTTGCCATTGCACCAGCGGCGACTTTCCCATATCCAGGAAGTGGCCATTGACGCCGACAGACGCCCACGTTTCCAGCTGGGCAAGGACATACTCGCGGACGGCCTTTGGTTGGGCGCCGAGCGAGTTTCCAACAAAGTAGATGCCCTGCTCGGCCTCTGATGCATTCCCATTGACACCGTTAGTGCCATTGCTCAGCTCACCTGCAGCATCCAATTAGCATCTCAATGGCTCATCATTACAGTACAATGAATTTACAATGAGATCAAAAGAAAGGATGATCCATGTCCACGACGCTGAGGTGATGCCGTGACGGCCTTTGATTGGACATACCGGGAATGGTGCCATCCAACGCTCGCTTTTTCAACGAGCCCTTGGTGGGCAGAATAAACTCGTCGCGCAGGTGTCGCAGCGAATCCTGCGAGTCTAGCTTCTGGGCGAACTGCAACGAGTCTGCGTCCGCCGGGAACTTGGGCGGGGCGCCGCTACGAAGGCGCTCGACAAACGCTGGCAAGTCCATATTGTTGGTGTTGTTGACCCTGCTATTGTTGTTGCTGCCGTTACCGAGAAAAGCAAAGTCGCTGGCTCTGGCTCTGGGGCTGAATGCAAAGGCTCTATTCAGCGCCGTCGTTGGTTTGAGGAGCTGCCGTCGGGGCTGAAGTCTAGCGAGAACAGACATTGTTGCGTTTTAGTGGCTTTGGTAATCACTTTATGTTTCCACGGCCCGGCGCCCCTTCCAGCAGCCAGAGCGGTTGTCCCGCGCCCATGGCTCAAGTCCGTGCCGATTGTAGCAAAATAGGCGGCAAACAAACTACGGCCGTAGATAGAGAGAGAGAGATAGAGGCGGATCTGTTGGGCCTATTCTAGCCGCAGCCGCAGCCGCCTGTTCCGGCATGGATCATCCGCTCTTCCGCGATCCGAACTTCCGCGATCCGTCTGCCGCAGTATCGCATCGCATCGCTCGCATCTCAGCAGCGCCAGCTGACGAATGTGCTGCTGTGCCGCATCCTGACGCTGCCCTATTTGGTAATGATGTCGTATACGACTTCCGGGGTGGATCCCGGGCTCGGGGCTCACCAGGATGCCCAGCTCAGAGCTCTCCTGCAAGGTTTTGCTAGGCTCATGTACGTGCTTGTCTATCCAACAACAGCTCTCCTCGATAGCACTAGTCTTACTGATGAATAGCAGCGGAGCTTCGGATGAAACTCCCTAATCGCGGATGGCGGATCGAAGGATGCTAGAATCCGAAGACCAACACCCGCATCTGCCCCATGCTCCCTGCTCTTATTGCTGTTATGCCCTGAGCTGCATGGATTAGACGTGCAGACGTTGGACCGTGGCAGGAGATGGTTCCTGCTGAACAATATTACGGAACTACTCGCATGGCGTGAAGCTTTCTCATTCCACTCCAGCCGCTAGTAATCATTGTTCCTGTTCCTGACCGCTCCCACGTGCGATACCTTTCATATAAGGCCCTTAGCTGCCCCGTGTTCCGTCAAACTCAGTGATAGAGGCATTACCAGCGAAACAAACTGAAGCAACAGCGTTATACTGTCTCGAAAAACTTCAGTTTGGTCGATCCCCCCCACAAAGTACTACCAACAGTAGTTGTCCATCATGTCTCCCCACGCTATTGATTCACAGACTCTGGGCCAGAACGACCACTGGAACCTATCCAAGTTTGCCGTCACAAAAAATGCCTTCCTCCCTGAGGAGAGCCAGCCCAACAGGTTGTCGGACCCCTACTACGAATCATGGGAGCTCGTTGCCCACAACCTAGCAGAGCTTATCGAGGCCGGCCGAGTTCATGATGCTATCAAAGAACTTCCCGTCCTGTCAACGGACTTGCTCAAGTCTGAAGCTGAGTGGCGGAGAGCCTATGTTATCCTGGCTTTTTTCACTCACGCATATGTCTGGGGAGGAGAAAAGGCTGAAGAAGTATGACTGCCATACCATCCATCTTTATCCTATAACCATAATGCATATTTGAAACTAACACTGATATCATTTCATAGATTCTCCCAGCTTCAGTCGCCGTTCCGTTTCTCAGAGTCTCTGCCCGCCTCGAACTCCCCCCTGTCTTGACCTATGCTGCCTGCAACTTGTGGAACTTTAGCTGCTCAGGAGACGACTTCTCCAAGCTGGAAGACCTCAGCACTCTCGTCACCTTTACTGGAACTGAATCCGAAGCTTGGTTCATGCTAGTCAGTGTTGCTATTGAGGCCACTGCCGCACCCATCATCCATACTATGCTTCGTGCTCTTGATGCCGTCAAGACCCGCGATTACGAGGTCATTATTAAGTCTCTGCAAGAGCTGAAAGTTGGCATTGATAACACTAGTGACCTCATGGAGAGAATGTATGAGCGCTGCGACCCCATGGAATTCTATTACAAAGTTAGACCCTTCCTTGCCGGCAGCATGAACATGGAGGATGCCGGTCTGCCAAATGGAGTCTTTTATTCCGAAGGAGATGGTAAAGGCGAGTGGCGCAAAATCAGGGGTGGAAGCAACGCACAGAGCTCGCTGATCCAGTTCTACGACGCTGTCCTCGGCATCGACCACAATGGCCACTCAACCTCTACAAAGAGCTTCCACGACGAGATCAGGGAGTACATGCCCGGTCCTCATGGAAGATTCCTGGTGCATGTAGCCCGTTCTGGCAGCCTCCGCGGATTGGCCCTCGAAACACCTGTCCGAGAAGAGCAGCACCGTCTCAGAGAGGCTTACACGGCTGCAGTGGATGCCCTCACCGAGTTCAGGGGCAAGCACGTCAAGCTCGTGACAAGATACATCATCATTCCCTCCAAGAAGCCCTGGGCTGGAACCACGCGCAGAAATCTGGCCAGCTCTTCATCGAGAAAAGGAGGAGAGGGACTGATGGGCACTGGAGGCACCGAGCTTATCCCGTTCCTGCGGCAGGCAAAGGTCGAGACCGAAGTTAACAAGATTGAAAGGCCCGAAGATTCTGAGAAATGATGATGTTTTCATGATCTTTTCCGATTCCAAAAAGATGAAAGACGGTCTCAACATATATGAATAGGCGTTTTGGATGGTTTTGGTTTTTTTTCTGTGCGAACAGACGGACAGCGAGTGTTTATTGGCCTTTAACAGGTACATTATTCTACAGATACAGGCGTATCAGATATCAATATAGTAGAGAACATGTAGATATTAGAAGCGGCACATGTGTGCCTTATGAGAAAATATGCATCAATTGCTATGAAAAAGCTCTCGTAGATACCTACTGTCAGGAATTTCAACAAACTTTACAAGCAACTTCCCTGTTCGTCGTCCAAACATTCAGCCAGTTCGGTATATGGATTCGAATTAGCTCAACTAACGGAACGAATTTTATTAGCCTGTGAGTCAGTGAGCCAAAGCCCCTCGGTGGCGCCGCCGCCGCAAAAGACTCGGCAGTCACTCGCTATATACTAGTAATCTGTGCTACAGAACAATATAGGCAATTATGCTGACCTACAAGATCTAGTTCCCGTCTGCAAGGCCGTCTCGTGATCGACTACTTGGGTAAAAAATGCTGCTATATTCTGCACGATATGCATGTCACGCGTCCTATGACTGGATGGATGCCGTTATGCAGTCCAGAGTGGGCGCTCTAGGCTGGAGATGCTGTGCCCCGCCCAGTTACAGGCGACCTTGGGCCCCTAAGCACTGTAGCTGCTGCTGCAAAACAGAGCCAGCAGGGCCCAATTAGCGGCTCGCTATCGCCTAGCGGAAAAAGAGCGGTGACGACGTTTTTTGTGTTCGTCGTACAAGAATCTTTGGGCTGTCAATGCTGGCCTGAAAGCAGTTTAGTGAGTCATTGGAGTTCTAGCTGGGGGCGAATCAGATCGCAGACCCCACCATGAGAACTAGAAAAAAAAAAAAGGTTTGGGAATGCTGGCAAGAGGTACCTGGTACCCTGTACTACTAGTATTATTTCACTCGCGGGGGCCTTCAAGATTTTTTTTTTCGTCTCCTCTCTTTTGCTGCATCATCCGCAATCAACCTTTCAAGCCAGACAACGAAGTCGCCCTATAGCCCAGAATTCCCACTCAGAGTCCCCCCAGTCAGAAACTTCGTCGAGCCACAATGCCTTCGGCCGTCGCTGAGCTGTAAACGCCCACTGCGGGCCGTGCCCATCACGGCTCGCAGTCCAGCAGTTCAACGAGTCTAATCAACAACATCTTCGACGTCAAGTTTTTCAACAGGTTTTTCCCGCTATTGAGTCCGCATGCTCTTCCGAACAAACCTGTCTCTGAACCCGCCAAATTCTGCTAGTTGCCCGCTTTGATAGGGCCTTCAACGTCTCAATTGCTGGAAAAAGTTTTCAGTTACTCGAATCTTTGACAGCCATTGCCTTTACGCTCCCCCCCTCAACCCTCAACCCCCTTCCTACGACCAACAATTTATATTGCAGTCGGCATCCAATTCGACACCCCAACATATCGACTGGAAAAAAAACAAAACAGCCTCCGAAACGAATTGAACAATCATTAGATCACACTTACGACGTATCTATTCATCTGCCCATCCCTCCTTTCAGCAAAAAAAGCTCTCTAGAGTTAGCCCCCTTGTATAAAGGACAATTTCCAGGCCCACAAGTTCATCTGAATACAACTCTTTACATAATGTCTCGCAACATCCGTCAAAAGTATCCCGCAGCTGCGGCTAAAACCCAAAAGCGTCGCCGCCTTTCGGAGTCTTCCTCCTCCCTTGATCTCTCCGACGATGAAGGCTACTCAGCCGTGGAAGATATTAGCGACTCTGAGGACAACGATGAGGAGGATGTAATAGCGGTCGAGGAGGAAACAATACTCTTTGAGGGTTTACCTATCCCCCCTCACGCTCCTCGACCGCTCTTGGATGACGAAGACGAAGAAGAAGGAGAAGCAGAAGCAGAAGACGAAGGAGAGGATGCTGATGAAGAAGAGGAAGAGGAAGAGGAAGATGACGACGACGATGGAGACGAACACTTGGACGAAGATGCTGACAATGCAAGCTGGGCTGGCATACTGTCAGACGTTGAAGATGGCCAAGCATCCGACTTCTATCACGACTCGAATCCTTTTATCTCAGACCCCATTATAGAACGACATGTCCGCTTCGATATACCGGATAGCGACTCAGACTCTACTGAAACAGAAGATGACCACGCCGATCTTTTCCCCGACATCTTTGTCTCACAAAACTCTCTCGACCCTGCGTTCCGCAAAGAGATTGAACATGATACTGATGAATCGTCCGGTTCCAACTCCTTTTGGGATTATCATGGCCACTACGAAGAAGAAGGGGGAGACGACTCGGAGTCAGAAGCTGAAGAAATAGTCCGACAACTTTCGGATGACGAAACCGTAGCTGCCGTGCCGACTCCTGACGCCGCCATTGTACCGGAACATTTTAGCCCTACCTTTGAAGAATCCCTAGAGCTTGATGGCTACGAATGTGAGTCCTACTACTTGAAGCGGGACACGGGTGCCCTTTACTACCTTTTACTAATACCAATGATTCAGCTGATGGTGACACCACTGATGAGGAAGACATTCCTGAGCCTGTCATCCGGAAGAAGGCTCGACGTCCATCTAGTGCATTGAGCGACGAAGCTTCAGACTCAGAGGCGGATTCGCCTGTTAAATCAGAACGCGGCCAGCCTCGTGTGGGCCGCTTCAACCTGGACCGGTCTGATAAGAAACCCATTGCTGTCCTCAATCCCTTGACTCGAAAGATGATGATTTTTACTCCTCATCGACGGAGACATCTTGACTTGTCACCGGAGCAGTTCAACTTTCCCTGGGCGATAGAGGACCAGACCACTCCGCTGCTCAGCAACTCGGCCAACATGATGCTCAGTGCCATGTTCTCTTCCAATACGTTTGGAGACTTTGTCAATGCTCAGACAATGGGCCCTGCGGAAGCATTCTTCCCCTTCCCCACCGAGACCAACGAAGATGATAGCTCAACATCTCCCAGCACGGATGGCGAGGACGACGATGAAGAGAAGCTTGACATCAACGACTTTATCACGTTTGGTGAAGCTGCCGATGACGAATCATCTGGCGATGAAGGTGATAATGACAAATGGGGTGCGTCACCCAAGCGTCCAGCCACAGCTTCTGGTGACATGGGAGCGCTGTCACATCTTAATTCGAACACTGTTGGCGCCTTCCGCCGCAACCAGATTAATCAGCAGCTGATCCTGAGCAGCCAAGCGACTCAGGACTCGCTGGCTTTCAGCGGTCCATATAACTACACTGCTCTTCGAGGTCTTAAATCTGACCGTTTCGATACTGCGACCGTGCCTTTGACCCCCGCTCGACGGCACAAGAAGCAAATCAATGAATCGACCCGGGGCTCTCTGGAGTCAACTTCGACAAAGCGTAAAGCTGCAGGCGAAGCTGCCGAAAGTAACCATAAAAGGCACCGGAGCATTTCTGACGTGACTTCTCTACGGATATAATGCGTATAGAAAGCTGCGCGTGAAGCTACTAAATACGAGCGAGGACGGTGCATAAACGTGCCCCTGGCCTCGCCATCTGATACATTCTTTCTGGCGTCTCATTCCCTTTTTTTTTCTCTGTCCATTTTTGAACAATTCGACGAGGACTCGATATTTCGTCCCAGCGTTTACGAAAGTTGACGGCTTCTCCATCGGGTAGACGGCGTAGGCAGGAAACGGTCTTGGAAACAAGCTATGTCGTTATCGGGATACTAAACATGGTTATAGGAGAATCTCTGGGAACACAAGCATTAGAGGCTCATATTCACACCAAAAGTTTTTCTTTTCTTTGTGGTGCCCAAAGACAATGCAGGCGTGCTTTGGTCTTTGGGTATAAAAGCTTCCCTTTTGCGATTACCGCGATACTAATGACTTAATGCCCATCGATGTGTGGAAACAGCGGAGTACATAGTCTCATTCGGAGCTATGGCTCTTGTTACTTTTGCGTGTACAATGAACATGGTCTGAGAATTTCTCATGACTTTTTTTCATTCGTTTTCTGTGTTACTGCTACTATTTGTTTTCTTTTAGTATGTACGAATTGAACTAAGGACATTTGAAAGTTAAACTTTTTCCTATTCCTCTTGCTATGTTTGTGTGCATCTCGCTTATAGTCCCCTTGCACAGTGACATTGTTAGGCGACGAACTCACAGGGATGTGAAGCCCAAAAGAAGAAAAGCAAAGAAGAACTAGCAAGGGTTCTTGGTTACCTATTGAAATAGGATTAGATCTCACTCAGTCGGTGAATTTTATAAGTGATAAAACAATTAACAAAAAGCGAGTAGATAAAGAAGAAAAAAATAAACATAAGTCTAGTCCGATCTAGCCAGGACTCGAACCTGGAACCTTTGCCACCGGAAAGCAACGCGCTGCCATTGCGCCACTAGACCAATAGTTGTGAAAGAAGAAAATTATTTGAGCATATATGCATCGGCAAAATTGTGTATTCTCAAGTGATGCTTGATTGAGAGAACTTGATTGAGTTTTTCAACTTGTTGTTTATTACGCACAAGGTGATTACATGTACCTTGTTTCATGCACTCATTCCCCAACATCAAGTGCGTCTATGTGTTCTACATAAAAATTCTATTGAACTCTCGCTAGATTCATGCTAGTCCCGGATCTGAAACCATGGGAAGGATGACAGTAGCTTTCAAGCGGGTGGCAGTAAAGGATTCATTTGACTGACTCACCGGACACCTTGTGACTCTTTTTGGGGTCTGCCGTGATTCATAATGGAAATAAGCTGATATCGTCGGGTAGCATTATGCTGCCGGCGCGGGATATAGCGCCCGTTTCTGAGTGTTCTTGGGTGGATTTTGGACACGTCAAACCAGATACCTTCACTTAATGGCGTTTGAAGTAGCAGTAACATGGTTGAGTTTGTGGGTGTTTTGACCTGAGAAGAGGAAGCTAATGTGGAATATGGGCCACGGGCCTTATCGTCGCAAGGTGTTCCTGTGTGCTTGGTGTAAGTCGAAGTGGATATAGGATGCCGCATAAAAGCTACCGTGTATACGGCTATGCAGCCAACATCCGAGTCTGGGCTTACGGCTGGCGGAGAACGGCAGACTAGATGCATGTTTTTGAAGAGCTTATCCACAGAGTACATGTACATGCAATAGGAAGTAACCTGGATGGGGTTAGGACAGATAGGTATGCAGCCAAGACAGAGTGAGCTGTGCATGTTGGATATTGCCACAGGACGGTTCACCGCGTGATGTTGGGCCGCTATAATAAGATGGAGTGATGATAACAGTCTTTTGCGAAAAACGTGTCTATCCGGCAAGTCATGAATCTCAATGCTTCTATTTCGTATAGGCAACAGTATAACAAGTCATTGTAAACGATGAATGTCTTTTTCACACAAGAATAAGAGTTTGAGAGACTGCACTAGGCATGCATGATGCATGATGCTCTCCCCCTGCAGATAACGGCACGGTGTTATCAGATGTCGATTTAGGTGCGGCAGAGATTCTCACCGTCATTATCAACATGCATTTTCCATCTGTCCAATCCGGTTGTTATTCGAATCGACGTGCTTACATTGCGAGCTTTCATTCGCTCTTGCTATTTGGCGTGCTTGTTGATGTGTATGCAGGCGCGGTTACCGGGTAGGAGATGGTTGCGAATCAATGAGAAATCTGGCTTGGCATTGGTGGATGTGTATAGAAGAGGAAAATGCCTACCCCGAATCCATCCATTTTATTGTCAATGATCGGTAAGTATAATGTACTAGATACTTTTGATACTTGGAGCTTATTAGAGATGGCGTTGATAAACAGCTGATGTTGAAATTAGAGCGAGACATATTCTCTTGGGTTGATCACTCCCTGTGTTATTAAGCTCTGCTATTGACGCATTCTTTTACAGATCCTACCGCCAAATCATCATTCCCATGACTTGTATGTAATTTTGTTGGATTCTAGTTGAATGGAGTGGAAGGCAAGAACATGCTATAGTAGACCTGGCTTTACTCCTGTTGGCATATGTTTTGCAAGGACAATAGATGCGGGAGGGAGTGGAAGTTGATTATTGTCCCTACGCGTGACTGAAATTGAAACTCTGTTTCAGGATTTCCATAAGAAATGTGTGACATAGGCGATGTTGTAAATGCATGGAAGGATAGGCAGTAAAAGCATTCCGTGGGACTTGGCTGTCAGTGAAAGTAATCATAGTTAATAGGATTCTATTCTTCAAGCGAGAGCCGTTAGTTTCTATTGATACTATGCGAAAAAGTTCCAAATAAAGTGCTGCGCATGTTGTTTTCTTCATCGTCTTAATGGCCAGGAATATTGCAAACGCTGTAACTTATGCAGCGAAGGGCATCCCTTTCAGTTTCAGGAGTATCAGCATTTAACAATAAGACATACGTTTTCTTGCTGACAGAGAGAAAGGAGATCATTGTTCATATGTTTCATCAACATATTGGCTATTCATATGGCTGGGAGCACGCCGTGGACATCTGCCCCCTCCTGATGCAAAGTGACCTCATTGTAGATGCTCTTGGAGGCATTCGCTCCTCATGTCTAATGGATCTATCCTATTTGGCATTGCGTATAATAGATGATATCCTTGCTAACGAGCGGTTACGATGTATTTGTCGAATCATATCACGTTGGCGAAGCAAGACGGGCTGCAGCCACGGCCCGGGAAGTGAAAAACGTTTCAATGTCGTCCATCTACTGAGCAAAGTTTCTGCCAATGGAGATTATGCAAAGAGTGATTGCGAAAGTCAGGCGGATTATCCGGTTAATGAACCTGAGTGTCTGGATTCAACCCATACATAGGAGTGCAATAGCTGGCGACTTGGCAGAAGTTACCAAACCCATCGTGAAGCCCCTCAGGGTGATTGAACGCTGCTAAATATGTGTCGATCTGGATCCCGCCTCGAGGCATTAGTGGCAGATATTCTTCGGAAAGCTGGAGGACACTCTTCGAAATTTAAGGAAACCGAAGGGAACTGGTATCTCGAAAAAGGGGAACAGCAACGGGAGGCTGGAAGAGACAGAGTACGAACATCTGGCAATGCTGCATATGTCAACATATCACTTGCTTACATATACTGAAGTCAGCTATTCCAATTGTTATGAGCATAAAGGATAAACTATCTATGCCAATCTTGGTAAGTATCTAGATGAGCGAGATCATATTGGAATCTCCATAAGCGGCGTATCAAAGGAACAACTCTTGGACAGTCTCAGTAGGGTCTCGTTGCTCATGGATCGAGAAATGGGCAAACCGATGCAATTATTTTCACGAGTGTGAAAGTGTAGACATTGAATCATAAGAAGGAGGCTTGGTTTAGTGCAGGGCTCTGAGATTAAACAAATGCAATATACTAGGATGTTTGGTCAGATAAACACCTTCTGATTGATACAATTGCGAATTCATGTGAGCCACTTTATAACATCTGAGATAGATTCGTCAATATTGTGTCTTCTAGGTGTTGTGGGGATTTTAAGATGACGAGTTCACGTCGAGTTGGATGAGCATGCGAGATATTCGTATATGCCATTAGAGGATTGCTGCGAAGAATGAAGTTATGAAGCGCGCTTTCGCTATATGATACCTCGAAAACGCTGTTCTTGTATAATCAAAAGTATCAGCCTGACTGTGCAAAAATACTTTCAGACGCCACGAACGTGGAGTTTATTGGAGCAGTAATGGAGCATATGGAGAGACTCTGGGGTAATCTCCAGAAAGCCATCGACTAACTTGCTGGCATAATCTTGAATATGGGAGCCACTGTCATGACAACTGTCCAATTTTAATACCCTTCTTAACTATACTGATATTATAACACGCGGCAGCCTAAGCTGCTGGTTCATGCTAGAAGTGCAGATAGAGAGCCAGGCACACGGAGATAGATGTTGCTACAATTATACATGTAAGCCACAACCATGAAGAAATGTAGGTATATATTTATATAGAGTGCACAGCTATATCCACATAATTACTTGTACAATGATTCGATTAGCTAACGGGCTTAGATCAAAGATGATGCTAGTACGATACAGTACTGGCGTTGTATTACACTGACTGTAAATGGCCTACTTGTTGCTTGTAATGACTCTGGCAAGACAGAAATGGGCTATAATATTACCTGTTAGTACGTAATACTGCTATTTGGTTGGCCCAAGATCGAATACGAAGCCAGTCCGGATTACTGCCGTGATCTGCAGATCTCTAAGCTGGGGCGCGCGGCCTTTTCTGGTTTCAGCAGCGTCAGACTTTCAAAGGGGGTGCCACATACGACAAAGATGTATCCGACTGCCGTATCTCCTAGCCAAGAAAAGGACTATTGCTCGTTTTCATCAGACGTGAGACGCAATGGAAGAGAGAGAGAGAGAGACGAGATGTGAAAATGGCATAACTAAAGTCGTGAGGGATGAATGAGGAATGCGAAACCTTCTATTGTTAGGGCCAGCGCCGCAACATGGTTGCTGGTACCAGCTTTCATCAGGGCCACGCGCAGTAGACTGAGTACAGAGTACCGCTGATGCGTGGCGTGTGTATTACGAGGTCCAAGCCGTGACAAACGTGGGGAAGAAGCACGAGACACAAAACAGAATCGCCTGCGCCATTCCACGGACTCTCCGCACGCAATTTTTTATCCTTTCAATCCTCCCTCAGCACAGCACCTGTCCTTGTTCTTTTGACCTTCTCTTCCGCCTCTCCTCCTGCTCTATGCGCAGCCCCTGAAAGACGACGCCGATAGCAGCAGCAGTAAATAAATCAGTCAATCGCCTTGATTTCTGCCAGCGGATCTCCAAACCGTGTCACAAGCCGCTCGGAGCTTTTCCGTTGGCGCATCGCAGGCCCGCTGTCGTCATCGCTTCTGCTCCAGATCCACTCGGCAGGGGCTCCCTTCGCTGCGACAAACGCCGTCATCGACGTCGCTGCAATAAATAGCATCAGCATCTTGAGTCCGCCATCATGACCTGGGAGCTCAACCGACGACGCTTTGTCCGAGCCGTCAACAGCAAGTTCATCTATGGACGTTTGGTACGTGCGCCGCTACACGCAGCGAGACATTTTTCGAGTTTTGCACCGCCGAGTCGTTCATTCATTCCCTTGAGCTAGCGATTCATGTTCGCGGCCTCGCTCTCTCTACCCCATTCACACTACAACGCCATTGCCAGAAACCCGTTGTCTCTTTTTGCATAGATTCGCTCGCTGACTGATTGATTGCACTACTCAACAGCCTCTGCTCCACACAATCATCTTCCTTATCGAAATGGCATTCGTTGCCCGGCTGACGGCGCGTTTCAATGCGTACTATGAACAACGACCTCGTACGTCCCCACGAGCGATCGCGCCATACAAGAATATACCCAATTCTACCCCTCGACTTCTGCTATACATGATTGCTAACTCGATAATCTGCATCCGCAGTCATGACCATGATGGTCACCAATGCCATCCTTGGTGGCATCGCCGATACCGTCGCGCAAACCATCACATCTGTGCGCGAGCGTGCTCTCCGAAAGCCAGGCGGCATCACCAAGGACGATGACATTGCGATTGAGATACATGAACTAGATGAAAAGAATCCGTTCACAGACCGCGAGCTCATTCCCGACTCCAAGAAACTGCCTCCGCCGTTCGACTTTGAGCGACTTACAAGATTCATGGCCTATGGTTTCTGCATGGCTCCAGTTCAATTCAAATGGTTCAAGTTTCTCTCATCAGTCTTTCCCATCAACAAGGGAAGTGCATTTGGGCCTGCCATGAAGCGAGTTGCCTTTGACCAGCTCATCTTCGCGCCATTCGGTGTCGGCGTCTTCTTCACGGCCATGACTCTGGCTGAGGGAGGGGGTCGCCGCGGAGTCGCTCACAAGCTACGAGACATGTATGTCCCTACGCTCAAGGCCAACTACGCTATTTGGCCCGCAGTACAGGTTATCAACTTCCGCTTGATGCCCGTGCAGTTTCAGCTCGTGAGTATCTATGTTTAGACTGTAATCTTTGTCCTTGTAGCTAACATTGGCCATTAGCCATTCGTCTCGACAGTTGGTATCGCCTGGACTGCCTATCTCTCCCTGAGTAATGCGTCCGATTAAACCCCAGGACAGACGAGTCTCCACATCGACCAAGGCTTCAATATGTCGGGAGTGCCACAGAGCGCTTAGTGGGGGGGGGGGGGGTATTGTGAGGAGGAAGTATGACAGCTAAACCAATAGCCTCATCTAAACCCATTAAACAAGATCTGATAAAAGTGGCAAGCATAGCAGAGCTGCCATTGAAAGAGTACGATATACGTTATTATCAAGATGAAATTTCCTGCTTTTTGCGACAGAGTTTGCAAACAAAGTAGTGGCGTTTGGAGTTTTGGCTACAAGACTCGTTCATTGGATGTCTTCAAGCTGCTATGGCATTTTTGAATCAACGGAGCAACGTGCCTCTGGATTTTATCGCTCATCGTTTTGTGTAACGGAATAGGATTATAACAACTAGAGTGAAAAATAAATAAAACCAGAGGCGAAAAACAGCATTTACCAACCATACGAACCATGGCAGGTTATCTGAGCACCATGCGGATACGGCACAATTGCACGACCCTGGATAATAGCTAGTCTAAGATGAGGGTTCAAATCCATGAAGTTGTGATATGACCTGATTAAAGTCCGACTCTACGTGATGTATCGCCATTCATCATTACAGATACAGGTGATGATGGCAAAGACAGATTAAGCGTGATTTATGCCGTCGAATGGGCCTCACGTCACTCTGGCGTGGTCCGGATGCAGCCGCTTAATGGCTCTTGGTCCAATTGACTGGCCGCTGAGATACAGAGGGTGCCCCCACCACAGCTCCCTGTATTAATCAATCGATTAGCTGTAATCTATTGAATTGATTGCCCGTGCTTCAGCACGGACCCCACCTCGCTGAGCCCCTCCATCCTTCTTGGCCGTCGCAGCTCAAAGTTCTGCGTGCTTTTTCCTTAAAAACACAGAGCTCGTCTCTTCATCCACAACGTCTTCCTTTGCAGCGCGAGCCTTGTTCCGCTTCACACGCCAATATCCAGCCAAAATGTCTCTCTCCAACAAGCTGTCCATCACCGACGTCGACGTCAAGGGCAAGAGGGTCCTGATTCGGGTGAGTCCGGATTGCCCCGCCATTGCAGTGATGAAAAATGGAGGGGACGATGTTGGGAGCTTTAAGCATCGACGTCAAAGCTCTGCTAGAGGAGCGCCGTCGAAAAGGCCAATTTCTCGCTGGCTTTGGGCGACATGGGGATATTGATGGCAGATATCCGAAGTTTTGCTTGCTCGTACTTGGCTGACTGAATGTGTTGTGTTTATCCAGGTCGACTTCAACGTGCCCCTCGATGAGAACAAGAACATCACCAACCCCCAGCGCATTGTCGGTGCCATCCCCACCATCAAGCACGCCCTCGACAATGGCGCCAAGGCTGTCATCCTGATGTCCCACCTCGGACGCCCCAATGGCGCTGTCAACGCCAAGTACTCCCTCAAGCCTGTTGTTCCTAAGCTCGAGGAGCTCCTGGGCAAGTCTGTCACCTTTGCCCCCGACTGCGTCGGCCCCGAGGTTGAGGCCATTGTCAACAAGGCCGACAACGGCGCCGTTATCCTGCTGGAGAACCTCCGGTTCCACATTGAGGAGGAGGGCAGCTCCAAGGACAAGGAGGGCAACAAGACCAAGGCCGACAAGGCCAAGGTTGAAGAGTTCCGCAAGGGCCTGACTGCTCTGGGCGACGTCTACGTCAGTAAGTGCAATGCTCTCTTCTCGTCTGGAAAGCTGTTTTGTTTTCATAGGTGGCTAATTTGTGTTGCCAACTAGACGATGCTTTCGGCACTGCTCACCGTGCTCATTCTTCCATGGTTGGCGTTGAGCTGCCCCAGAAGGCCGCCGGTTTCCTCATGAAGAAGGAGCTCGACTACTTCGCCAAGGCTCTCGAGTCCCCTCAGCGACCTTTCCTTGCCATTCTGGGCGGTGCCAAGGTCTCTGACAAGATCCAGCTCATCGACAACCTGCTTGACAAGGTTAACACCCTCATCATCTGCGGTGGCATGGCTTTCACCTTCAAGAAGGTCCTCGACAACCTCGCCATTGGCGACTCTCTCTTCGACAAGGCCGGCGCCGAGACCGTTCCTAAGCTGGTCGAGAAGGCCAAGGCCAAGAACGTCAAGATTGTCCTGCCTACCGACTTCATCACCGCCGACAAGTTTGACAAGGACGCCAACACTGGCCTCGCCACTGACAAGGATGGTATCCCTGATGGATGGATGGGCCTTGACTGTGGTGATGAGTCCATCAAGCTGTACAAGCAGGCTATTGACGAGGCCAAGACCATTCTGTGGAACGGCCCTGCCGGTGTCTTTGAGTTTGAGAAGTTCGCTGGCGGCACCAAGGCCACTCTTGACGCCGTTGTCGAGGGCTGCAAGAACGGCAAGATTGTCATCATTGGTGGTGGTGACACTGCCACCGTTGCTGCCAAGTATGGTGTCGAGGATAAGCTGAGCCACGTCTCCACTGGTGGCGGTGCCAGCTTGGAGCTGTTGGAGGGCAAGGAGCTCCCTGGTGTTACTGCTCTGTCCAGTAAGTAACTGCATACCCTACTTATGGGTCGAACGATCGAGAGAAATAAATTGATGACGGGGGGATATGGCATAAAAAGGTCGGCTCGGGGCACCCCATCTATAACGGAAAAAAAGTATATAAACATATACTAAGGGGGGGGTCTCTAGAACAACCAAATCCCTATGCTAGCTTCACATAGCACAGGGGGCACGCTAAATAGGAAAATATTTAATAAAAAACATTACTTTAGCGCCTTGCTATTTTATATAAGGAATTAAGTACTTTTATTAATAAAATTACTTTAATTTCAGGTTGTTTTCCTAAGGGATAAATTGAAAATAATTCTTTGATTTATATTCGTAATCGAGGAAGTGCTGCTTGCCCCTCCGGGTTTGGCCGTCCTCCCAATCGCAAGACCCCTGCACTGCGCCTCCAGTACATAAATATTCCAACCTCCGCCGAGGCCTTCGACATGTACTCTTGACTTCGACCTTCTCCCTTTTTCTTCTCCTCCTCCACCTATCCTACTACATTATCCGCTCATCATGTTGCAACCCGTCGCAAGCCGTGATTTCGTTCCAAGCTCGTCATACACGCATGATGCGGCCGTTTGTCTCAACTCTCGATTAACCGTCGCCGTCTCCTCGTCTCTGCCACACCTCCGTTGACCGAGTTCATGTGACTGCTTTGACCACCGTTTTCTCTACGAAAACTAGAGCTACTACTCCGATACACACAACTCCGCCGGACCTATCACACCTCGAGCGATTCACCAATCTTCCAAGTTGTTCGTCTCCCATCCACGTCAAAATAAACCAAGCGTTATTTTGGTCACCTTCGTTGATCGCGCAAAGCAGTAGCCGCAGTAACAAGCCTTCTGCCCCAACTGGTGCAACGGCCGCCGCCCAGAATCTTAGGACTCGCTCAAATTGTCATAGAAACTGCCGCAGTCGGCTGATTGTGTCTGTGCTCGGCGCGACGCTGATGTAGTTGAACCAACATGGCCCCATGAGGGGAGCCTAAACTGCGGCGAGCCAACCTGAGCTGGATTATCTCTCTCTTGCCACACGACCATCCGGATGAGGCGTGATTCGCATCAGCAAAAGACCCTCCGAATCGACTGCTCTCCGTCGCCTAGGCGCAGTTGTGCTCTTGTTGCCTGGCTTCTCCGCGACGCTCGCCCAATGTAAGTTCCGCAGCCGAATCAGGCCAATGCCACGACAGCGCCCGCCGGAACTTGTCTGCCGTTGCACCCAATCCGACCGTGCATTGACTGGTGGCACTAAGACTCTTCATGTCAAGCCACTTTCACCACATTAAATAAGAATTATCACTATTATACACACCCAGATAACTACCCTCAATAAGAGATAGTCAAAATAGCATTATCCAGCGTAAATCCAGTATCTGGACCCTTATAAAGGAGCAAGAAGACGTATATAAGGTGGCGCAATGCACCTATCCATAGTTATAGAATCAATGCAATATCACGATACCTATGTGCTTTTTAGAACTTCTGACAATTCACTCAACAGTTTTGCTTTTTCCCGGACTCCCGGCTAAGAACCGTGAAGGCCGCCGGTTCGCTCGCGCATTAGCTGTCGCCGGGTCTTGTCCTTTTCTGCAATCAACCGCCGTTAGCAAATAGCCATATGATTGTGTTACAGTCCCAGGAACTATAGCTTACCTCTGTCATAAACCAAGAACTCGTGGAGGCCAGCACCTGCTGGTACCATAGGCAGGACAGGCACCTTCTTATCGGTAACAACCTCGAGAAGAGCTGGGCCGTCTGTGTTGATGAGCCACTCGAGGCTAGCCCGAACGTCCTCTGGCTTGGAGACCTTCCTCGCCTGCACACCCATTGCGTCGGCTAACTTGATAAAGTCCGGATTCCGCTGGTGGGTGTGTGCATAGCGGTCCTCGTAGAACAGGTTCTGCCATTGGGTAACCATGCCTTGCTCCTCGTTATTCAGGATAATAACCTTAACGGGAATGTTGAATTGAGCCGCGGTGGAGAGCTCTGTTAGGGTCATGTTAAAGGACGCATCGCCGTCAACGTCAATCACCAGGGCGTCTGGTCTCGCTACTGCAATTCCAATCGCACTTGGCAGCCCAAAGCCCATCGTGCCTGCATCCCAGGGTCAGAATTAGGGTCGTTACAAACTTCAATGACTAAGTAACATGACAAGATTTAGGTTTGGGGTTAGGAAAGGCCGGAGAGAAACGGCCAAGGTGCTGCAAAATTATCACATACCTAGTCCACCGCTCGTGACAAACGATCGAGGCTCTCTCCACGTGAAGTGCTGTGCTACCCACATTTGCTACTTCAAGTCAGTTGGTGTTCGTAATAGTGCTGGCTGCTCATGAGAAACTCACATGCTGGCCCACTCCAGTTGAGATGATTGTTTTCTTATCAATTTTAGAGGTGAGATCGCTCAGCTCCTCAATTAGGGACTGGGGTTTAATGAGACCGTTGCCTCCAGGAGAGTCAGCGCGCTCATAGTTGGATAGAGGCCACTTGGCCTTCCATTCGGATATCTTGTTAAACCATTCGCTTCGTTGCTCCATGCTTGTAGGTGTGAGCATAGGCATAAGCATCTTGAGGTTAGTGGCAACATCGCCCTCGATAGCCTCAGTTGCTTGAATGACCTTGTTAATATTCTTAGGTAATATATCAAAATGAATAATGCCGCCTCGCTTCTCAGCTGCTGCAGCTTTCGCATTAGGAGCAAATTTTGAAGTATTCAGGACAACACGGTCATCAAAGCGAGCACCAAGAGCAATAATAAGGTCGGCCTCCTGCATAGACATATTGGCATATGCCATGCCATGCATACCCAACATGTGTAATGACTTCTCGTCACGCTCATCAAACGCACCAAGGCCCTGGAGAGTTGTTGTAACAGGAATAGAACACTTATTAGCTAGCTCGCGAAGAAGCTCAGGTCCACCATTAGACTGGATAATGCCTTGGCCAGCGTAAATGATAGGCTGCTTAGCTACTTTAATAAGCTCAGCAGCACGACTAAGGGAGGTATTAAGCTGCTTCTCCATTAGTCGTTTGGCAGCCTGAGAAGCGATGCTTGGAATAGAGGGTAGGCGAGTTTGTGTTGGTATAGCTTTTCGAAGAATTCCGGCTGTAATATCCTTAGGGAGGTCAACGAGAACAGGGCCAGGACGACCACTGGTAGCAATCTCAAAAGCCTCGTTAATTCGACGCGGGAGCTCAGCAATGCTTGTAACCATGCAATTCCACTTGCACGCACTCCTGCTAATGCCCACAGTATCGCACTCTTGAAACGCGTCTAGTCCGATCGCACTTGTTACGACCTGTCCAGTGAAGACTACTAGGGGAGTGCCATCTGAGAGAGCATCTTGCATGGGTGTGATGACATTGGTCGCTCCCGGACCCGATGTGACGAGTACAACGCCAGGTTTTCCGGAGGCACGTGCGTACCCTATGATATGTTAATATGACCCCTTGTTCAACCAAGCAAGTCTTACCTTGTGCCATGTGGCCGGCGCCCTGTTCGTGTCGAGGCAAGATAAAGTCGAAGTGTTCCGAGTTGTAGATGGCGTCAAAGACGGGGAGGATGGCGCCTCCGGGGTAGCCGACTAGGACTGTTTAGCACGTGGGTTCTCATTTGGCCCTGCCGGCGAAGACAAGTTGGCTTGGAGAAGGGAGACAAACAAATATGCTTCACATCGTGTCTGAGCATCATCTCATGAAAGATTTCACCGCCGGTCTTTCCGATAAATCTGAAAGTACATGAGCAAGGGCTTATCGTGGTTTGAGAGAGAATTCTTACGACTCATCCATCTCGGGTTTCGATCGGTTGATAAGAGGCTGAACATGATGACGAGATTCGGGTTCCAAGTTGAAGGCGGGGCTGGGCACAGGGTGAGTCTGACTGTAAAGCAGGTCAGCAACATGATTGAGATAAGATCAACAATGAAACATCGATTGACTTGGTGGAGCGAACGTTGGCGTACTCCTCGGCGTCTTTCGAGTCAGGAACACGGATAGTTGTTGGGCGTTGAAGCGTGACACCACGAACGAGGTTATGAGGGTGCAAAGAACCAAGGAAAACAGTCAAAAACTTACGGCGCGGCAGAAGTGGTAGCAGTGACCTTTGTTCTTTGCGTCGCGGGCAGCTTTGACTGCGCAAGAGTGGCTGTGGGCGGCGTCGTCCAGGCCCTCGCCTGGCCAAGGGCGCGGATAGCCTTTCTCGTAGGGCGATTTCGGAGCATCGCGGAGGAGTAGAAGGATTCGGAGGGGAGGAAAGTCGGGGTGGGATGGGAAAGTTCCCAATTGCGTGAGTGAGCACAAGCGCTCAGTGAGAGAAAGAGAATCCGAAGGTGCCAGTCTTTGATTCGGGATCGAGGATAATGAAAAAGAAAAGTTGTTGTTGGAGGAAGAGGCGCTGGCGCTGGCGTTACTAGGTTAGTGCAGCGTAGCGCAGTGCGAGGATGCGAGGGAGGTGGGAGAGGCTAGCCAAGGAAGGTTTGGCTCTAGATCGGAGCAAAAGCCGGACGAAAACCTGGGGCAAGACTCAAAATTTTTTTTAAAAAGAAATGAAAATAACAGTCACTGTAGAGTCGGGCGACATCGGAGTAAATGATCCATGACGAGCTGCAGCCACTTCCAACTCTTCCCCTCGCCCCATCCCGCCTCCGGTACACGGAGCTAGCCAAGTTCTCGAATCGGTCTGGGGCTGGAACAGACAGATCTAGATCTACATACATCAGCGGGGAGGAAGACCAAGGCGGCGTCCACCACGCATGCAGTATTGCGACAAGAACAATCTGAAAACTTTTCTCTTCTTATTTTCTGGTGGTCGCACGGCACACGCGAATGGACTTTGTCTTCTCAAGTGGTTGTTTTGTCAGGCACTACAGGTTACACTGTCTTGCTGAGTTGATGAAATGATTATCCAAATACATAGTTTAGTAACACAAACCTGCCCCGATTCCAGCCCAGCAACCTCGCAAACACCTGGTTCGTCTCACAGTCCTTGTCCACAGAGCTGTTGGACTTCGCTTCAGCTCGAGTCTCGCTGAGCATGTACTCAGCTGGCGAATAAATATCCGCCGAAAACATGACATGATAACAAATCACACAACATTCGCGCGTTCCTCTGTCTCCTCGTCCAAAGAGCCGCTGGTCTCGGCTTTGGCTTCGGCTGCAGCTTGTCGTAGATATACCCGTCTAGCACGAAGCGCATTTACGGTTCGCCCCATACCAAACTTATCCACAAACGCCATGTGGACTGATTGCCAGTCCTTATCTTCTACTTCCTCCTTCGTCACTGTCAGCAACCAAGCGTCTTCCGATGGGCCCACCTGCTGCATCGCGCCATGCTTTCCGACGCGTCTGATAGAGGGTACAGCCTATGCTGGATGGCATTTGTAGTCCGCGGATGTCCGAATGCTTCTTCCCACGTCGGGGCGAGCTTCTTGGCGAGCTTCCATCTTTTGCTCAGGTCAGGATAGGAGCGCAGGTAATTGTCTTCTTCCAGTGTCCATCTATGAAGCTCTCCACGGGGACTTTTAGACAGAAGAACAAGTCTAGCTTTGAGACTCGTCAGAGTCCTGGTAGGGCCAAACTCTTTCTTCCAAGCCTGATACCTCCTCTCGTCGTTGTATCCATCCCGGAGGGTCTCGAGAAATTCGGCTTCCTTTAGAAGTCCAACGTTTCTGTGAACCTTGGAAAGACGAGGAGTGATTGTCGCATTCGGGATCAGGCCCGTGACCGAGATTGAGGCTGAGGTATTCAATTCTCTGGATAATGTCCTTATCGGTTCGCTTTGTCTCGGTCGCCGACTTGAAGGCCTCAGTCATCGGCCGCGTCGTATCAAGGCCCTCGCATGCGGTCATCAGCGCTGCGTCCTCCTCGTCAGTCCAAGGAACAGCTGTCTCTGCTGCAATAAGCTTGAGGCGAGCAACCACCACATCCGGAGTTCTCTTGGAACCAGTCTGCTCCACCCACGATTTCACAGCGGTTGGTATGTGCTCCCCCGAACTCACAATAGTCCGGAGGTGAATGAACTCTGAAGGACTCCATTCCGGGTGCCCAGACTCGGAATCGGGCCCCATCAGAATCTTTCTGTCTCGATATCGCATTGGTGGATCGATCGTTGTGGAATTCCTTGTTCACTTCGGCTGCAATCTCACTGGCCGATTTCCCAAGCTGTGCACCCAGTATGATCATCGCTTATTCTGCCTCGGTATATGGCGCGGCCTTTTTAACAAGCCTCAATTCTTCGATCCTTTCTCGAACTTGATTGACCTTGACTTGACTGGTGCTGCTGGGTCCTTGGCTCAGTTCGGCCGATTTGCCCATGCGTTTTCCGCAACTCCAAACCCAGTTTAATGGTTTCGTCTTCCTTGGGGGTCCAGGCCCGCTGCTCGAGTCTACGCATCAGTTGACCAACCCTCTTGTATATCGTGCTTTGGGTTCGGTCAATGTCGGATTCCTGGTGAACTTCGGCCGCAACTTGCTGCTGCGTTTTCCCCGACTTAAAGTAAGATTTGATCGTCTTGTCTTCCTCAGGGGTCCAGTCCCAGCGCTTGCTTACGTGCACCGGTTTACCATCCTCATGGGTTGTCGTATCCGTGGTACGATCGGTGTCAAATTTCTGGTTCACTTCGGTCGTTATCTGTTCCTCCATTGCGCCCAGCTCCGCATCCGACTGCATCATGTCGTCCTCGGCGTCACAGCAATGCCGTTTCTTACGCTTGTGCTTCGGCCTGGGTAGAGGCGAGGTTTCGTCGGCCGGTCGTTTTCTCGCCGACGAGGTAGAAGTCGAATGCTGTTCGAGTTCAGCATCCCCTTCCGCATCCTGGCCAGCAGTTCCGTGTGAGGGCACCGAAGGGCTGCTTTGCTGAACAGGTAGCTCGCTCTTGTCAGCAGAGCCATCAGGTTGGGCAGATTGGGGATTCAGCGTTTCAAGATAGAGCATGTCGATTGCCTCCATCAATGTCAAAAGAAAGGGTAGGTGCAATGATGCCTCCTGCGTGTAGTCTCTGGGGAAAGGGAGCGTAGATAATACGTGGGGGAAAACTTCCTCAGTGTCCTCGTGCGAAAGTTTCGTGTGCATCCAACTACGGCGTTCCTTGACCCGAGAATGTTGAAGTCGCTTATGCCGATCGATTTTGTTGAGGTGTCCCCTGGCTCTCAGTTGAATCTCTTAATGAGTGGGGTTGAAACCTGATAACGAGCAGGCTGGGCCAACATAGGCCATTTCGCCATGAGCAGACTCGGCTTTGCAAGGGGCGTGAAGAGCGTAGACACCAATCAGGTTAGGTATCTGGCCAATCCCGTCCGCTAGCGACTTGCTCTCAAGTCTACCGAGCAGGTCTTTCCAGTCCCTTTGGCCCAAAGCGGCTCGGTTTCGAAAGGACCGCACATGTGAATGGAGCAGAGCCATCGAAATGGCATCTCGTGCAGCACCCGTGTTATTGTTTTGCAGCCATCGAAAAAAAAAGCAGGATCAAATGGCGACGATTTGACTGTTTCCCACGTATAGCTGGCCGCTGCGTTGAGAATACTGTTGAAGATGGCCGTGTACTAATAACCATGGCGCCGAATGTTTTGTTGGACACGCTCAGGGCCTACAGAGATGAAGTTACCTTACTCATTAGTAAGGTCTTGTGTAGGCAGGCCCAGGAGAAGGGGGGGGGGGGGGGTGCAGAGGATACTTACACGACTGTATATCGGCCACTGGGCCCATAAATAGACATAAGTCGTCACAATGATATTCTTGGCATACGCGGGTGTGAAGGTGATGAGAGAGATGAACTTGTCAAGCGCAACGCTGGCCTCTGTTCTGACTTCGTTTGCATAGTCGTCCGCGGCCTCTAACTCTGACTCCTAATCTGAGGCAGGCTCCGCGTCATCACTGTCGTCAATAGTGTGCATAATCCAATCCTTTACACCCCTCATCGGATCCAATGCCTCAGAAAGTTGAGGTCGGCGCCGTTTCTTGGACTCCTGATTCCGAATAGTGTGGCTCCGAGTTACCGGGCTGGGCTGGGCTGGGTGATGTTGAAATGCACCGGCAGCTTACCGAATTCGGCGCTGTAGTATGTCTCCTGCGAGGGCGCCATGCTGGAAGAATTCGTTGATGACTGTCGCGGAGATTTCGATGAAAGAAAAGAAAGGTAGGCCAAGTTTTGATTGAATACCATGAAGTGAGAACTCACCGACTTGACCCAGCTGCTGCCCCCTTTTGCGTCTACGCGTGAATATTACTACTAGTAGTACTACCTACCTAGTAGGTATTGAACGGCAGAGCTAGTCCGTAGTTTAGGCTAGTACACAATGGGCTAGCATATCAGCATACTGTACCTTTGTGTGCATCTGTACCGGTTCATTGCTTGACTTTCCAACCACTTCCGTAACTTTGTCGGAGATAATGAACAGGATCGCTTGCTTGGGATAGAGGTACCAGTTAGGCTGGACGAACGCTTTTGACCCATCCCACTGCTACGTCCTCGTCGAGATGCTCTGGATACCATGACCGGCAGCACCCAAGGTAGCCACAAGTCGGGCTAGTTTGAGTCCTGGGCTGGTATATAAAATACTGGCCTCGAATATGTACCAGAATATGATGAAGTAGAGGCTGATTCAAAATTCAGGCTGGTACATTGATGTGCTAGCTCGAAGTTTGGACTGGTATAACCATATGCTAGCCCGACTTTTGGGCCAGCCCAATTGCAGGCTGATACACTCTTCGCCGGCTGACAGGAGGGATTCACTGCCTGATGTGCAGTGTGCAAAAGTGCTCACACCGCATTCTAGGAGCGAGTGCGCCTCCAAGTTCTGCTTTCTCTATCTCTGAGGGCGCTCTCAGTGTTTCCCGTTTCCCTATTTTCCTACTTTCCTGTTTCCCTGTATTATGCGGTTGCTTGCCCCCAGCTTCTACCTTCTACATTCTGAAAGCGCTCCCCTACAGCTTTTGGTTTCTCTATTACTAAGGGCGCGCTCGCCCCAAGCTTCTGGTTTTCTGGATCGCAGCTTCTGCTTTCTTTATTCCTGAGGTCTCAGGTCGCCTTTCAGAAGCAAAGAGGTGGAGAAGGCTTTCCAGGACTTGCACTACACGGAGACGCTGTTTCTACGAGGGAAGCTTTTTCTTTTCTGTACATTCTCGAAGCGAGGAGCTGCGAAGCAAATAAATATGTAAACCAATCTTTTTCACTTCATAGGATATCCCACGATTGTCAATGCGAGGGCGTGTGTCATTATTAGAACCGAGAAAAAAGTTTACCGTCCCTAACAAGCCCTGTTGACGTGATGTTGGCTCGCCCAACCGATGTCCCTGTCGTTCCTTGTTCTTCCCTCCTCCTCAAGTCTATCTCCGCTTGGCCGCCTCAACCTTTTTAAGCTCTTCCCTATGAATAGAAAAACACGTCAGGATCCGTGTACTCATAAGGAATAAAACAAAAAGCAAGGGAGTAGCAAGAGTGTGTAAACAAGGAAATATGATGATAAGAAAAAAAGAATAAAGGAAAAGATAAAACCCAAGAAAATAGTAAACATTATTAGTCCCATGTATATATGTATGTGTGTCCCCCCGTGACAAACGCGAATGTTGGGGGGGTTATTTAAACCAGTGTGTGAACAATAGGAGAACAAATTCTAAATCGACAGCAGCAGCAATGATATAGCAACGACAAATCAGGTGTTATAAATCAAAGTGTTTCTCATCGAAAGCGACGACGGGGACGGAAATCGAGGGACAGCGCTGTGAGGAGAAGGGTAGAAACTAAGAGAGAGCCAACCACCCACTTGAGCTGATTCGAAAAGTCGTCGCTTGTGTCGTCGTCGTCCCAGCTCTCCTCCCATAGGTGCTTGGTTTCGCCGTTGCGCTGGGCGGCTTCGGTTTGGTCGGCGGGCCAGTCTGTTTGGCGATGAAAGAAGATGGCTTGGGTTAGCATGGCTGTTCTTCGTCTTTGATTCTTTGGTATTTGCTTCTAGGGAGAAGGGCGAGAAAGGGAGATTGGAGTGCTTCGAAAGTGGCCATAGGAGAGAGGAAAGGAGAGGAGGTGGCAATGTACCGTCGACGGGGAAGTCTTCGAACTCGTCGTCTTCGCCTAGGGCCAGGTGCTTCTGCTCGGGCTTCTGCTGTTCATTTGGGGTGGACTGTTCGGGCTCAGCGACCTTGGGCTCTGTGGTTGATGCCATTGTTGGGGAGAGAGTGATGATGCGGCGAGCTTTCAGCCTAGCGCTGGTGGTGGAATTGCGCTTGAGGTGTTATCGAACGGAATTTGAGAATGGCGATGGGCCAGCAGTGTTGTGGAGAGCTGCTGGGATGACGGAGATGAGAAAGAGAGGGAGATGGCTGAGGCCCTGTCGTGGTTATCGTTTGGCTGCTGTTGTTATTTGTTGTTGATGCAAGGATTGGCCAGGGACTAGCTGGCGATGCTGGCTCGAGCTGACTGGTCGTGACGACTAGCTGTGGTTTCCTAGGAGCCCCCCCAGGCAGTACGGCGGCAGCGGTGCGGCCGGTGCCGGAAGAACGCTGGGTCCGGGGAGCTGCAGGTCGCTGCGCTGAGCTGAGCATATGGGCATCATTGTTGCGGCTTTTAGTGCCGGAGGTGCCTGAGCGGCTTACCAGTTTTGCCTGTTTTAGGGGACTGGCTTGACTGGCATCTGCGGGCGGACCTTTTTAGGGGCTTGATCGAGCCCCAGGATACAGCGAGAGGCGCCTATAGCAAAAAAGCGCGCGGACTAAGAGATCGTGTGGCGAATACTATTTTCCCTTGTGCCTTGATCTTCTTCTTCAATTGCCTTACGGATGCAGCGGCAAAAACGGGAATATGTAATATGAATAGTCTGGACGTCTACACAGGAATCGACGGAACGGTATGACGAAAGACTCCCTGCCGTAATTATGTACAAATATGGTTAAAAACAGCAGCGAGTAAAATGAGGGCCGCGCAATGTGTAGATGTCATCTCCTGGGCTTAACGGACTCGTCGCTCCGGAATTCCGCAGAGATCTCGGGGCTGAGCGTATTGATTATTACCGAGCTGATTGAGGGCATAAGAAATGGACTTGACGTTGACTGCGCACTGGTGTTTAGTATAAAGCCAAAATAAGCCCGGCGAGCCTCCGGGGAGAGACGCCCCCACGGCGAAAACTCGACTTTCTACAACCACCTACAACTGCAGCTTCTTTTTCCACTCTCTTCTTTTCTTTCCCTTTCCATATCTAGAACGGGTGGCTTCTTTATACTTATTTTCTTATTTCTTTTTTGCATTGTCTAAGTTTTTTTCTGTCGAGCATTGGCCTACGCTGCTTTTGCGTTCAACGGCTGCCAGCAAATCGAGGAGCCACGAGGGGTGCATGCATGGCATAAGCGTCGTCCATTTCTCTGATTCTTACTACTAGCACTACCGATTCCTTTTTTTTGGCGGCAATTTTTTCATTCATGCGGGATTGTTAGTCGACGCAGCGGTGCCCTATCATCTGTCACTCTCGCCGACTATTTAGCTGAGCCACCCGCCCAATTCGAAGGGTACCCGATATCTCGCAGATCTTTGTAGGCGAAGAGGCGTGTTGCACTGGGAGGATTGATTACGCCTCGATACGCCCGATCTTGGCACTTAGCCTCACTCGCAGTAACTGTCTTATTTAACGGCTTTGTTCCCTGCTATCGCTCTTCTCTTTCTGCAGCATCAATCGCTCCCATCGCCACTGCTGGACAGACCATTTGTCCACCATGAGTCGTTTAGCCGGTTGGTTCCGCTCTAGCGGGAAAACTGAAAATGGTTCCAACTCGAGCCTTACCGCCACGGACAGCATCGCGAAGGAGAAGGAGAACTTGGTGGAGGCAATGGATTGGATCGAGCTCATCATGAACGATGACATTGACGGCGCCTGGGAAAAGCTGCAGACGGGCGACTCTTCCTTCCACGAAATGGGCTCTGCGGTAGCCTTCTTCATGCGATCCGTGCTGGGCTTTGAGAAGCAGATTATGACTGAAGCCACGGCAAGACTGAATGACTGTGAAACCAGAGCGTGGTCAGATCTCAAACGGGCGCAGAAGCACGGTGCGGCTTACAACAGCAGTAAGCTCTACCCGCCGGGGACCGAGTACGAGTTGATCATTGCCGAGACGCAGCTGATGGGCGCCGTTGTGGGCGTGCTGCACGAGAGTCTGGTCGAGGCCATGAAGAGCTTCTACAAGCTGCGAAAGGCGTTCCTGACGCTTGATGCCATTGTGACGTCGGAGGAAACGATCTTTAAGAAACCTACGCCGGGCTCATCTCGCATGTCGCTCATAGGGAGCAGCTCACCTGGCGACGGGTCTGAGACGGAATCTAATGGAAACACGGCCACGCCTAGTAGCGACTCTGAGACCTTTGTAGATGCCAGGGAAACTTTGTCCGGACTGCAGACGCCAAGCGATCAGACCGATGCTTCGTCGACATCGGCGGCCTCAAAGCTGGAGAAGCTGAGCATCAGCAAGTTGGAGGATACGTCGAAACTGAGCCTGCGGTCCAGAGATTCCGATTTGAGCTCAGACGTCGAACTGGACAACCCCGTCGACAAGTTCATTCACTCTGGAGCCAACATGTGTTTTGGAGTCCTATTGCTTATCCTCAGTCTCATCCCTCCTGCCTTTTCACGCATCCTCTCCGTTGTTGGATTCCACGGAGATCGCCGACGAGCTGTCAAGATGCTCTGGAAGTCAGCCGTGCATTCTAACATCAACGGCGCTGTGGCGGGTATGATGCTGTTGGTGTATTACAATGGACTTCTTGGAGCCGCGGACATTCTGCCGGATCGCAAGGATTACGATGAGGATGCCGAGGCTGTCGGACCCCCGATCGAAAAGTGTGAGCAGCTCTTGGCCGATATGCGAAGACGATATCCCGACTCACAGCTGTGGCGAGTGGAGGAGTCGAGAATGCTGGCCAACGAACGAAAGATTACGGAAGCGTTGGAATTGCTCAAGTCGGGCAAGGAGTCGAAAATGAAGCAGGTTGCTGCTCTCAACAACTTTGAGCTATCGCTGGACGCCATGATGTCCTACGAATGGATGCTGATGCGCGATTCATTCCTGAGGTGCTTGGAAGTCAACGACTGGAGTCCATCACTCTACTACTACCTGGCTGGCTGTGCATCTTTGGAGCTTTACCGAGATGCTTTTCACAGCGGCGACAAGGACGAGGCAAGACGGCAAAAGGCCAAGACAGAGGAGTTCTTCCGCAAAGCGCCAACTGTGACTGGCAAGAAGCGACTGATGGCACGCCAACTTCCTCTGGAGACATTCTTACAGCGAAAGGTTCAGAAGTGGGAGGACCGAGCCAAAGCCTTGGGCGTTGACTTGGCGGATGTTGCTGGATCGAGCCCTGCACTAGAGATGTGCTACGTGTGGAATGGACAGAAGCGCATGGGCACAGCACAACTGGAGAAGGGACTTGATTATCTCAAATGGGAGAGATGCACAGCGAGCAGAGAGGTCGTTGCTAAGATTCAAGAAGAGAAGGATGAGATGGCTGTCTGGGCGGTGAGCATGGCATCGCTTCTTAGAGGTTTGGGCAGGCTGGACGAGGCTAGAACACTGCTGCAGGAGAAGGTCATCGCTTACGACCGGTAAGTGTATTTTCTACGCGAGGAACTAGAAAGAAAATTGCTAACAAAAATGAAATGCAGATCCGTCTTCAAAGGCACATCAAAAGACGACTATGTCCTGCCATCGGCGACTTATGAGTTGGGCGCCATTGCGTGGGCTGAGTGCTGCGACCCTCCAGAAGGCGAAGCTAAAGAAATTCTGGAGTTTAGACGCAAGAAAATGCTGGAATGCGAAGAACAGCTCAACAAAGTCAAGGTGTGGGAAGCCTACGCCTTGGATACGAGAATTGGCTTGAGAGCGCAGAGCGGATTGGAAACTCTGGCTTGGTTCAAGAAGAAGAACGGGTGGTGAAATGATATGATTGGGAAGTAAAGCTTTTTTGGACAGGCACTATATATGGGTTGGATTTTACACAGACCGGCATAGAGGGACTAACTAGACGACGCACGCGATACTGCTTCGCCCAGCTCTTATCTGGGATTTGATCTTTGGGGACTATATATAAATGGACGGCTATCATGGCGTTTGTGTCACGGGTAGGGCGTAAAGATTTATACGGAGGGAGATGGGACTTTCAGAGGAACAAGCATAAAGGCTGCATTTACATTTGCATATGCATATTGGACATAGATTGGAAAGCTATATTATCATCATCCATCGTTCCCTTTTTTTTCACCTCATAGTATTAACCGCCTCGTTAAAATTAAAAATAAATACATGAAGAAAATTGACTACACTAATATCGTAATTCATAAGGACTATCATCATGGTATCAATACTACTTTATTCAAAATAACAAACAAACAAACAGTTGACTTTTCCAATAACGCCCTCACTGCGACGCCTTCTTCCTACTGCTCCTCCTTGTCTTAACCCCCTCCCTCACCGCACTCATCCCCTGATCAATCTTCTTAGACGACCGCTCCTTGACGTGATGCTTCTCCGCCTCCCTCTTCACATCCTCCAGCACATCCCTCCCCTTACTCGTCCCGTTGACCCAGTCCAAGATGCCCCACGAGCCGTAATTCGACGTGCCCTTGCTCGCGTAGTGGATCGCCGAGCGCTGCACGATGCCGCCCATGATGATGCCCGGAACGACGGTGTAGCCCGACATGGCGAGAGTTTCTTCAAGGGTGCAGATGGTGAGGACGAAGAAGTAGGTGAGGATGTGTGGGCGTATAACGATGGCGGAGAGATAGAGCGGGAGGAAGCGGTAGAAGAGCAGCGGAAGCGGGTGGTCGGCCATGAGGCGGAGGCTGAAGGGCGCGCCGGCCTTGGCGTGCGCGTAGGCCTGGTGGCGCTTGGACAGCCAGCGGTACGATTTGCCGTGCAGGACGAAGCGGTGGATGTAGTAGAGGAGCGTTTCGCGCGCCGAAAGTAGAATGAGGACGTGTTTGGCGATGCCCCACGGCAGCGGCAGCGTGGTCGTTGTTTTGAACACGGGCTCGTTGAAGATGAGCATGAAGACAAAGCTCAGGACCCCTTCAATGGCGGTTATGATGGAGACATTTAAGAGCACCAGGCCGAGCAGCTTGGCGAGCGCGGCGGCATCGCGGGGAGGCAGGGCGGAGCGCCCGCCGTGCTTGATGCCCTCTGCGAGGCTGGGCAGCGAGACGTCGAAGAAGAGCGTGGCGAGCGAGGGGATCAGGAAGAAGACTATTCGGATGGCGAGGATGCCGAAGATGTGGACGACGATGGGCGGCTGCGAGAGCACGAGGGTGGACCAGGTCATGTAGAAGAAGAGGAGGTTGAGGGAGGTGGACCACGAGGAGAGGGCCGGGCCGAGCAGGTACCCGAATATGGGGAGCGAGAAGAGGACGTCCATGGTTTGAAGATCCTTGTTGGTGATTACCAATTGAGTGAATATGGTGATGGTAATCAATATAGCTCTTGGTGTTTGTGTTGGCGGTGAGAAGTTGTAAGCTCCATGTAGGTATGGGTTGGTGGCAAAAAAAACGTGGGTTGATGTATGCAGGTACCGCAGAGCTTAAAAAGAAGACTCAATAGAGAAATCACGGTTACGAAGTAAGTTTCGCTTTAGCTCTCTCTGGATCGAAATCTTGATTTTTGTGTGTGTGCCGAATGCTACTCTCACAGAAGCTGTGGTTCATGGTGGGGTGCTGCTGATATGACGTACATGAGCGCGATGGACGAAAGAGGCTAGCCAATGACGACGATGGCGAGGCCAGGCTGTGAAGGTTTCTTAGTGGAGGCTGCGATGACATGCGAGAGAAGAACGTATTTGCTCTATTGGAGAAGAATTGGTAACTGCTAAATTTCCTCTAAGCTAATTGATATATTCTATGTACAGTTGTGAAAAGAAAGAAATGTCTTCCATCTATATGTTCGTTAAATCGTTAAGAATCATGGCCAAAGCTATGCTAGCAAGATCATTTCCAAAATTGGACGAAGCGACAAAAAGCATCTGGTCTAGGTAAAATATGGTATATTGCTTGAGTGGCTGACTGGGACTAAGCCGACTCAGCGTAGGGGTAAATAAAATGAAACAAATAAATAAACAGTGCTGTCTGTGAATCTGAAATTATGAAAGTAGGGGTCATGTTGGAGGTGGAGTGCCTGCCTGCTCTTGCGATTGACAAACGGGAGGTGAGACAGCAGCTTCCATAGCAAGAGGAGGCTCTTCATGGCCTCCACCGCCATCACCATTGTCGCTTGGGCTGGGGGGTAGGCTTCGACCTCCACTCATTGCTATTATCGGTGTAGTTGTTTCGGGGCAGTGAATATTCAAGGTGTTGTAATGGCTCACTGTAGGAACTTCAAGAGTGTCACTTCTCATCCTCTGCCTTCCTCTGGTTTGAGCAGGTGATAGAGGTGGACTATTGTTCGGAGGCCCATGTGAATATCCTCCTGGCAAAGTGCTTGCCCGATACTGTCGTGAAGGGGAGGGAGAAGGTCGAACGATGGAATGAGAACGGGAGAGCGATAAGTCTGGCCGAGGTGATATGCCTCGATAGCTGCCCGCTCGGGAACGAGAGCGTGGTAAGGGAGTAGTATTACCATCTGCGTCTCGAGGGACGTTGTACGCATGCCGAATTCTTAGCAGTTCTTTGTTTCTCCATTCCTCTCCAGGAAGCTCTGGAAAATCGAGGGCCTTGCCTGATTTATCCTGATCATCGACCCAGGTATGCGCCTTGTTACCGAGTGCGTTGCCCACAGAAATAAGCATCTTTGCAACCTTTAGTCTATTGCCCGAGTCTGCGGCGGAAGTTTGCACTGTGCTACCTGAAATATGCCGGCCAATGGTGGATGCGTCATTTGAAATGCCAGTTTGCATGGTCGACATACGGTCAAGAGCACGGGGTGATGCAGTAGAGAATCCTGTATCGGTATGCCTCATTGCTGGGAAATGGACCGACTCTGGTGTTTCTGGGGAATCCACTTCTCCAGAACTCCGAGGTTGGCCATCTCGGTCAGTTGAAGAAGAAGAATCCGTACCGGGAGATTCGCGTCGACTTTGATATTCAAGGTGCTGATGGGAACTTTTGCACTCTTGAACGACATGAGGATCGTTCCCTTCTTTGGCGGCTTCTACATCGGCTGCGAGAACAAGGTAAAGAGAGCCTATGGCAGCTAATCCTGTTCCAACAATGGGCGCCCACTGGCCTTTTGCATTGCAAAGGTACATTATATATGTTAGCTAAATGAAAAACAAGGAGAGAAAATACCATGCAAGTCAACTTTGTGCACTCACCAATGCTTGCTAGAGGCTCGACCTGGTAAGAGACTGGGCCGCTGAAAAAATTAATCTCTCCAACTATAATGATAGCAAGCCCGGCGCCCCCAAACACGGGAACGGCCACGACGGAGAGGAAGAGACGAATTTTTCCGTTTACACTCGTCATAGTCTTTTTTGTTGCGCCGTTGGTACCTGAGATTGGTTCATCAACCGGGGTATCGTCGGCCCCGAAACCAAGGCGAAGGCGAGACTTCCACTTGCTTTCGAATACTTTGTCTGTCATAGACGCCATCCAGACAATTGTATGGACGCAGCAACCCGCCGCTAGCAGTGTGGCAGTGCCAAATGTGAGTATTCTAGGAGCGGGAATCACGTAAATGTTGTTTGCTGACCCTTGTCTCATGGGAGAAGACGGCCCATCCCCCACGGAGCAACGCAGTCCGCATTTTGTGTCATCGCCATAAGGGAATTTTGAGGGATTGTTAGAGATTGGATTTCCTTGGCCATCCTGATGACAAGGATATGATTGGATTCGGTAGAATTCGATGGATAGGCTAAGGAGTCCTGCATGCAGCAAGGCGTAAGTCAGCCGCTGGATCCATCAAATTGATATTTAGTGGTAGATGAATGCTTGGAGGGCAGGCATCTGAATCACTGACTCAAAATGGGCAACAATGCTCACCAGAAAGAATCAACCCTGCCCATAAAAAGATTGTGTTGCGGCCACGGGTATTGAAGTAAGTCTCAGACAGCCTGACTGTCATTGGAGCGACCAGAATGGCAATCGAGCACAGCTGAAAGGCGCCGTATACGTCCATATCTACGGCTTCTAAGCATGGCAAATAAGCAAACAAAAACTGAATCAGCTTGACGGTTCCAACTGCATAACTGATCGGGCCTTTCTCTCACCGTCTCGATGCAGAGCTGCAAGGACGATACCATGCACCGCGGCTACAGCCGGGAAGAGCAGCGCTGCAGCCAAACAAGCATTTTTGATCCACTCAGCTTTTCGAGCAAACACGCACGCTGCTATGAGCACGTAGTATCTGTAAAGGGATTCAACCGAGTTAGAAACATGGTAATGTTGGGGGTGATGCTAAACCAAGTGGTAGCTCAAGTGGCATGGCTTACAAGACTCTCGATCCCGGGCCATATTGGCCAGAAACGGGCCATGCGCAAATGACTTTCAAACCATCGTCGGCAGGAATCGTGGCGTTGCCTGCGGATGCGAGAGAAGCCGATAAAATGCTGCGATGAGAGACATCTACATCACCCAGCAGCTCAGCCCATGAAAGCGCCGGCATCAGCCCTCTGCGTCTGCCGAAGGACTCGGCCAATTGCTTTGCAGCAAGCGAGTATTGGTCGCTATGCAGCGGCTGAGCAAACAGCTGGTTTCTCTGGAATGCAAGCTAAAATCAAAACTCCCCCAACAACTGACGCAAATCCAAAGGAGCCTCATGTAAGGGGGAGGATGGTGTTGATGGTAAGCGGGCGTCTTATAAAGCGACGACAAGACATGAGAGAAACTGTCTTAGTTGCTGTGAGGCTCTTCCATGGTTCTCTCACTCCCTCCCTCCTCCTTGAGCCGACTGAGGCACTAAATCCGCTCCTCGTAATCTGTGTAACACACGACGAAAACACATGTCTGCGAAGGGCAAGGCGTGGGTGGTTCCGAAGGATTGTCTCCCTCGTCACACGCAGTTGCTCGCAAAGTGATATCGTCCAGGTATCATCTTGCAGCTAGAAGGATCCAAAGTGGTCTAGCTGCTGCCAGAGCGTCGCAGGCAACAGAATTATCTCACTCGCCCTGCTGCAGCAGGCTCTCAATGAGGCATAGTAGAGCATAGCCATGATTGCTGAGCTGGGGTTGCACGGCCTAGGTCGAGGCGGGCAGTCGCTGATAGGGCCAATAGAGGGCGGATCGCCAGTAGCTGGTGTGAGCCCCCACAGCCGGATACATGTATTCGATCGTCGGCCCCAGCCGTCGTCACCGGGGTTGCCACCGGAACCAGTTCAAAGCTTGTTCTTGCCCAGCCCAGGTCCATCCTCGTCTTCTAGAAGTTTGGTCAGAGAGTTTAGGTCGTGGCTGTGAGGCTCCAGTGACGGTGATGCACTGCACAGGGAGCGAGGCGAGCCCAGGATGCAGAGCCGAGAGCCGGGCTGCAGTAAGGCAACCCTTATATATGAAGTTCGGTGACCCGATGGAGAGGCAACCATTTCATTCCGAGGTGCTTACAGAAAGCTGGGTGGCTGCAGCTGCGGGCATTTGAACAGGAGTTGATCAGCAAACTTGCCAAGTCCGCCCGTCGTCGATGCTCATCGCTCATTGCTCATCGCTCATTGCACAGTACCAAGAGTCCAGCGGGTTTCTTTGTTCAATTGTAGCCGCCAAGTTTGCGCTACTGCCAATCCGAGGGACACGTGAAGCTGTTTGCCGCATTGCCCAGAAGCGCCAAGTATCTGCGCTCTGGCCAAGAGAAGAACGATTTAGGGACAGGAAGAAGTCTGACGGTTGGATTTTTCTTTCCTGTTCTCGCTCATATTGCTGATGAAAAAGGCAGACCAGAAAGCTGGTCTCGAAATCTTCCCAACCCTTCAGCGCTGCTTGTTTAATACAGCAGCAGCCTGGCCAGCGTCTGCTGATCAGTTGTAGCGGCTGAGTGGCCTGAAGAGGCCTGTAGCCAGGCGGTGAGCCTAGTTGGTGGAGCGGGAGCGACCTACTCATTTTCTTCAGCCTCTTCTCCAGCTCTCACCAGTTAAATTTGAGCCAGAGATCCATTACCTCATCACGGTCCTGCTCGACGAAGCCGCCATCGTCGACATGGCTCAGAGCGACAGCGATTCTCTGTCGACGAGCCAGATCAAGGACTGGCGGTCCATTATCACATTGATTGTATTTATCCTCACAAGTGAGTTTTGGCGCTGCAGCACCATGAGAAGAAAAAGGATTTACTGACTTTCATTCTTGGTTGAAATAGATATCAATGTGCTGTGCCCATTTCACATTCCCATCTACATACCCCGGAAGATATCGAATCTCCTTGAAGACGGCCTCGGAGCTCTAAGAGTCATTCCTAAACGAAAGTATCGCCCTCCTCCGCTTGCTGAAGACGACGACAATGGCAAAATCAAGCCATGGGTGCGATTCAACTTCCCTATGAACTTTGTCACCGCACCTCTCATCGCAGATTTGTTTCTACTGGCAATTCTGGCTATTGGCCGACAAGAAGTCCACGATGGCATCATCGGCGCCGATAACATCTCACCAATCGATATTATGGCCTTCTTCCTCACCCTGGCCTACATCGCCATTTCGATCGACGCATCTGGCCTCATCCGATACCTGGCGTTCAAGGTGCTTCAAAAGGGCGGCAAGGTTGGACATCGACTCTTCTTCTACCTCTATGCGTTCTTCTTTGCTTTGGGCAGCTTCATTGGCAATGACCCAATCATTCTGTCAGGAACCGCCTTCTTGGCCTACATGACGCGAGTCTCGAGCAACATCATCCATCCAAGGGCATGGATTCATACTCAGTTTGCTATTTCGAATATCGCATCTGCCATTTTAGTTTCTTCTAACCCGACGAATCTTGTCCTCGCAGGAGCTTTCAACATCAAATTCATCCACTATACCGCCAACATGATTGTTCCTGTCGTCGCTACTGCCATTGTTTTATTCCCCTTTCTGCTATACATTGTCTTTGCAAATGAAGACCTCATCCCGTATTCCATAAAGATGCATGAGCTTCCAGATGAAGTCAAAGCGAAGAAACCCGTGAACCCCAACATCCCCCACGCAAGAGGCCATATTGACGAAGAGGAGGCCGATCTTGCAAACAACGAAGAAGGGAAATTGCTGTCGCTTGAAGAAATCATGAATCCATTTCTTGATAAAGGCGGAGCCGCATTTGGCGCTGTCATTATGGCTGCTACTTTGATCACTGTCTTAGCAATCAACGCTGCGAGTGCCAAAAGCGGCGCCCATCCTGTGTTTTGGGTTACTCTTCCGGCAGCCTTTGTCATGTTCTGCTGGGATATTGGTTTTGGATGGTACCACCGAAAGGAAACTCGAGAAATTGCGAGAAAGGGTAGGGAAGAAATCATAGCAGCACGAGCCGAGAGAACTTTTCACCAAGCCGAAGAAGCGAGACAGACTTCCGCTGCCAATCTGGAATTCCGAGGCGAGACCAGCTCTTCATCTCCAAACTTGGAGTCAAAAGAAGCACGGCTCCAAGACTCAGACGGTGTTTATGAATCGAACAATACCAGTCCGCCAGCTGCACACGTAAAAGACGGGGAAATGATACTAAATCCTGCTGTTCATGCCGAGGGACACGCTCCGACTCCCGCAATTCTCCTAGTCGAAAACACCGATGATCGTGTCCTTGCAGCGATGTCATCGGCCGGTATGGAACGCTCGATATCCCCACATAATGGCTATACAGAGAAGCCGGAGAAAGGAAATACAACAAGTGAGATCAATTCGCTTGAAGAAAAGAGCATTTTGAACCAGAATAGCTCTGATTCACCCCCACAAGGTCTTTTTGTGCCCCAGCCGGACGAAGATTTGGAAAGAAGACGTCGAAACTCAATGGCATCCATCTATTCGCCCGGCGGGCCAGCCACCCTGAAGTCTCTTGGCCAGGACACGCTCATATGGTGCCAAGAGACGTTTCCCACGGCTGCTGCCGTTGTTCTTCACCTACCGTTCGCCTTGGTGCCGTTCGCCTTTTGCATGTTTATTCTTGTACAAGGGCTGGTAACAAAAGGTTGGGTACCAGTCTTTGCTTATGGGTGGGAGCACTGGGTAAATAAAACTGGGACAGTGGGTGCTATTGGGGGGATGGCCTTCCTCTCTGTTATTCTATGCAACGTACGTATAACCCTAAAGTCGATTATGGTCGCAAGCTAACTGGATTATAGTTTGCAGGGACAAACATTGGGACCACGATACTGTTGTGCCGGATCATCCAGAAGTGGCAAGAGATCCATGTAGTGAGTGGTGTCCCCATTAGCGACAGAACGTTCTGGGCAACTGTGTACAGCATGGCACTCGGCGTCAACTACGGTGCGTTCAGTGCTGCGTTCAGCGCCTCGCTGGCCGGCCTGCTTTGGCGCGACATCCTCGCCAGGAAGCATATCCGCGTCAGAAGTCTCGACTTTGCGCGCGTGAATCTTCCCATAATCTCCATCGCTATGATTGTCGGATGTGTGGTTCTCGTGGGCGAAGTATATATCGTCAGGAAAGAAACGCCCTACAAAATGTAGGTGTAGTTATGAGATAGATTTTCTTTTTGGTTACGATTTACGACATGATACCTTGCTTGCCTTGCGGCACGTACACGAAGAGATGTTCGATGACGTTTGTGCGTATAGACTTATTTATTCTATTTTCATCTTTGCGTTTTTGTTGCGAGCGTTAGTAGGCATAATCCAAAGAACATGCGAAACAGAAAAGTTCAGGGAGTTGATGATCAACATAGTGAATATCTGAGTATGCATCTGGTGTTGCATAGCCAATCAAGAATAAGACAATTCACACAACCAATCATAAATGAGGCGACTATGTTTGCAAGTCAGAGGTAGACGGTTCATGAGGGTTGGCAGGTTAAGTCTTTGAAGCGGCTTCGCGCCTAGCGTGACAGATAGAGCTGGTAGCTCAAGGCTTAATTGCACAGAGAAGTCACCAACAGAATCTGATTTAGAAGTTAGTTGCTTACGTATGGCTAGACATGATATGGCTAGGCTTGTGGCAGATAGAATTCTGGCATCTGGCGATATGAACGTGACGTAAGGCGGTGATGGCCGACAGACCGACTTCGATCTCGCCTACACTGCTGTAGCCAACATTTGCAAATGCAGCTGTCTTTATCGACCATGTATCCCATGCAAACGAAATGTCAGGCTTGGCAGAATACTTAACTCGAGGCCGCATGAGGGTCTAGGGTGTGCATTGCCTGCTCTTCTCTTGCTCCCCTCCTGCTCTTCACCTTCTTTCAATTGCCAGTCAGATCAGATCACATAAGACCAATTCTGAAACACAAAGAACAGTCACACGTTCATAAATTCCCAGTTATCGATCAAAGGCTGCTAAAGAGACTTTGTTGACCTTTCTAGCCCCGATATCTCTACTCGGCGTCTGCATATTTGTGGCTGTCGAAGTTCAAGCCATCTTTCCTGATTTCGCAACTCTAAATTTCCGATAAACAAACAACGCCAACTCAGCCGCCAAGAGATCATATTCTTTTCATCTCTCCATCATCAAATCAGCTTTTCGACATCTTCAACTATCCTGCATCTTTTTGGGACTGCCAACGAATACTAGATAACGCTTTTCCGTCACGCTCGCCACCATGTGCGGATTCGACGACTTGCCAACAGAAGTCTTTGAACAGATCATCGACGACGTGACGAGTCTCCGAGATCTGAGCTCTCTCAGCCGCTGCAACCGTGGACTTTACTGGGCAGTTTCAGATAAACTCTTTACAAGGGCATTTGATAGACGTGCCGCGTCGAAAGGAATCGATCATGCGGTCTCGCATGTCTTTATGCATACCGTCAAACACGACTCGCGGCATCTGATCCAGTGGTTGATGTTTCGCCAGCATGGCCCGAGATTAAGAGGGTGAGCAAATATGTGGAGGCTGTGTCGGTGCAGAGCTGCTGGCTAATGACTATAGACCGTTTCCTTTGATGGAAAGTTTTACTTTTCTCCATTACGCACTACTACAGGATGCTCCCAAGGTAGCGATTCAACTTCTTAAGCACGGATCCGATCTTGATGAAGATGCCGCTCTTTATCCAGACCTAAAATCCCTGTATATTTCAGTGGCCAGGCCTCATAGCAACAGTCTTGGCGCACTGGACGGGGCTCTTCGCATCGCAAGTAGCTATGCTCTTCCAAGGATGGCGGAGTATCTCCTTATTCGCGGCGCTGATCCGAACACGTACAGCGCATTCGGTTTTGCGGCAATTCACATCGCCGTGAGTAAAAGGGTACCATGGGCGCAGTTCAAAATGTTTGCCTGGTTTGAAGGCCAAAAAGATGCAGAGAGTGCTCTATGGAATGCTAAGAACGCTCGCACTGCGGAAGTCTTGCTTCGTTTTGGCGCTGATTCCAGTCTTCCCATCCAAGGCTATCGCAGTCATTCGTGTGGAGCAAAATGCTGGAAGTCATTGGCCTGTTGTCCCAGGGAGCAGCGAGTTCTGCATGTTGCAGCTGGCGGAGGATCTCTTGCAGTCGTTTCGATGCTTGTCAAGCAGAAAGTGAGCTTTTTCCAAGCCGATGGGGAAGGAAACTTACCTTTGTTTCACGCTATGGTTCAAGGTCATGATGAAATCGTTACCTTTCTTATGGAACAAATGCGGCTTGTTCAACGGCGCAGAAAGAAGTCGACAAATGCAATCATCTGCAAGTCTACACAGAGCACTTTGCTACACATCGCCTGTCGATTTGGATACTCTGATGTGGTCAGCGCCCTCATAAAGGGCGGTGCTGATGTGAATGTGGAGGATGCTCTAGGCCGACGACCGATACACGAAGCTCTTGGGCAATGCGCTTCTGATATGGAGGACCGTATCGTGGAGACCCTTTACCTTCTTTCAGAGAATGATGCTTCCCCAGATGTTGTTGACTATGACGGCAGGAAAGCCAGGGGGCTTGGGGAGAAGCACATTTTTTCCGGTGTGCGAGCCCTCTTCGAGTACGCCACTATGGCAAAATATGAGTGGTCCCGGCTCACAGAGTCGCAACGACCTGAGAAATCTGAAATGTAAGCAAGCAAGCTCTCGACGCAGGCTGTGTATTTGTGTTTTAGCTAACAGAGGTCCTTTGTTATGACAGGGTCAATAAGGTGCTGAACCAGGTAAGGGCTCAGGCTCGACCCAGTAAAAAGGATCACCAGAATTCTGAATTCCCCTCGCTTGCTGCTCTTAAAGCAAAGGCTGCAACCAAGGTCACCAAGTCCCCGAAAGCCGCCGTTTGGGTCCAGCAGGAGACGTTCCCTGAGCTGAAGCCTTCGATGAGAGCTCCCCAACTGCAGAATAAAACGGCAAAGTCTGCTTCAAGCGCAGGTTCGGTTTGGGATGCTCCTCAGAGCACCACTAAACCAGCGGATGTTGTTGCAGAGACGGAGGTCAAGCAAACTGTGAGCAAGGAAGGTGGCAAGAAAAAGAAGAAGTGGATGCCAGTATCGCTTAAGAACATTCCTTGAAGAGTGATGTGTCTTCATTTTCTTTCATTATTATTTGATTTTGCTTGGTTTTCTATTCTATTCTATTCTATTTTGCTTTCTTGTCCTATCCCATCTTTTCCTTTGTTCCTTTTACGCCAACGTACGCAGATGCTTTGTGCATGGAGTATAGGCGTCTTTTTATTTACCATTTCTCCCAATAGATACCTGTATGTTGACCTTCACAGATGTGGTTTTGTTGTATAATAGACCAAGAAAATGAAAATGAAATGCTCGTGTTAGCTTTCACCAAACTCCAATTTGAGATCAAGCGATTAGTGTCACTTTAAAAGAGAACCTTGAGTCCCCAGCCAGCTGCCACACCTCGAGCAAGGTAAAGCGTGAAAACAGTCGCTGCGTAAAAGACGCCCGCAAATATGATGACGCCGTCATAGGAGCCGTTGTCTGCTCGCAGAATGGCGCCCGCAATAGGAAGACCAATGAGTACGCCGAAGCTTGCAATGAAAAAGGCTGTGCCAGTTCGCTTGCCAATGTCTTCAATATTGCATACCCTGCTGATGCACACTGGCGTAATGCTAATCGCAGCTCCGGACCAGAAGCCATAGAGCACCGTAAAGGAGTAGATGGCTGACTCGTTGGTGCCGGCAGTGTACCACAGCGCAAAAATCAGGGCTGCGCAAGTGGTAGATGTGAGGGCTAGGACGTTAAAAGCACCGAAACGATCGGCGGCAAAGCCTGGCAGAGCACGGCCAGGAATGGCACCGACGTTTACGAGGGCGTTGAGGAGATAGGCTCGCTGGGTGGGCATGCCGGCGTGAATTGCGTAGGATGATATATAAGTGTAGGGGATAAAGACAGCAAACTCAACCAAGAAAACTGCAAGGGTAGTGAGGGCATATTTGGGGTCACGGAGAGCCTTCAAGTCAATAGCGCTGCCGGGACTAATGCTGGTGTTCTTGTTGTGAGGCAGACGCTTCTTCATGAAGGTGATGGAGATGCCTCCCATGGCGAGGCAAATGAAGCCGATGATGCGGGTAGCCCAGGCGAAGCCAATCTCAGGAGTGATGTAGAGGATCATGAGAGGGAAGATGATGCCGCCGAGACCACCGGCGGTGCAAGCGATGCCTGTTGCGAGGGCACGGCGTTTATCGAAGTAGTGGCCGATGATGGCGATGGCGGGATTGAAGAGGAGGGAGGCAGAGGCACCGCCTAGGAGGCCGAAGCAGAGGAAGAATTGGTAAAACTCTGCGAATAAGTGTGAGTATAAGAATAGATATGCTCAAATAAGATGGATATACTGACCTTTACATAGTCCGATCAGCATCATGGACACGACGATGCCAATGTTTCCTGGTATCACGAGGGCTCTGACATCGTACGCATCGAAGATAGGTCCTAAAAGACTATAGTCAGCAATCTGCTCATCTCGTCTCTTTATGAGCGTACATCTACCTTCCCTGTACGACAACTTCAACCCAGGGATGTCGAATAAGATAGAAATGAAAGCTTTTCCATACCAACTTGGGCGCCGCAAAAGTATAAGAAAAAGGCATAACTGCTCAGAATCCATCCAATCGTTGACTCTTGTAAATTTCGAAGCTCATTCTCTGATAGTCTTGCCTGCAACACGGCCATGGTGTTGAGAAGACCCATGGAGGGGATCATACAAGCCCAGGAGCCCAAGACGACGAGCCATGCTTGGAGACCGCCATCGGGATATGTCATTACTGACAGGTCCCCGGCAGTAGTGAGAGTGGCTAAATATACAGCAGTTAGTATGAGATTAAGTACAAAACGGCGTTGGATTAAAACCTGGGGTAATACAACGGGACTCATGCACAATAGGGGAGAGGTGGACGCACCGGCTGTCATTTTTATTTCTAAATGTGGGAACCAACAACTGGCGTCTTTACAAAGCACAAAGGAAAAGAGAAATATATGGGCAAGGCCAGAAGAATCACAAACAGAGGATCCCAAAATCTGGGAAACGGGCATTAGGGGGACTTTTATTGATTGATAACTTTTAGACTAAAGAATTATGGATTAGACTACCGGCGTGCCAAGAGCTTTTACAGGAGTGGGTTTCGGTGAATTTTACAGGTACGCGCCCTACGATGTACGAATACGCTTGAAATAGTGGCCACCATGCTGCTCTTTTGTGATTCACATCGTAGAATCTTGAGTAACATGGAGATTAAAATATTCTTTTAAAATTAAATGTTCATATTTGACATGGAGCATCTTCGTACCTGCAAGTCGTACTCGTGATATTGTTGAAGCCATCTAGGAGTCGAGCTAGACTAGGCCACCGGGATACGCAATTTTTTTTTTCTTCGCCATCTCCAAGACCCATCGCGGAAAGCGCCGGTTTCAGAACTTATGACTAACAGAAACGTGCTGGGGACCACTGCAAAATTCTTGCGCGATCCGGATGGGCGATTTCCGTGCCGTTGGCGAGATCCATTATAGTATCTAGTATTACAGTGGCGGTCGAGATAAGTGTTTGCAACTCTCAATTGGGAAGTGTGCACGAACTGTTCTTGTGGCGCTGTATGACTGTTACAGTGTAGTATCCAGTTGAAGTGGAACATTTCCCTGCTGGACACATTTTGTGCTTACCTTCGCCCATAAAAGCCATGTACTATATTATTCGAACATAGAAAAAGTCAACGACCTGCAAATCCGTAATACTGGCCCGTACTGGGATGTTAGATGGTAAATGTGATTATTGCGTAACAGCGATTTACTTCCACCGGAACTTTTGTGGATAGGTATACAACAGTAAACGCAACGCCGGGTAGATGTAGCGAAATAGCATTGATGTAAGTATCTGTCTCATGCTTCTATAGAATAGTATATCTATATAGCATAACAAAACCATGTTGAGATAGTCTTGTTCTCAGAAAAAAAAAAAGTGTTCCCATCTAGAAGAGATTTATAATTCAAAACACTTGTCTGAATTATGTTTAGCTAGTAATCTCCAAGTTACAGTACACTGACGCAACATTACTCTCTTCGAGGACCCAAGTCGTTGCTGCCTTTTCAATAAAAGACGATGCATCGCAATCGTCCTCGCCTAACAGGTATAATGAATCAGCCAAAGCAATATCTTGAACTAAAACGATAACTCACGAGTATAGGCTGCATCGGACTTCCAAATGTGGAGGGACAATGGGCTCGGCTTTGGGTGTCTTTATCGACTTCACATTGCGATACCTTTCCTTATAGTCAGCTTTATCCATCAGTACATGTAGTCAGACGATTAACTCACACTGCGCCTTGAAGCGTGACACAGCGACGACCGACGTCGTTGGCACCGAGGTCAAAGCTATGACCTTGCATATTCTTCTCAGTGCAAAATTTGGCCTACAGTTGTTTAGTAAGTGTACATGAAATCAAGGGTGATGGGGATAGATACCCAAAGAATTTCACCCTGTGAAAAAACCGGAGTAGAAAAAGCAATGATACAAGGGAGTAGCTTGGAGAAATGCATGATGATGGTGATGGAAGTAGTGAGAGATGCTTTGGCTGAACTTTTCCGGTGTTGTTTTTGAAGGTACAAGATTTGAGCTTTCAATGCTGGTGGGAGATGGCCATTTTTGTATTTCAATTGCCAAGCCCACCCTGTCATATCTAGAAGCACCGTTGGAGCGTTATTACTACCATCATGTCTTATATAACATATACCACTCGGTCAAGTTGGGGAGGTTAAAGCAATTTTACTACTACCATATCTCATATAACATATGCCATTCACAAAGACTGAGGACATGATCGACGGATTCGGCAGGCTGTGTAACCAATAGCCCTGTCTTTATTACTCAATTCTCTTGTCTGTCCTAAGACAGCTTCATACACCCTGTCTCGAATATACTACCGTTCCACTGTGGAATCGATGATCATTCAGTATTCATAAGATTATATGTATCAAACGTATTTCTTTACTCATCCAAAGACAAGCATGGTCCCTCGCATTTTTTTTCTTTAGCCAGTATTGCCTATAGACCGCGTCCAAGAATTATCCGGTTCAAGTCATGTCTAATCCTTCTGAAATTGCAGTTAAACCACGCTCCAATTGTGCTCCAGTGTATCTTAGACAGTACCAACCTCATAGCCTTAGGTCAGTCTAAGTATTGCAGTCTGTTACTCATTCATACTACTGGACATAGGTCTGGGGAACAGCAATCAGGCTAGCAGAATGGCAGTCTATTGTGTGAGTTGATTGCTTCTTGGCATCAGTTAGACCAGGTGTGCGGCTTGGTTCAGGCTCTGGAGTCCGTTTGGCCAGTAAGTCGTTAAAATGAATTGGAAGGCTCAGATAAGCTGAAGCTTTCAAGTGTTTTTGTTAATGCTGTGTGCTTCTATTCCTTGTTACCAAGACGTCGGAAGCAGCATTATGGATGGTTCAGTATATAAGATGATGTATTCTTCTTTGAAGTTTTTAAAGACCTCAGTCTCATATAGAATGCCTAGTCTAATATAGCTGCGAGAGAGGAATTTATTGTTATTCCATTCTTGTAGATGCACAAAAGTGGATAAAGCTCTATTCATTGGTGATAACATCATCTGTGCCAATCGTCAAAGTGAGCAATACCCTGTGCACAGTATGAAGAACTTTTGTGAGGCTGGTGAAGATTGACGCAGTGATTGTTCGAAGCAGACTCTGCTCAATGTAGAACACAGATAAGTAAGCACGACCGGAGTTGGATTTGTAGAATTTATCGAATGTAATTACACGCTCTACATGAAGGCTTGGAGCGAGGTTGTGAATTCTTGGAATAGCGCCCGCCAACAGTGCCCCTCTGTGATTGCCGTATTCGGAAACAGATCTCTGCGGAGAGCGGTTTGTCCAATGATCACGCAATTTGGAGCATACAAAATAGCAGACCTCACTGCTCAATACTGGCATTATTCAATATCCGGATGTTTTGAGAGAGAAACTATTTCAAAATGTCGAACCAGGAACATTTGAAGAATGGAGGCCAAAACACCAGTGGTATGCCAGACCCCATGGCCGACTACGACCTCTCGCGTCAAATCCAGCCCGCAATCGGCATGAGACAAGGATTGCCAAACTATGGCGACCCTCACTTTTCTCTTTTCCTTCGCAAAGTCTTCATCAAGGCGCTGGGGTATAGCGAAGATGCGCTTTCAAGACCCATTATCGGCATAGTCAACACTTATTCGGGCTTCAATCCTTGCCACGGCAATGTCCCGCAGCTCATCGAGGCCGCAAAGAGGGGTGTCCAGCTAAACGGCGGATTGGCCATTGATTTCCCAACTATCAGCGTCCACGAATCGTTTTCTACTCCGACTAGCATGTTCCTACGGAATCTCATGAGCATGGACACTGAGGAGATGATCAAGGCGCAGCCGGTGGACGCATGCATCGTTATTGGCGGTGGGTTTCTAGTATTCCCCTCATTATATCTTCCTGTGGTGTTAATAACTCCTTGTGAACTAGGATGCGACAAGACGGTTCCGGCTCAGTTAATGGGCGGGATATCAGCTAATAAGCCCGTATTGCCCTTGATAACGGGCCCAATGATGCCAGGAAGCTTCAGAGGCGGTCGCATCGGAGCCTGTACTGACTGTCGCAATAATTGGGCTGCTTTCCGAGCCAATGAGATAGATATCGAAGACATCTCCGCTCTTAATGAAGAACTTGCGCCGACAGTGAGTGAGGTTCTAATTCTACTATTGTATCTAGTGACTAATAAATGACGAATAGGTTGGGACTTGCGGCGTCATGGGCACAGCGAGTACCATGGCTTGCCTGACAGCTGCTCTTGGACTTATTCCTCTAAGAGGCGGCGCAACAGCTTCTGCTGTCTCCAGCGCCCGGCTTAGGATAGCAGAACAGACAGGCGCAAATGCCGTACGAGCAGCTCAAGACAAGCGTACGCTACAATCGATCCTTTCGGAAGCATCTTTCCACAATGCTATTACTGTTTTGCAAGCAATTGGGGGGTCTACCAACGGCATCGTCCACCTGCTTGCTATTGCGAATCGCCATCCGGAGATTTACGCGAAAATCACGCTGCAGACAGTGCATGAGATAGGAGAGAAGACACCTCTGCTTGTGGATCTCAAGCCTAGCGGCGATAACTACATGACCGACTTTCACAATGCGGGTGGCATTCCAGCTCTTTTTCATACTCTGCGGCCTCTCCTGAAGTTGGATGCTCTGACAATAACGGGCGAAACACTTGGAGAGGCTCTGGATGCCGAGAACTTCCGATCCTTTCCTTTCTCTACACAAATTATCAGACCTTTGGCTGATCCCTTATACCCATCCTCAAGTCTTGCTGTATTGTATGGTAATATTGCGCCAAAGGGGGCTGTCATCAAAGCCAGTGCTAGCAAGTACCGACACTTGCTCAAGCACCGAGGCCGAGCCGTGGTGTTTGCCGGCCTTGAGGATCTTGCTAAGCGCATTGACGATCCAGACCTGGATGTTGACGAAAACTGCGTCCTGGTTCTGCAGGGAATAGGCCCCATTGGCTTTTCAAGCCCAGGCATGCCAGAGGCCGGGCTGATTCCCATTCCACGTAAGCTCGCAGCTCGCGGGGTCAAGGACATGCTACGTCTATCAGATGGGCGCATGTCTGGCACGGCGGGAGGGAGCATCATCTTGCATATTTCGCCAGAGGCTGCGTTGCCGGAAAGTGTGTTGGCGATTGTGAAAGATGGTGATATTATACATTGTGATGTTGAGAGTCAAAAGCTCGAAGTAGAGCTTAGCTCAGCTGAGATTGACTCAAGGGTGAAGGAGAGGATTGACAGGCTTGAGGGTAAATTGGAAGCTCGGGGGCCTGCAGAATCTAGGAGACAGCCGACTCGTGGATATAGAGGCTTGTATGAGAAGAGCGTGACGCAGGCTGATAAGGGTGTGGACTTTGACTTTTTGACTGCCCAAGGAGTGGTTCCATGAACGCCGCCCCTTTGACTTATATTCGATGGCTATGAAAGAAATTCAAAGCGAACGGGTCATTTAAAGGTTTATTTAAAAGAGACTCATTGGATACTGCATGTGAGAAGCCGGAACAGTAAACTGGAAGCAACTATAAAATTCAACATCCCAGTGTTAGGAAGAATCTCACATGTTATCATTCTAACAACTGCGACTATGGCGTGCTTATGTATAATAGATGTGCTCACGAACTTTGGTATTTTACCTGGCTACCAACAATAGTATATAATGTATGAACACCTTGCTCAGCTGAGACCGATTTCATATCAAATGGATCTTTACGCCAGATTGTAACATCAGCAAATCGGCCCGGCGTCAGCATACCTCTCAAATGCGATTCCCCCAAAAATTTAGCCGCCTCTGTTGTATGAAGACTGATGGCTTCTGGCCACGTTATAGCGTGCTCCTCTCGCAGCACTCCAATGACGGTTCTGCGGGTAGTCAAGCCCTCTAATGAGTGCATCGCATCATAGCTCCCCGACTGGAAAATCCGAGTCGGCAGTGGTCACGATGCCTGAGTCAAGCCATTGCTGTATTGGAAAGAAGCGTGACACTCTATCTCGGTCGTAGTATATCTCAGATATGCCTGCAACGTCATGAAGCAGCGGGAATTGAACAGTAACGGGAATTTTAGGGCCGCGGCTCGCGCTCGCTGCTCGGCTGATGCGAGTTCTCCATGCTCTATGACCAGGGTCCCCGGTGGCATGTTGGGATGCCGTTTAATAACCTCTTCGTATACATCCAGAATGATTCGCACGGCTCTGTCGCCAAATGCATGCGTGCCAACTCGCCATCCTCGACGGACAACCAGGTCTAGGAGCAGCAACCATAGTTTTTGCCTCCCATAACAAACGCCCTCTATACTTGTTTATAGAGCCGCAGCCGCAATCTTCTCCTTCTACCTATGGCTCTTCCATTGCACTTGATTTGACTCCGCCATCCAACATAAATTTGAGGCCCCAGATGGAGAAGTATGGGTGATTCTGCAGATGGCGATATTGCTCCATCTGATTGAGCAACTTCCTGACTTCATCCACGCTAGACAGCCATATCACGGAAACCAAGCCCTTGAAACGAGTTTTGAGCTTCCAAGCATCATATGCGGCTTTGAATATTGGTACATCTTCAATAGGGACCTAGCAATCCCGAACGCAGCCGATGCCGGTTGAAGCACAAGAGGTACTGGCAACGTCCAAGCCATGAATCCGCGTCTCAGCATCAACTAGAGCCTGTAACTTATAGACGAGAGCCAAAGCAGAGTCCTGGATAAGGCCCGCCATCCCGCCGCTTGGATCCTTTCCGATTTTACAACCTGGAGGAGGAATCGTATCCTTGGTAATGTCGGCAGCCGCTAAGGCGCAAAAATTTATTATCATATTATGGCCGCCTCTACGTACAACGATTGGATGCATGGTGCTTATTATATCGAGCTCTTGAATGGTTGGGAGTCGCCTCTCTGGGAGATTGAATTCTTGTCAGCTCGTGGTTGTGAAGATCCATTCCCCAGGCTCGGTTTTTGCGACATGGCGGCGAATTGAATCTAGTATTTGGCCAAGATTCTTTGCTTCATGGACTGGAACATCGACATGCATCTGTGCAGCTAGCATGAGATGAGTAGGAGTATCATCAAAAGCCGGCAGCACGATAGAGTCTTGTCTCGTCAATGACACGAGTACCGGGCCCAATTAAGTAATCCAAGTCATCTTGGCTGCTGAAATGGAGAAGATGTGGTGGCCGACAATGGCAAGTGAGCGTTGTGCAGGTACTCCAGGCTGAAGAGTATAAATCTTCTTTACTCGGATTCGAATGACTGCCTTGGTGTTTCCTGTGGCGACAATATTTGATGCCATTCTGATTGATTATAGATCTGAGGTTTTACAGTGGATGTGAAAGTAGAAGCTGTGTGGCGGTTTGACAACTTCATATTTTTTGGATTGTTTACTCACTATATATCGAGGTGCACCTACTTGAACAATTCCGTGAAATTTGTTTTGTCAAAGACTTCAAATACTACTATAACAGCGGCGGGCATCTTCCAAACAACTGAAGGATCATTATGCGCGGTGAGAGCGCTCAATAACAGTTTGTAATTATATACGTGTATCCCACCGCCTCGTTTTGGTAGCATTCGGAACTGCATCCCGGCAATCAATAACGGGCTTCGGCATCCGGACAACGGCCGCCCTCATCGGTCGCAAAAGACACCTCGTAATAGCCGTCTCGCGTAGGTCGAGCGCCGACGCGAGGGCGAGCGGCTGTTTATCTGTGGATAACGAAGATGTTCAGAGTGCGCGAGATGTCTTTTGTACTTGTGCTCTATACAGCTAACGTTGAAGCTTGCGCTAATGGAGCTAATAAGCTAAAAAAGAGCCCCCCATTGCTCTTAGTTCTGGGTATGACCACTTGGATATCTTGCACGAGTTTATCTTGTAAGGCTCAAGGAGGCTTAAATCATTATTCAAAGTTCTTGTTCGTCTGGAAGAAGAGTACCAGACAAGCTTCTCAACGGCTCTTTGCTGAAGACTTGATCGGTGATCGGCGAGCTGGAATCGCCGACTAGCCGAGGCGGCTGTACAAGAACCCGAGAGCAGCTTTGAGAGCGTATCGTTTACACACTCAGGTATTCAGATGCCGCCGCTTATAGCCATGTTGATAAATATATAATTTTCTGTTAGTACAAATGACACTTGGAGAAGATGCACAGTCTCAAAGAACTATTGATATTATCATATGAAACCCCGATTAAGCCCTATGTCGCGTGCTCTACCTAATACTACATAGCTTTAACTCCCAATTGACGTTCATACTCATCTATAGCCTGAACAAGCAAGCTTTTCCAATCGTATGAAAAGACCTTGTTTATCCTTTCTGAAATATCTTTTGCCCACAGAGCAGGGTCGCTTCCAATACCAGGATTGCGCCCCTGCGCCGATTTGCCGGCAAAGCGGCTGCTGGAAACAACCCATTGCCCCCTCTCTCGCCGGACAGAATCGTATGCCTTGAACGCAGCCTCGAGTGCTCTGTTTTTGGCACCCGAGCGTTCATGCAGACCTTGAGTATCCGCAACTTTCTTTAGAAGCGTTGCCAAGACCAGTGCGTCTTCGATGCCCATCCCGGCGCCGGCGCCATGATGGGGCGTAGACGCATGAGCAGCATCTCCTGCGAGAACGATGCGTCCATAGGCGAAAGTCGAGAGGGGATGGTCAAAGGTGTCGAAAATGGCCCAGCGGTTAAGCTCTTCTGGCAGGGCTGCTACAAGATCTCTCACCGAAGGGCCGAAGTGCGAGAAGGCTGCCACTACATCTTCCTTCTTCCCCGGAATAGTTAAATGTTTGGAATCGGGCCATTCGCTTTCATCGTGTACAAAAGCGGCCACATTCAGAGTGTTCTTGCTCACGATGGGATACGTAAACAAGGATGCTCCTCGGCCTAGATACGTGGCAGATTCTTTGGAGAGCCTTCCAAGAGCCGCCTCTGCCTTTTCCATGGGTACTAATCCGCGGTAGGCACTTGTATAAGTGTAGTGAGGGAAAGCTGCCGGGTCATCGTTGCCAAGGACAATGCGCCGAACTTGTGACTTGATGCCATCGCATGCTATGACTAAAAGAATCAAATGGCATATATCAGCAACTTTGAATTTTTGAGCAAGCTTCTAGCAAAAAGGTGTATGTCGAACACTTTATAAAACTGTCATACCTGCGTCGGCTTCGGCTGCAGTACCATCAGAAAACTGAAGCAGAAGAGGCCCTTTATCATTATCTTTGTGTGTAATTGCTTCCAACCGTTTTCCTAGTTTTATATGCTCTGGTGGTATAAGCGCAAGCAGACCATCGAGCAACTGGGCTCGATGAGTGCTGTGGTATGAGAATGGTTTAACCACCACGTCAAATAGCTTGTCTGCCGGGCGAAGTCTCAAATCCTCATCACTACAGCCGTTGATGGCGTTGAGGTTCTCAAAAACTCCAGAGACTTTCTGTAATCGTTCTGTTATGGTGGGATTCAAAGCCGTCATGCAATCCACAATGGGTGTGGGAAATGCAATACCGGCGCCGATCTCTTTGACTTGGCTCGATTGCTCGTAGACGGTGACCTGGATGTTTCTTTGTAAAAGACCAATTGCAACGTGGGCACCCACAATGCCTGCACCTATAATGGCTATGTTTAAAGGAGTATTGTTGCCGTTCATTGTGTTTTGGTCGTTGCGTGATTCGGACGGAATCTTGGATACTGGAGATGGGGAGACGGAAATAGTGCGGAGCATGGAGGAAAGCTCGCCATGATATGGGCTTCAGATCGCAGATTTAAATCCTTCTGGCTAGTGTAACTTCCGATCACTCATGTGTCTAATGTCCATCTCGCGATTCCGAGGAAAGGAGCGCTTCCAGAGGGGCAGGCGGAAGAGAGTCGGTGTTGGCGGTCAAGTAACATCGGGCCATACTGGCGCCGACGCGAGACAATGTCTCTCATTCGGTTATTTTTGGTGATTAGTTATAAGAATTATAGCAAGGAAGATGAGCAGATAGCTCTATAGCTAAAAGTTCATATAGGCACAGAACAGCTCATTACTTTAGTATTGTTACATGAATTAAGCCAGCTCACTGTGCCACGTACCACTTTGCCGAATACTGGATTCAACACGAAATCGGTATTGAAGATTCGACGAGTATACCCCTCTTTCCCATACTAGCGCTTGAGGGGTTGCAGATGATCTCTCCAGCAGCTACCTAGGCTGTATATTACAATTCAATGTAAATCGGCTTTTATTCATCTCGAAGGATTGTATCGGCACGGACCTAGGTTGAGACTATCTTGTATATTAATGGTAGCAAGAGGCAATATCCGTGTTGCCAAGTGACTAATAAGCTGCCGTGATACAAGTACCGGCATATCTCAGCACACAGGCCAACATCATGTGGGGTGCGTTGCTAGAGACTAGCTGTGGAGCAACACAACAGACTGGAGGCACCAGAAATCACAAGCACCAAAATGAGAAAAATTTTTACTTGGCTTTCTCTAAGCATGGGTCGCTTGCGCAACCTGTTTGTAAAAGCGGGTCGCCAATGTTTGAACTCAGCAGCTACATGTGATGTACTGATCTTTGATCTTCAACACCATGAAAGCACATGCAATGACCTTGTGGCCATTGTAAAGACAAATCCACAAACGCTATCTTGTATATTCCATAAGCGGCAGACATCCTAGACTACCTTGCCAAATATAGGCACAGCTTTCTGCCACAGCAGGCTTACAGAACACGACATGCCAATCTCCGAAGACCAAAGAGGATAAAGGATTAGCAGGAGCGTTATACATGGATGCATGTGATTACACTAGGCACCATCTGGGCACTATGATCTGAGATTGACGCAATAAGAGCTGATTAAGTGTGACAGAAAACGGGAAACATGGGAGTACGAACCATGTCATTTCTCTCTGTACTGTGCCTGTAGTAGCTAGAAGTAGAGCTGCTAGCCCGTGCCGCCCATCTCATAAAACGGCATCAATGCTCCGCGAACCCACCCCTGGAAGCCACCGCACAGAGGCCAATATAAATCCATGCCCGCTAAGCCACGCTTGCATTGAATCGCCTGAAGCCGGACTGTCGGAATAGTGGAGCAGGCGCCGGTACCACGAATGGTGATCTCCCGTGTAAGCAGGGCGTGCATTCCGGAAGCCCCATCGCTGCTCGGGAGAGCCCCAAGAGCTCAGGCTGCAACTTCGTCGAGGCACTATTGACGGGCTGCTCGCTTGCTAAGATTAAGCCTTGCGCCTCGCCAGCCCGCCGTTGGAACCAGCAGGGCCGCTGGCTCGCCGGGCCAATGAGCGCCAGCAGCAGTCACAGGGACATCACAGGTCTGTTTACAGGTCAGATCCCGTGCGGAGAAGGCGTTGCGGTGTCCCTTACGTCATGGCGGGCCGGATAGGAGTAAGAATAGCAGCTGCCAGCCCGGCTATTGTGATATTTGATATTTGACGGGTGGAAACCGCCGTGCTGGGCCGGGCCTCTATGCACTGCACCTCTACTCTATCGATGTACTGCACTGCACTGCACTGCACTGTACTCTAGCTCTTCATGCGCCTCTAGCCTCTTCATGTACCTCTCCGCAACCGCCAACACTTGCTTGCAACTTTGTGCGTGATGCCCGTCAGCATTCGGCGGCAATCATGATCTCTCAGGGGGCTGCAGCGGCTGCCACCACCGGCTCCAGCAGCACCAACAGCGCGGGCGCAGACGCCGCCGACCTGTGCGATCTCTCGCCCGTGCCCACGCTGGTCGTGTCGCCGGCCTTTCGCATCCAGCGAGTGTCCAAGGGCGTCGAGGACGCGTGGCATCGCGGCCGGCACGAGTTCCTGGGTAAGGATCTGTTCACCGCGCTGTATGGAGGCTCGCCGCTGGAGCGCTTCGACCGAATCCCCCTTGTCCGCGCCATCGAAGAGGCCGTGGCCACCCGCAACTTTCGACTCTGCTACGCCGTCTACACCGCGCGCGGAGTGACCTGGTCGGCGCGAATCATCCCCATCTTCAGAGGCGACGAGATGCTGTCGCTGGTTCTGGACTGGGACCGGGTCGAGCCCAAGACGGCCGACGCTGGCGGCGAGGTCATCCAGAGCGCCCTCTCCGTCGACGAGGTGCTCCGCCTTCTCATCCAGACGGTCAAGGACTATGCCATCTTCCTGCTCGATACCCGCGGCTACGTGGCCACCTGGAACACCGGCGCTGAGCTGCTCAAGGGCTACAAGAGGGAGGAGATCGTTGGCAAGCACTTTTCAACTTTCTACGGAGAAGACGATCTGCAAGCTGGCAAGCCCGAGGACGAGCTTCTAACCTGCCTGCGCGAGGGCCGAGTGCAGGATGAAGGCTGGCGCTATCGCAAAGACGGAACCCGCTTCTGGGCCAACGTTATCATCACGGCCTTGTATAGAAATGGCGTCCACATCGGCTTCGGCAAGGTCACCAGAGATTTGACTGAGCGTAGAGAGGCTGAGCTGAGGCTCGTTGCTGCCTACGAAGAAAGCGCAAAACTGAAAAACGACTTCCTCGCCAACATGAGCCACGAGATTCGGACTCCAATGCACGGCATGCTCTCGGCCTGTACTCTCCTACTAGACACCAAGTTAGACGAGGACCAGCGTGAGACGGCCAACATCATTTCGGAATCGGGCCAGATTCTGCTGCAGGTCATCAACGGCATCCTCGACTATTCGAAGCTGGCATCGGGCAACTTTTCTGTTAACACAGACTTGGTTGGCGTTGCGAGCATCATTTCTTCGGTGGTAAAGAATGTACAGATGACACTGGTTCCAGGAGTATACATCAAACTCGTTTTGGCGCCTGGACTGCCTAAATCTGCTCAGGGCGACCCGCTCCGCTTCCGGCAGATTTTCCAAAACATCATCGACAACGCTGTCAAGTTTACCGAGAAAGGATCCGTTCAAGTTGATGCCTCCATATCTGCCGAGGACGAGACATCGTACACAATACTCACCCAGGTGACTGACAGTGGAATCGGCGTGCCCGAAGATGATGTTCAAAATTTGTTCAAGCCGTTTACACAACTCGAGAAGCCCACGAAGAAACGATTTCAGGGAACCGGATTAGGGCTGTCCATAGCCAAGTCTCTGGCCGAATTATTAGGCGGCCAGATGGGCTATCGACCGAACCCCGAGCACAGCGGCAGCATATTTTGGTTTACGGTGAAGCTCAAGAAGATTGCCAACTTTAACCAACTCGGTATTCCTGACATGCAACTCGATCAAGAAGCCGCAAAGTCTCAACAAGATTCCGAGAAAGAAAGGATGCTACGCCGGATTAGGGAGATGGCACCGCACAAGCGAATTCTCGCCGCAGAAGACAATCTTGTTAATCAAAAAGTGCTGAGTCGTGTTTTGAACTCACTTGGCTTTCAAAATTTTACCATCGCTTCCAACGGAGCTGAGGCTGTTTCTCTACTGAGTGCTTCGCCCAACGCCTACGACCTAGTTCTCATGGACATTAGTATGCCAATCATGGATGGCTTTGAAGCCACTAGAAAGATTCGGACATATGGCAACCCAATTCCTATCATAGCCATGACGGCTTATGCCCTTAGAGGAGACAATGAAACCTGCCTAGAAAAAGGAATGGATGATTACATCTCGAAACCCGTTAATATCAACAAGTTGTTACAAAAGCTTCTTACATGGCTAGATTCGCCCGACTGGTCTAAAACTGGAACTAGTGAACCAACTTGACGACGTACTCAGCTCACAACATGCGAGACCGTTGTCATGAGTCTCGCTTTTGCTCGTCCGAAACCTCTCAACAACGCCATTCTAAAAGTCTCTAGACTGTTGTTTTGCTATAATTTGGGATTCACCAAATGGAGTTTAAGGAAAAGCAACGATACAGGCGATGTTTACAAGACATACGCGCCGTTTGCTCGGCTCGGCGATTTCGTGGAGTAGCTCAATCTGTTACTCAGGATTATCACAAGGATCTACGGCGAATTCTTGACTAGACATTCTACAAGCACGAGGAGAGGAAAATCTTGGCCTCTTTTTTTCTCTCTCTTTTGGGCGTGGGAGAAAACCGTCGCCCAAGAGGGGCGCTGCCCCAGGGTGAGAGATGCTGGGAATAGCATTCTGGACGTTGACACTAGTTATTCCTTCTGATCCAGTTGCAATGTTGCTTGCTTCTGGTGTTCTCTTCGGATTATTAGGTATATATTGGTATGCTGGTTCTATAATTGGGTGGTAGAGACGAAACTTGGCGTTTCTTTGGGGAAAACTGTCTTTTTTTTTTGTTCTTGTATTATTCTTTTTCATTAGATTCCACTCAGACAAAACCTCGTTTTGTGACTGAATCCCAATTTTTTACAATTTTTGATTTGTAACTGGTTCAAGAGTGACACTATTTAGCTCTCTCAATTGTTCATTAGTAAGGTCTGATGTCTTCAGGAGGGAAACGCATTAGCAGAGGCCCGCTACTCAATATGAGAGCTTCGTCGCCACTATATCGATCACTTGTTCTGGGTGGGCATTATGGCCAAGGTGCTGCAGGCACTTGAACTTATATCTACTTTGGATGCCCACGGAAGTCTTCCGTGCTACTCCACGACCAGTTTCCCCAAACGCAAAACATTTCCTGATCCGGCAACATTAAGCACTTGTCACTTGCATTTTAGCCGGAGCTAAATGGAAGGATTCGGGAGCATTAACGCTTACACGACGGGGTTAGCGGGTTGCTGGGAATTGTTGCGGTTATTACCGATATCTTTTGGGCTTTGCCGTGCTGTCTGCATTGAATGGCAACAATTCGCGAGATGGGCAGGTAGCTGTATGATTAGGTGCGCGTTTTGGCAAGTGATGCTCTTGATATGATATATTAAGTAAGCCTATGTGTAGAGTGACGCTCTTCATCTAATATAAAGTAAGCGTTTTTGTAGAGTGACGCTCTTCATCCAATATAAAGTAAGCGTGTTTGCAGAGTGACGCTCTTGATCCAACATGATTAAGTGAGCGAATTTGTAAAGTGACGCTCTTGATCCAAGTAAAAAAGTGCTAGTTTACGATCATATGCCTTGTTTGAATTAGAGTATAGTGCTAGTGAAGCTTGACATGACGCTCTAGATGTATATAGCAATGGGTAATTAGTAATATAAAAAATTGGGCACAACACGCCAATGTCATGGCTACCTACGTTTAGAGTTCACAATTGTCAGATTGCTTGATTAATTCGCTGCACTTTATAGCTCTTTCAATGTAGAAACACTTCTGCTTCGGAACGACTCACCGCCCCTCTCGGCACAGTATATGCATGGAGTCTTGATACCAGCCCACCATTTCCTAATACGAGCTTAGTTATACCTACGGCTAAGGTACCTACCTACCTGGCGTTGCATCAAGTGGAAGAAGCAGCATCGGGCCGTTGTGAACTAATAGGCATCAACTAATGGATAGCCATCTGTACTTTGTATGGAGTGGCAATCTCATTCTTTGCACTACCTTATATATATGTAGTTGAGGCTCATAACAACAGCCTGGTTTGCCGTGCAGGCAGCAGTACTACCGCACTTCTCATCTTGCAATTGTAAAGTGTGTCAAGCGACAAAACATGTCTACAACGCAATCCACAATTGTCTTGCCGCCAGAGGCACATGGCGAGGATTTCTGGTCCTCCCATTCTCTATCTGGCGCGACACCTCTCGAGTCGCTCCCGAGCCCAGGCGACCAGTCTCTTAGCGAACAACAATTGTTCCCATGCACGCCTATCCGACCTCTAGACACTGCCAGTGTCCAAGAACCCGCGCCTACCGCCGTTCTCGAGTTGAGCGAGCTGAGGATTCGACAAGTCGATAATGCCACTGCCAACGGCTCATCACCCACTGCTGGTGCTGGCCTCTTTGAAGAGGGAGGCAGCCCGACGCATCCCGTCTCGCAGGGCGTTCCGCCTGAGCTTCGCAACTTCTTGGCGGAAATCATCTTTGTCCTTGTTTGCACGGCTGGGCAGGTCATCCTATCGCTGACTTTGGGCCAGGTTGTGGTGAACCAGTTCGTCTTTCGGGAAGCGCTGGGAATAGTCCCGGCGCAGACTCCCTGGCTTGTGGGATCCTCGGCGTTGGCGAGTGGTTTGTCCGTCATTGTTTTCGGGCCACTGGCTGATCTTGCTCCCCCGAAACCACTCATGGTGGGAGCTTTTTTGTGGGAGGCAGTGTGGAACGCAGTGGCCGCCTCGGCTATTTCTCCAGAGCTCAAGATCCTCTTCTTTGTAGCCCGAGCCATGCAGGGCTTGGCTGTTGGAGTGCTTGTGTCAACTTCCATGAGCATTCTCGGGCGGGTATACAATCCAGGCATCCGCAAGACTAGAGTCTTTTCGCTAATGGCAGCGGGAGCGCCGTTTGGATTCTGGATTGGTTGCGTCCAGGGAGGTCTCCTCACTGCTCATCTCGACTGGATATTCCGCAGCACAGCCATTTTCCTGGCTGTTTGTGCCCTTGCTGCTTATTACACGATCCCAAACCTGCGGCCGGCGGCGGATAGTAACGCTGCAGACGCGCCTTCGATAAGACAGTTTGACTATATGGGCGCTTTACTGGCTTCGCTGGGCAGCGGGCTGATTCTGTTTGGGCTTACGCAGGGCTCGGCGGCACAGTGGAATCCGTATACTTATTCTTTGGTCATTGTTGGTTTCTTATTTCTTGTCGCATTTCACTTTGTAGAGCGCCGTGTCGCTCGTCCTCTAATCCCAAACGGCATTTGGAAAACACCCGGGTTTGTTGCGGTTTTGGTATCCTACGTTTTCGGGTTTGGAGCTTACAGTGAGTTTAATCTCCATGTGTCTACGACTATCTGGATTCTCAGCTGACAAGCTATTTCTTATCAAGGCGGCGCGTGGCAGTTCTATGCCATACAGTTTTGGATACGCTACCAGGGGGCCACTCCGCTCACAGCAGCGTTGTATATTCTGCCTAATGGTATTGTAGGCATTCTCGCAGCTTGGATCGTCTCAAAGACTCTTCATAAGGTCCCTGGTCACTGGATATTTGCCACGAGCATGGTATGCTTTGGCCTAGGTCCGGTATTCTTCCTTCCGCAAACCCCCAATACCTCGTATTGGGCCTTGTCGATGCCTGGCGTGGCTTTGGCAACCTTTGGGCCGGACCTCAGCTTTGCTGCGGCTTCAATCTTCATTACTTCGAGCGTACCGCGGTCCTACCAGGGCGCTGCTGGCAGTCTGTTGGTTACGGCGCAGAACTTGACCATGGCAATCATCACCTCTGTTGCAGACTCTATTGGCATCAAAGTCGACCAGCTTCCTTCAGGAGAGGTAGGGCTTGAAGGCATGCGCGCCATCTGGTGGTTTGGCTTTGCTTCGGCCATGGTTGGGGCCTTGATTACCATTACAATGGTTCGAATTCCCAAGGCAGAGGAGAAGGAGCACGTGCAGTAAAATGAAAAGCAGGACGATATACTGCATGTCTTGGGGCCGGCTGCAGACTTAAGTAGGGATGTGATTGATGGAGTGCGGGCAGTTTGAGTGCCAAATAAATGTTGATTAAATTTATGAATGGTGCCAAGATCACTTCATAACTGTCCTTTGCCTTGCCTCTTTAATCTATTCTACTTAGCTCCTTGACAATCATAATCGTTGTAATTCACATTCTTATGCCACCGACATTTGGGGTATTGCGCCTAGCTCACTCTCATTTCCCTTTCCTTTCACCAACTCAACACTTTTCACCGTCTTCAGAGTTCTGTCCCACATTCAAGTGAGCATAGTTTTCCACAAGATTCGCCAGGATGTTAGAATCCAGATCCTCCTTCTTCTTGACGACACTAACCGGCCAATGGCTTCGTACAGCTTGTGCCATCCCCTGCCTCTCGTTCCATTCTCTCTCGTCCAGTTTCATGGAGTCTTTCAACAGGGCAACTTCGGGGCGTCGCATCCGTCCCAGAATGACCCGGAACAATGCTTCAGCCAAGTAGTGGTTCCGGCGTTGGTTATAAAGGCCCGTTGCAGCTAGAATGAGCGTGGATCGCAATAGTTCAAGCTGATCTGTGGGCATTTGATCGTTTACAACTTCGACACAGTCGGAGGCAATGAGCACCAATGGTATGACGATGAATAGGTCCATGGCGTCGTATCCGTGGCGGATATAGTACAATCGAACTAGAGTATGGAGATACTTTTTAGCATCGGCAATGACCTCGCGTATGCGGAATTCTTGTGCCGTTTCCTTTTGCAATAGCGGCTCAAAGATGGCAAGGATTAAATGGTAATAATAAACACTGTAGCAATACAAGGTTAATAAGATTCAATCAATAGAGTGCATTACTCAGTGAAAAGAGGGCCTACTGGAGTTGCAATTGCCCAGGAAGTGCAATCGTCTTGGGTAAAAGCGAGGCTGGTAAGCCCTCAAACCAGTCCTTAAGCTTGTGGAGCAGCTTCTCGGCTATATCGAGGGTCATCATAAATTCCTTGTCTTTTATGTAGGCCGCTTGGCAAAATTCGTGCATGATGACACGAAATTGGGATTTTGCATGATACATTTGACCAAAATTCGACGGTATCAGGCTATAGCTAAGTGGATATTTCAACCACACTTCTCCATACCAGAGTGCATTTTCTGACGGGTTTGGCAAAGGATAGATCGGGGGCTCCTTGAGCTGCGGAGGCGCCATGAAAGAGAAGCTTAATAGCCTGAAATAATCAGAGACAATCAATTATTAGGATCAATGTACTTACGTCTCCCAATTAAATAACGACCATGCAAGAAACACCCTGCCCTTCTGTAGTCTTATTGTCCGCGGATCCTCGGTCCGTTCGTCCAGAGGGCTGTCAAAAAGCCGAATCTCTTCAGCCAGCTCTAAAGCTTGTGTCCTATAAGACTTTCCAACCTCGTCCAAGCCGCAGAGGTTATAAAAGACATTGAAGATTATACCAGCTTGTATCGTGGTGAGTCGTGGAATGGCCGATTCCAATTCCCAAAGACGCTTTGCCTCGGCTGCAAAGGAGTATCCGAGTGTTTTGGGATTCCAATATTCTGCTCGATCGGCGAATTTTGGGTAACAAACCTGGTGACACACTTAGACAGGGTCCCTCTGAGGCAGGTAAGACAGGAACTAGGACAGAAAATTTCATACGCATGAATAAGCCAAAACTATGTTGACGAGCAGTGACGAGCAAAAGTCGCTTCGTTTCGCGGTCATGTCTTCCAAGAAGTAATCTTTCTGGAAAGCCGAGGTGAAATGGTGTTCGCATCTGAACCAGACTGAGAGAAGGTCTCTCATTAGCACATCATCATTGCAAACTGCCGTCCATAACGATGGTTTTGCATTGGCTAATAGCGGATCAATCATCTCTGCTGAGTGAAAGGGTTTTACATAGAGACTTTGATACTCGTCGGAGCCCAGGTTGCCACCATAGTTGAAAGCGGTGAATCGAGACGGGTTAGAGTAAAGCGACGCCGCTTCGTATATCTTCGACTGCATGTAAGGATTGTTTATGGTGAAAGCTTCGGGCATTTCTGATCGGTATGGCAACACATATCGCAATCGGGTTTCGGGGACAACGGCCATCTGTAATAACACGTTCCCGACTCTGATATGATTGAGAATGGTTGCGACATCGGCTCCGGATCTAATCCTTTGAAAGACGTATTCAGCTTCATCATCAGATAAAGTTCTTACAAGCTCAAATAGCTCCTGGTGAGGTGACTTATAGCTTCGCAAGTCTCGGTAGCCTCGTTTGAGGGCCTGCGCGCTGGTCTCTCCAGGTTTTGTGGTCCACTGGCATTCAATTCGCCTTTGAATACAGCGACGGCACGACGGCCTTTCGCCGGAACACTATTAGGATGGCCGGTCTTAGCAGTGCTCGTGATTTTAGTATTGATGGTCGCAACGTACTTTGGCCTTGTGCTTGCGACAAGCGACACAGGCCGCCACAACCATGTTTTTCCTGGAGGATGGTGGTGGCGGTGCAGGCGGTTCTTCCATCTCTGGCCTACTTGCTGGTGCCGGCAGCACGCGGCGCAAAGGTCGGGCTCTCGAGATATTTGCCTCCTCAGGCATGATGAACCGACATTGAAAGGCCAAGTAAGTATTTCGGCTTCGAAGCTGCCGCGGGAGGATGAAGGTTGGAAAGGGCGTCTAATGCCAGCTCGTAAGACTAAGCGCCGGTGCCCCAAGGCTGCGGCTGAACCAAGCGATATCCAGGGACAGGGATGATCCAAAGGCTGGAGCTACATGCACTGTCTCAGTCGTAAGTAATAATCCAAAGCCCAAGGCTGCTCCAGGATGCTCGAACATTCTGCGACCCCTCATTAGCAGAGACGTGGCCAGCGCATAACGCATTCCGCTACCCTCCGTAAATGTGCACACTTGCAGCAGGGATGGATCTGAGAAGGTGATTGGCTTTCGCCAAACCGGAGAGTCCTCCGGGGTGGATCACGAACTTGTCACAGCAGACCTCTCTTGCTCAAGAGATGAAAACGAGACTGACGCCCCTACTCGCGAGTAAGGTATAAGACCACGGCTTTGTTGAGTTACCGCGATGCTACATTACGTCGCCACCTCGAGCTGAATGCTTTTTTTACTTTCCAGATATTGGCACAAACATTCGCATCCCTTGCGTGGGAGGGGGGGACGACTGCTGCCCAATCGGAGCAACGCGAGGGGGCGCCTAAAGCGAAAGATCGGCTTGGAACGTTGTATGAGGTGGCAAACTTCTATGTAGCCAATAGAAACATAGAGGTAAAGTTATTACTACAGCCGCGGGTGGCTGCCCTTTGGTACCAGCGGTGAGGGAGCTACATGGTATGCCTTCTCATTCGGCATCTCGAGAATCGAACCCCTTGTGTTTCTTGGGCTACGCTAACTGAAAGTGGTGCCACTTTCTCCGCGAGTTGGAAATTGGCTGCTGCTACCAGAATGAAATGTAAGCTAAGGGCGTGTATGATGGTTGTATGAAGGTTAACTTCGTTCAGTAAGGGTGAGACCAGACCCGTTTTTTAACCTACAGCTATGGGAGGCCCGTCTGCTTTTTCTCCAGTCGTACAAATTGAGAGGGCATTACAACTGCTATAAAATGCGTTGTATACTTTTTGTTGTATTATAATAAAGGTTCGATAGAATAATATCAAAGAATTGCACATGTCACGGCAGCACATGTGGTTTGGAATGCGCTGTTATTCAGGTGACCCCAAGTCCAGCAGCATCTTCATACAGTACGACTTCGAAACTGGATTAGCTGTTTCGTAATATTCACTACGTAGGGAAAAGCGCTTGGCTCCTCTGCCTCTTGGTTAAACGTCTGTTAATAGTTCTACATCCGTTGACCTATGGCAATGCATCTTCCTCTACTTCATCAACTATCTGAATCTTGATACTTCCATTTTTTGGGTCGGCTGCGAGATGCAGAGCGTCAACAGCATCTTCAAGGGGATAAACATGCGTTACTAGAGGCTTCAAATCAAGGATTCCCCCACTAAGACACGCAATACCTGCCGGCCATGTGTCGCGGTATCGGTTGATAAACTTGAGTTCGATCTGAACATATTGATTGTTTAGCGACCAAACTCGACGTAGCATCGATATCTTGTGATCATATCACATACCTCAGCGAGAGAAATGTGCATAAAAGGCAAGTTGTTCATGATCGATTTGCCTACTCCAATGATGCAGATGGTTCCTCCCCGTCGAACGGTATACGCGGCAGTACAAACGCTGCTTTCCACCCCTGTGCACTCTAGGACAGTTCTCGGTGCGTAATACTCTTGATTGAGATCCTGTCCAAGATCCTGTGCTGTATCGCTATAATCATTGCCAAAGAGCCTTCGGATTCGGCGTCCATTCTCCGCCGCATCCAACGAGGGATCCACCCGGTAAGTCCGGCACGATGGGACAAATTCTCGGGCGAATTGAAGCCTTCTTGGCTCGATGTCTGTGATAACGATCGGATGCGCGCCAGACGCTCTCGCTGCGGCCAAAGCAATTAGCCCTATAGGGCCCGCGCCACAGATTACCGTGCCGCAGCCAAGATTCAAGCTTGTGGTGCGGATGCCATGGAGGACAACGCTTAGAGGCTCAAGAAGGGCGCCTTCAGCAAAGGATAAGTTGGGAGGGAGCCTGGTTGTTCCATGTTCAAAAGTTAGGTGCATTTGTATACGAGAAAATAAAATTGGGAACGCACTTGTGAAGCCATTTAGCAGCATGGACCTTGTATCTCTGTATTGTTCCAGCGTAAGGATAGACGCCGGAGAACTTGACGTCTTCGCAGAGATTGTACCTCCCCTCTAAACAAAGGAAGCATTCGCCGCATGGCATACCCGGCTCAATAGCTACCCTGTCCCCTGATCTTACCATCAGTATCAGCTACACAAGACTACAAGATTGCAAACCCACCAGGTACAACATTCGTAACGCCTTCTCCACATTTGAGGACAACTCCGGCAGCTTCGTGGCCCAAGATGCAATCCCCTTCAAAAACTAATGAGCCTATGCGCCCGGATTTCCAGAAGTGGACATCCGATCTTGCAAGAAACCCATCAGCCTCTTCTAGACGGAATATACTTTGCCGTTAATAGTACTCACCCGCAAATTCCAGTAGCCTTCACGTGGAGCAAGACTTCTCCCTGGCCAGGCTCTGGAACCGGAGCTTCGACCAGTTTCAGGCGGTGGTCGGCTGTTGCTTGTAAAGAAGGATTAGGCCGCGGAGTTTTGACAAAACTTTGGCCATTTGCAGATGCAGCTGCGCCAGCTTCTTGCTGTATCTTTGCTGATATCTCGAGCGAATTCCCACTGGTAATTGTCGCAGGTGCCATTCTTTCTTCCTTTCTTCAAAAACTAGAATTAAAACATGTGTCAAAGATTAGACATACAGCGCCAGTTCACGATTTCGCGACCTGTGTGCTACAGCTTATATAGGTAGGTTGCTTAAACCTCAATTTAACCCTACGACGCTTTCCGTCCGAGCTGCGATATGCCTAATTGAATAGCAGTCAGTCAGTTTAGGCTAGAAAGAGGAGAAGAGCGGAAATTATTTCCAAACAGGATTAAAAGTAAAGTAATAAATGTAGGAGATCATGCGACTGGATGATCTTTTGGAGGGGCCCAATGGTTTGGTGCAAGATCTCAGACGAGGTGGCTAAACTTTCCTATTTCGGCCATCCTTCTGCACTAGGACAATCGCTGGCATCAGTTGAAGTGGATAGGTATTAGGTGTTGGCTTATAATAAGAAATAGGATTGTAAGCTTAAGAAGATGTAATGTCGATATATTCTTTATTCTTATCCATCGTCTCTACCTCTCCCTCATACTTCATATTTGTCTAAGTTAAAGTCGAAATACCCTTGTCAACTATTATTTTGCTTCTTACCAAGCAAATGGCTCCTGGAATTCTGTCTGTCCAGCCAGTTGTCGCTAAAAACGGCGTAGCAGATGGCAATGAAAACAAGACTGCACTTGATAAACCCCCTAAAGAACATGACATAGTCCTCAAGACCTTTCGTTTGCTTATCAGTGACCTCTGCCAACAATTCAATGGCGGCCATCCTGGCGGCGCTATCGGCATGGCTGCGATTGGAGTCGCTTTATGGAAGTATGTGATGCGCTATGCACCGCACACCCCAGATTTCTTCAACAGAGACCGATTTGTACTCTCGAACGGCCACACTTGCTTATTTCAATACACCTTTTTGCACTTGGCGGGATACCGCGACATGACAATGGATCAGCTCAAGTCATACCACTCGAAAAGATGGGACTCTATCTGCCCTGGCCATCCAGAGATTGAGATTGAAGGCATCGAGGTAACAACAGGGCCTTTGGGCCAAGGTGTCGCTAATGCAGTTGGCTTAGCCATGGCCACCAAGAACCTTGCGGCAACATATAACCGACCTGGATACGATGTTGTGTCGAATCATACGTGGTGTATGGTGGGAGATGCATGTCTTCAGGAAGGCGTTGCGCTGGAAGCCATATCTTTCGCGGGCCATCTCAGACTCAACAACCTGACTGTTATATACGATAACAATCAGATCACTTGTGATGGCTCAGTGGATTTGACAAACACTGAGGACGTTGACGCAAAAATGCGTGCGTGTGGCTGGAACGTGATCAATGTTGAGGACGGCTGTTACGATGTGGAAGGTATTGTGGCTGCATTACAAAGAGCTCGAGCTTCTACTGACAAACCCACGTTTATCAACGTGAAAACAATTATTGGATTGGACAGCGCAGTTGCCGGGCAGGCAGAGGCACACGGGGCCGCTTTCGGCGTTGATGATGTGAAGCATATGAAGCAAGTATATGGCTTCAACCCAGAAGAACACTTCGTCGTCGGTGACGAAGTCCGCCAATTCTTTTTTGACTTGCCCAGTCGTGGAGAACAGACCGTTTCACAGTGGAAGGAGCTCGTGGATCGATATAAGAGGGCGTATCCAGGCATCTCCGAGGAGTTTCAACAACGCGTAGATGGAAAGCTACCATCACACTGGAAGACACTATTGCCTGGTCCAGAGGCTCTTTCCGATAAACCAATGGCGACGCGAGCGTCGTCTGGACTGATGGTCAACCCTCTCGCCAAAGATTTCAGCTCGTTCGTAGTCGGAACAGCAGATCTCTCGCCATCTGTCCACATGGCATGGGAGGGAAAAGAAGATTTTCAGCATGTAAGTACGGACTTTTGCTACAAATAATTGTTATAGCATTTAATGACGATATACACAGCCCGATCTGCGGACAACCTGCGGAATCAATGGTTCTTATGCAGGACGGTATATTCACTACGGCGTGCGAGAACATGCAATGTGTGCCATATCCAATGGATTAGCAGCCTTTGCACCGGGCACTTTTATTCCAGTTACGAGCTCATTCTTCATGTTCTACTTGTATGCCGCGCCGGCGGTACGAATGGGGGCCCTGCAGCGACTGCAAGTAATCCACGCAGCAACTCACGACTCTATCGGAATGGGTGAAGACGGGCCAACCCATCAACCCATCGAACTAGCGGCACTGTATCGTTCAATGCCAAATTTGCTGTATATCCGTCCAGCAGACAGCGAAGAGACAGC